ATGAGCTCATGTTTGGCCGTCCTCCTTGCCTGTTTAAACCTGACAGTCAAGGATGGCCCGACTTGGCACATAAGGGGGGAGTAGATCAACAGAAATTGTTACATCAGTTACAGCTTCATAATTTGGCCGTTTCAAAATTGCGCCATTATATGATGGAACAACAACCCCCTCCAGTGGTTACAGCAACACATGGGTTCAAGCCTGGAGATAGAGTGTGGGTAAAGCACTGGAAATCAGATCCCTTGAGCCCAAGATGGAAAGGACCGTATACTGTTGTCATGTGTTCTCCTTTGGCAGTGAAAACCCTGGAAGGAAAATCTTGGATCCATTGGAGTAGAGTGAAAGCAGCTGCACCTGCAGATCCGGTGACCTACAAGGTGGACAAGACTGACAAGCCTTTGGTGTTGAAATTTACAAGAAATACAGCAACGGGTTCCCAAGACACGGTGTGATCAACAACCTTGCTGAGACACCCCAGGAAGCTGTCTCTCTACGCACGGTGGAAGATATGAGGATTCTACAGCTCGTAATATTTGTTAATTATTTAATATGCACACACATTCCTACACAAATCAGTACAATGGCTACACGAGAGGTCATAATGCAAAAACCCTCTAATAAAGAATTATTGAGTAGCACACACCAAGAAAGAGCAGAAACACAGGGAAACCAAGGTTGTCAAAACTGTATCAAAACTACAAAACAAGGAAACCAGATAACCAAGACTTTGATTTACCATACAGTTAAACCAGAAGGGTGCCAAGATAGTTCTCCTGACTCTTGTACATACAATAGAACTATATATAAAGTTTGTAGAAAAGGTGTCCAATATCAGTGTTATAACCCGAAGTCTGATCCTGATCGTTGGGCCTTACGAATCAAAACACATAGGACAAGAACTAGCTATAAGGACCAGGCACTCTTAGGGATCTCCCAATGGAAATCCAATCCACACTCCAGTTTTAGCGTCACCTTTGATGTTTGCAAAGCAGCTAATTATTGGACTCCAACATATGGTTGCGGAGGGATCGGTAATATTCACAACTTTATCCCAAAACATAAATACTTGTGCCCACCAGATGGATGTGCGGTCAAATGTAAGTGGTGGTCATGTATTAAGTGGCATACCCAAGACCCAAAAGAGATAGACCACATCTTGTTTGAAAAGAATGAAACAAAAGCAGATTCCTGTGGAACGGATAACTGTAATTTGGTGACTCTCACAGTCAAGAATGGCAGTTGGTTCCTAGAACAAAATAGGTGGGAAGGTAAGAAATGGATGTTTGGGATAGGAATAGATACAAATGGCTATGACCCAATGTCAGAAATAGAAGTCAAAATTATAACTGCAACCAAAAGACCAGAACAAAAATCATTATTTTGGTCATATTATGAGGAAATGGAGAACCTACATATTCCTGAAGTATCTAGACATGTAACCAATACCTTTGTTAAGTTAGCAGAAGACATTGCCCATACTTTAGGCGTGTCTAACTGTGGGAGGCACAAGAGTTAAATTATACCAAGGTACTAGAAATGTCTAAAAATAATAATTTAACCTATACAAGTGGGAAAGATGGTGATTGGGGTCTCACTTCCAACTTGGTAGGACATGTATGTTACTCAAGAAACAAAACAGAATCTTGTGTAGCAGTAGGTGACCTCCTATGCACAGGGACATGGGAAGATGGTAAATGGTGGTCTAGAACCAATGAGACCACTGCTATGGATCCTGGAATTAACAAGGCTGCTATGACTATGAAGGTTTATAGGCCTGCAAGTCTTGTTAATTCTAGGGTGTATTTTAATTCCTTGCTTGATCCCCTGTCTTATAGCCATGATTCGGAGAATCTCAGAAAGTACAGCCCAATTAACAGCGAAACATGAAACAATGTTAGCCTTATGGGAATATAAAATGGTACCTTCAGGAGATACGGAATCAGAGGTAGAATAATGGAAGTTTAAGCTGGAAAACTTCCAAAAGGGGGGAGTAAAGTGGGAAAGAAATAGAATAACATAGAATAAAGAAGAATAAAGTATAATAATAATAATAATAATGAAAAATCACTAAAAGCAAAAATCATGTGTCTGCATAATCTCTGAAAGAAAGCTGTGTTAGCCAAAAGCTGTATTAACAGTACGTGAATGACCTAATGCATATTTAGAAACATTGTATAAAAGTAAAAACTGCCTTCATTGTATTCCCATGAGAAATGGACCTAAACGTGTGAGAAACTATCTGAATGTTACACAAAAGTAGATTCCATATACAATGTAAGATTCCATCTATGCTTCCTTTGTTCCTGAGAGAAAGAAACCTATAAAGCTTTAATTCAGACCCTCCCCTTTGTTCAGAAATTTGCTGATTGTTAAGTCACTTCTGAACCTTTTTGCGCAAAAATAAAGATCTCTCTTTCACCCATGGAATTTCGTAAAAGTCCTTATATTTTTTAAGGCTTTATTTTTCCACAAGAATAGGACTTTGTTCTTTATGAACTTCTTTATGAGTTCAGTTTGATCCCATGAAGAAATATGGGGAATTTGTAAAAAAAAAATATTGTACACCATAAACCGTATTAGAAAGATCTTCTTTTCTGGATGGAAACTTAGATTTCATTTCGTTCTTAGAGTTCTATCTAAGGAGGATATCTAGTAGAATTAACTTTTTAAGAAAAATATAGTTGTTATACAGTACTCAGTTGGCAGAATCAACATCTATAGCTAAACTGGGCTATAGTAATACCGATAGTCTTCGAATTGAGCCCAAAATTTATGTTGTTAAGTGAGACATTTGTTAAGTGAGTCTCACTCCATTTTATGACTTTTCTTGCCACACCTGTTAAATGAATCACTGCAGTTAGTAGCAAGTTAGTAACACAGTTGTCAAGTGAATCTGGCTTCCGCACTGGTTTTATTTGTCAGAAGATCACAAAAGGTGATCACATGACCTCAGGAGAGCACAACTGTCATAAATATGAGTCGGTTTCCAAGTGTCTGAATTTTGATCACGTGACCATGGAGATGCTGCAAATGGTCATAAGTGTGAAAAATTGTTATACGTCCCTTTTTTGATTGTTGTTGTAACTTTGAATGGTAACTAAACAAACTATGGTAAGTCAAGGATTACCTGTATGAGATGCATTCATTGTATAGCAAATGACCACATCACTAATACACTGCATAGATACAGTATTGATTGTCTTGTCTATACCAGGGGTAGGCAACCTTAGCTCTTTTATGACTCAGGAATTCTGGGAGTTCAAGTCCACGAGTCATAAAAGAGCCAAGGTTGCCTACCCCTGGTCTATACCCTACCCTACCGTATCAGTCTGTGTTGTGTTAACAAAAATCTTATTAACTGGGCAGAATGCCATGGCTGAAAATAGATCTTTATGTTTTACAGAAATGAACTTAGTCAGCACAGATGAAGCAGAAATAATAGTTATTTTAGTCATGCTCACAGTCTGAATCTTGAAACTGATCTGAAACTAACTTTGAAGTGGGTTTGTGGGATCCACTCAGAGAAACACAAGTGATACTAAGTGAGACTAAGGCATTATACTAGAAACTAGAAGTCTATGAATTCCCATCCCTCCTCAGTCACAGAGCCAGGCTGGGTGACCTTGGGCCAGTCACTCCCTCTCAGCCCTAGAAAGACGCAAGGGCAAGCTACTTTTGAAATCTTGCAAAAAAAAAAAAAATCACCCCAACCCCCCCCAAAAAAAACACCTGTAGGGACCAGTCCAGTCCACTGACTCTGAGGTAGCAAAATAACAAAATATTATTTAAGCAAGCATTTTCATAATTTATTTCACTTTTCTGACAAAATATTGATCAAGGTGACTAACGTTTTAAAGACAAGGTTTAGTATCAGCATTTGCCAAGTCCCATTTTGGATGAGAGAATAGGTGACATCAGTTTCCAAGGCTGCCATAGATGTTGCTGCATCAGTAGCTTTTTAATTAATTGCTCCACAGTTCACTTTTATTGTAAATTGCCTTGATTATGTGGATTTTACTTTAGTATCCTTTCATCAAATCAGAACCCTTCCTTTGGGGCAAATGAATGAACGGTCCAATAGAAGGGAAACTTGTAAAACACACCAAGGCATAATCAATTAATTTTATGGCGTGATTTTATGCTATCCAACTTCCCCCCCCCCCGAATGAAAATGTTTTGTTTTGCCTTGCAAGCGATTGAGACAAATCCTACATATAAAGAAAGCTTGCTTATCTGCCGGATATGTTAATGCCCATCCGGCGCTTTTTTTTTTTTTTTTTGCTAAGCAGTCTGTTTTCTCTTCCCACCTCCCTGATCCGGACGAAACCTGCCACTTTCTAACCCTCTGACACGCCTGCAGACGAGGGTGCGGAAGTCTTTTTCTGTTGCTGCCGATTTCGCAACGGCATTCGTGTAGCAGAGCTCGTCCCGGTTCGGCCCGGCTCGCTTTCTTATTGCAGCCGCGGTTGCAAATATCGATCCGTTTTGCTTGAGCTTCCGCTCTCCCGCAGCAGCCGCCGCTCGCCCCCAGGTGGCTCCGGCGGGAGCCTGGTCAGGCTCAGCTCAACTTCCTGGCCTGACTTTTGACAGTGACAGCCTCCCACCCAGCCCCACCCGACCCAGCGAGAAGCTCTTCCTCTTCTCCAAACGAGCCTTTTTCCTCGCCATCTCCAGCGCATCGCAACGAGGAGAGAAGGGGCAGGAGGAAACAAGGCAGCCAGCCAGCCCGATTCAAGGCTGCCAGAGCTACAGCGAGGGTGGCGGGTGGGTGGGTTAAATCTCGGTTTAGGACGCGAAATGCACCACGTCCAGCGGGGCTCTCCTGGCAGAGCCGCACGCAGCAAGCCGCCGATCCACGTGTCAGGGAGGACCCCCTTCTCTTGCTCCCTTGCCCAGCGCGATCCTCCCGCTTCCCGTCAGGGGAGACGGCGGCAGCAACATCAAGACGACGGCTTCCAGGAAGAGAAGGACGCGGTTTGGGAGACCAGCGTCTGCCTTACCTGGCTTAGCTGGCTTAGGCGGCGGCTTGGACATCGTTGCGTCCAAAGTTGCAAGCAAAGCCTCCGCGACCGCCGATCTAGCGCCGAGCCGGCTCGCTCGCCACCTCCAGATCGCCGTAAACCCTTCCTCGTGAAGGATTTCTGGAGCGGCGCGGCTCGAGAGTTACCCACGAAGCTGGAGAGTCGGCGGACGTCCCAGCTGAGCGCTCGGCGAGGGCACGAAAGGTGCTTTTTGCAACGATGAGGAAGTGCGGCTGGTCTCAGACCGGCTCCCCCTAGAGGCCAAGGAGCCGCACGGCAGGAAGAGCGAAGGGACCAGGCGAGGGGGGACTCATCCCAGGAGGGGCATTCCGCGTGGGAAGGAGGGGCCAATAACAGGCCGACGAATCAGAGAGCGCGGCTCCAGTAGGGGAGGGGCAGTTCCTAAGGCTGCTGGACAGGCTGCAAATGCTGACCAATTGGAGCGCAGCGGCGGGACCCCCCAGCTCGTCTTGTTGGTGTACAAGCACGGGTAGCCTCTGCCCGTTTCCACCCCGTTCTGTGTTTACGGAGGTAGCGGCTTCTAATAGGGTGATAGAAGAGGGAGGGGCTCGGAGGCGGACCGCCTCTGTTTTGCGTTCTGAATGCGGACTTCGCTTTGCTTTCTTGCAGGAGTGGTTCAGCCACTTTGCTCAGAAGAGGAGAAATGTGAGTTTGCATTGTTACCTTGCTTCAAAGGGCCTGCTTTTGCTTCTGCATAGGACCCTCTGAACAGAAGCCCTTGTACAATTAAACTTTCCTAAAAACGAAAATCTGACCTCGTTCTCTGCAGTGCGTGATTGCAAACTCTTAAGTGTGTGATTGCAAGACTGGACGCTCTTGGGCAAATCTGTACTTGCCGCCATAATAATGCGAGTGTTTTGAATCCGATTGTGCGCATCCTGGCTTTCTCGAGAGAGTTCCTGGAGTGCTGTTCTGTCGGTCTTCCTTAACGGTTGTTCTTCTGTGGTTGCTTTAAAATTCTCACCTTAGGGCAGGGGTCTTCAAACTCGGCCCATTTATGACTTGTGGACTTCAACTCCCAGAATTCCTCAGCCAGGCACGCTGGCTGAGGAATTCTGGGAGTTGAAGTCCACAAGTCATAAAAGGGCCGAGTTTGAAGACCCCTGCCTTAGGATAAGAAAAAGATGGAATGGGTGGGGAAGGATAGGAGGGTTACAAGCATAACGGAGAACTGTAGAAATCCGAGGGACTGCTGTAGGGGGTAAAAATACTATTGATGAAATTATATTTCTGTAACAATAGAGTTTTAACATCCATCAAAAACCATTTGTACTTATTCCATTTCCCCCCCTTTGTAGTTATAATGGAAATCTGTAAGATTCTGGGAATGATATGTATGTATGTATGTATGTATGTATGTATGTATGTATGTATATATGCGTGTATATATATATATTATGTATATATATGTGTGTGTGTGTATTATGTATATATATTTGTATATGTATATATGTATGTATGTGTGTGTATATGTATGTATGTATGTATATGTATATGTATTGTAAATGTATATGTATATATATTGTAAATGAGAACATACAGAGGATAAATTCACACTGCATTTGTTCCAGGTAACTCATTATGTGCCATTAACTTCAGTGTTAACTTTTGGTGACCATATCAATTTGTTCCAGATGTTCTGACCTCAACCTGGCACTTTAGATTGCTCAATACCACACCCATTGTCACTAAATTCCAGTCACATTCTTGCTCGTGATCTTCTCTTTTTTCCAACCTTTCCTAGTGTTATAGACTTCTCCAAGAACTAAGTCTTCAAATAATGTGTCTCAAATATAGGTAGTCCTTGACTTATAATCACAATTGAACTGGAATCTTGGTAGTTGAACAAATCAGTAATCAAGAAGGATATCATGTGACTGCTTCGCTCAATGAGTACAATCCCTGCACATCCAATTGTGGTTAATCTTATGGGTTGCCAAGGGGACACTGTAGAAAGTAAGATAGATAAAGGTAAGAAGTATTGGATGCCTTAGAGGTGGGGAGGCCAGCAAAGACCACATGCAGGTGCCTCTCCTCTCAGAAGCTGAAATCCTTCCTGCTGAAATCCAAGCAAGATTTTCAACCTGAATGGAGAGATAGTCATGCATAACCTTCACCTGGCCTTCCTGTGGCTTCCTATTCCCAAAGCACCCTGCATTACTTACTGTGCTGTATCTCCATTCTCCATATCCTGTTTCAATTTCGGCTTCCTGCTGCCAAAGGATTTCAGCTCCCAGAAACCAGAGGAAATTCTCTTTGCAAGTGGCATCAGCTTACAATTTTCCCAGTTGGCTTCCCCATTGATTTTCTAGGGAAGCTGGCAGAGCTGATTGGGGTGCTTGGCAATTGGTTGTAAGTGCAAACAGGTTGCAAAGCACCAGATTGCAATCATCTGACTGTGGTGTGTAAATGTGATTTTTGAGATAATTGGAAGTGGTTAATTAAGCTGTAAAGCACCCTTTCCAAATGCTTTCTGGCCTTTCTAAGGTTGCCATTAATACGAACCAAAGTTAAGCAAATGATCATATATCGAGGACCACCTGTATGGTCATTTGTGCCTCTAGTCAGAATTCGGTATTTATTTCATGATCCAATGGGCTGTCCATTTTATTTTCAGAATTCTTCTCCAATGTCAGATTTTAGAAGCAACTATACTATTAATTCCATCCTCCTTCAAGTCCAGTTTTCATACTGTAGTACATCATTGGGAAAATCATTGGCTGAATGAGGCTGAGCTTTTCAGGTATAGTGTCACAATAGCTGATTTCTTCCAAACCTTTTGCTGCTATCCTACCAAGTCCTGGTCCGTGGTGTAATTCTTGGTCCCATTATTGTTTATGTTCAATCCTACAAAACAAGCTATCCATTACTTCAGTATGTTCTTTGGCAAGTCTGAGGCTGGTTGTTTATCTGTTGCCATTAATTTAGCTGTCTTTATATTTAATCTTAGGTTTGTTTTCTTCACTTAACTCTTTGACTTTCACTATTAGAACTAATAGATCGTTCGAATCTTAAAACAGTTTTTCTTCACTTGGTTCTTTGCCTTTCATTTGTGTTAGTAGATCATTTGCATTTTCATCTTTCAAAATAGTGTCATCAGCATAGTAGTTTTCTTCCTCCAATTTAAAAATCATGAACATCTTCCAATCTAGTCTCCCTCAATTAATAAATAAGGAAATAAGGAGTCTCCTTTGCAAACTTTGTGAAAGCCATTACACATCCTGACTGCAACTTTATTTCTTGTTCCAGTTAAGTTTACGTTTACTAGGAACTGCAGTCTTATTCAACCACCATAGAGCTTTTATTTACAAAGGGTGTAATTTGAATAGAGCTGTGTTTTACTGACAGTCATTTTGATGTAAATATAAACTTATTTTTGCCAGGTTCAGTGAAGATTGGAATAAATACTTTGTGTTCAGTAGATGATATTGTGGAATGTTATTCATGCATCTTTTCTGTTTATGTAACATTGCTTTAGAATTCAGTGTTTCTCACCCTTGACAATTTTAAGGCATGAGGACTTCAACTCCCAGAATTCCACAGCCAGCAATGCTGGCTGTGGAATTCTGGGAGTTGAAGTCCACATGCCTTAAAATTATCAAGGTTGAGAAACACTGCTAAGATTTTAATTTGGAGCTGTGTTCTGTTTTGAAACTCCCAAAGAATTGAAAGCCTTCACCCTTATGTAACTGATAAAAGACTTGGAAGCAATTGCAGGATAATAGTTAATTAACAACATATAATCCAGATGCCTTCATGGTTATTAGTATTTGTAATCATAAGTTTTGCCTATTTTATAACAGCACTAAAACCTGAAATAAAACACTGTGAAATGTTTGCCTTTAACTAAATAGCTTATTTTTTGTTCATGTGCATTAGGGCTTCAGATTCCATTCCAAAAAGGTGTTTTGAATGATATAGCTATAAAAAAGAAGATACCTGGTTAGATACTGTGGAAAGAACTTTGGAATTGTAGATGAAGTTGAAAGTTGACTATGCCTCTGCAGTGTGACATAAATATTAAAAAGTCCAATGCAATTTTATGCCATATCAATAGAAGAATAGTGTCCAAATCACAGGAATAATTTAACTTGTTTTGGATTGGTCATGTAATATCATTTATTAAAAATGTAATCCTGTGATTACATTTACTGACTTGGTAATTTAGATGATATGGGGGAGGAATATCCAGGTATCAGGTAGAACCTCATTCAAAAGAGGAAGTGCTACAGGAGACACACTTCCTGAGATTAATTGAAGGAACCAAGAGAATGTCCACATACTGGATCAAACTAGCTGGGCAGATAACCATGGAAGATAGATGAACCCTCAAGTAATCAGGCCCTGTGCCATGTACAGAACACAGTATTTTTCTGTACGCCACATCTCATGAAGGATTCGAAGAATCTGGAGGAGGCAGTAAAAGCCATAAAACGATCAAGAATTAGAAACCAAGCATCAGGAGAAGAGATCCTGTATGTTTGCTCGAAAAAGTATTAATTCTTCCAGGACCTTGGATAAGCAAATGATTCTCATTAAATGACACATATTTCTTTTGTTATTATTTAGCTTTATTAGATTTAATGCCACCTTTATTGTTTTATAAGTAACTCGGGGTGGTGAACACACAGAATACTCTTTCTTCCTCCTGTTTTCCCCACAACTCTGTGAGGTGGGTTAGGCTGAGAGATTGGCCCAAAGAGCTTTCACGTCTAAAGTGGGATTAGAACTCAACTATCTCCTAAATACACTTTACATTCTTTCATGGTCACCAAATTAGGGGTGTGGCAAAGATGATGATTGCATTTACGTCCAATCCTCCTTTTTATAGTTCTTCTACTTTATATTTCAACTGAGGTTTGATTGATTGTTGTCACTGTTGAGCTAAGTGGGGTTGTTTTTTTTCACTTGTGTGGTTTTCAGAAAGTGGCCAGGCTGGTCTACTTTTACAGAGTCCCACACTGAAATAGTACAATTTCAAAAATATATAAAAGTTCCATAAGTTAAGAAAAACAGCTAATGGACGTGCTCTTAATTTTACCCTTTCAATTTAATGTTTAGATTGTAAAGGAACAATGAAAACATTGGTCATTGGACTTGGAGGGTAAGTATGAAACGGGAATTTGAAATCCTCTTTTCTTATTTTATGCATCCAAATCTCTAAATATAGGTGGCCCTTGTTTAACAACCACTTGTTCAGTGTGGATTCTTTTCATTTTATTTTATTTATAATTTTTATTTATAATTTACATTTGTAAAGACCACCCTATTCAGCACTGGCTATGATTGGCATACAATTAAAACCAATAAAATACGTTTAAAAGTTATGGCACTTTATGATTATGTAATAATAAATTTGTTGAATGTCTAAATCTATACCTATATTGTATTGTGAAAATATTCAATGTATATGAACTTGTGGCTTTCACTGCTGTTGCAATTCTAGTCCTAATATTTTTGCTGTTGCAACCACACAATACTTTTAAGAGCCCTGCTCTCAGGAAGAAAAAAAGGCAAAACACTGAGTAATCATTGTGCATTTATTCTTCAGAAGATAATTGACAGGGAAATCCCTTATGCAACTATAATAAATAACCTTCTGGCTACTTAAGCTAAAAAAATAATTACATTTGATCGGATACAAATCAATTGCAGAGTAAACAAAGCTATTAATAGTGCTATCTATTGTATGGTTTGTTCTTCTCAATACCCTTTTTTCCCCATTTCCAATTCAGCGTAACAAATGGAGGCAAAACAACTCTGGCAGGAAAGCTGAAGAAACTGCTTCCCAGTTGTACTATAATTTCCCAAGATAACTTTTTTAAGGTAACAAGCTTAAGAAAAACTTTACAGTTTGAGTGAATATTTTGTTTCGTTGCAGAAGTGGATTTAAGTTTTTTTTTATTCCAGTGGCCACAAAGCTTCCCTCTGCCCTACAGTTAAGTCTGTGCGGTGATGAACATCAGAAGTTAATATGACTCACCAGGTGTGATCCAAGTTCTCAATCCAATAGTTTCTTAGTCTCAGCAACTTTACATGTAGTTCTTGCTTAATGACCACAATTGGGACCGGAAACTCTCATCACTAATCCATGGAGTCATTAAGCAAGACATCATATGATTGTAACTTGTGTTTTTTACTGCTGGCTTTTCCATTCTCCATCATTTGTTTGGCTGTATGGTTTGCCTAGCATTTCAATCTTTGATTTTTTTTATTGTTTTTGACATCGTTAATATCAAATGAACTTGGCAAATATCAGTTTTTAAATGAAAAAATATGGTTTGTGTGGGGGTGTCATTTTGTTTGTTTTATTAATGCTCAGGAATTGAATTCACTTGGTACAGAATGATAGGGATAATATTGTTAACTTTAGCTATAAATTGCCTCCATGCCTTAAGTTTTTCAGCCACTTATCCTGTGGGTTTGTGCCATACTCTCTCCATAATATGTTTGGGATTTCTTTAGCCTGAATCTGAAGTGGCCAAAGATGATCGTGGATTTCTCCAGTATGATGGTAAATATTCTGTTTTTTGATATTTTGAAAGCTCAAAAGAGAGATCTGAATGGTTCCCACTCTGATGGCATTCAAAAAGCTATTAAAGGCCCTGCTATTCTCCCAACATTCCGGGCAGGATAATGGTTGTGCCCCATTTGGATCGGCTTCTTGGGCCAGTTATAATTTCTGTTCTGTTTATTGTATTGCTCTTACTAGTTAACTGTAAGCTAATTAGAGTTATCAGAGTTGAATGGCCTCTAAATTGTACATATGTATCTGTAAACATTAAAATAAATTAAACACTATAGTACTGGGAAAAAACAATTTTCAACAGATATTTCAATTGTCTTAATCTTTGTACCATAGCACAAAGGCATCCTATTTATAAATGAGAAGAAAGGCCCTTTTTGTTCCTAGCCAGTGAAGGTCTTCTCTGCTCATTCTGGTTCTCCCTTTCCTAGATGTACTGTATCAGCAGTCAAGTGCTCAGAGGAAATCTGCATTTTGCTTTGTTTAACTACTTATAAAAGCTTGTTCTGTAATGGATATAGCCTGTTCTTGGAATGCAAATGTACTGCTTCTGCTTACAAAATCAACTACCTGGTTTAAAAGCTATTAATATAAGATATTTGGCAACAAATGTGTACGTGATCAACTTGTCCAGATTCAGACAGTGCTGATTGTTGTGCAATGCAGGCAATTATTAAATTTGTGAATTGCAGTCTAATAAGAATTCACCATAAATTAAATTGGCTTAGGAAAGCATAATCAGCTTTTGGGGATTGTAGAACGACATCGCATATGAATGAGATGAATCACATTTTCACCTCGTTTATATATCTGAACTAGCAGAAAGAAATAGATATGAGAAAGAAAAAGACAGAAGAATCTCTTTCTAGGATAAAAATATTTTATGTAAAAGCTTTAGGATTCTCTTAAAGCTCTCTGTTTTGAAAAGGAAGTGAGTGCCTACAAAATTCAGTTTATTTTTGGGATATAAATATTTTTCATTAAGCAGTTAAATAGAAAGCAGTTAATCATTAAAATACAGTTAGTACTTTAGAGATAGCATGTGAATGAATTCAACAACCATTTGCCCCAGTTGACCTCAAACTTGTTCATTAGAAAAATAATGCTTTGATTCCATACTTTTGCTATGCACAGAAACTTATAATTCATTTTTTTTAACCATTCTAAGGTTAGGGAACCGCCAGTAATACATTCTGGTTATATAAATAAATGTGTTAGTTTACTTCCTTCATATAGCATTGAATAATTAAATGTAATCAACTGTTTTAAGCATGACATTTTGCTGCCTTAAAAGAATTCATATAATTATTTTAATTCATTTTTGCTTAAAGAAGGATGTACTATTTCATTTTATATACTAAATGATAAAGATTTAAAACTTAGTATAATCTAAACTACATATGAGAAAGTGAAATAAGTGGGTTTTTTTCTTGCTATTGTTTGGAAATTATTAATCTGCTGTTTCTTTTAATTTGTCCTTAAATCATTACACCCCATTTTTCTGCTATTTGCATAGAATTTCAGATTTGTGAACTATAATGAAATAACTGGATTTGTTGCTCCTATACCTTGCTATCACTTTGTAAACTTTCATGCTTCCAGTCCTGATTAATCAACAGTAAACACGCTTTGCATTTTCTCAGATAGTCTGAATGCTCAAAATAACAAAATCTTCTACCATTTAAAGTAAGTCCTAACTCTCCCATTCTGTTCAGTATATACTTCAAACTTTGGCTCTTGAGTGTCTCATGAGCAGAATGAGTGCAGACTGGGAATGCTGCCTTACATTTTAAGATTTAAGTATGTCTTTTAGTACTTGATGCCTTGTACATGGAGACAATGGTGGCAAGCATACGTTCTTGGATGGCAAAACCAGAAGACTCTGCATTACCAAGATCACCCAATAATACACATGATGATCAGACAGGAGCAAAAGATTTTCGGGTCTTAATTATTGAAGGTTTCCTTCTGTTTAACTACAAGTAAGCAGTTGTTTAACATTTACAAGAACTGCAGTATGGCAAACCAGCATGCCTTACTTGTCGTTTTACTCTTGCAGGCCCCTTAGTGATATATGGGATAAAAAATATTTCTTAACAATTCCTTATGAAGAATGTAAAAGGCGAAGAAGGTAGGGTATACCTAAAAGCAATGCATAATATAACTTTTTTTCCCCCTTTATCCACTATTTCTCCTTTCTCTGTAAAGTTGCACCTCAAGCTTTCTCTTCTTAAGACATACTTCAAAATAAGCTCCACTTTTAGGATGTCTCTGTGTTGGGAGGACTATATTCAATCCATGGACAAGATTTCCCTTTGGTCAGGCGGCATTTGGAACTGGTGTTTGGAAAGGGGAATTGACTGCTACTTGACCTTCATTCAGAAAGATAAAGGGGGTGATTGTCTCTACTTTTTTTCTGAAAGAGAAAGCTTTCCTTCATAGCAGAAGAATGTATCAGAATGGTCACCTGGTCACCTGCTGTCTCTGGGTGCCAGTCTGCCATGGATCCTGAGTGGAGGGTGAAAGGGAGGGGGAATGCTTAGGGCAGCATCCCCCAACCTTCTGGGCACTAGGAACTGGTTCCATGGAGAGGTTTTTCTGTGGACTGAGGGGGGCGTGGTTTCATGTGCTGCCTGCATTCCATGGATGGGTGTTCACTTGTTTGTGCAACCCAGATTCTGCCTATCCACAGGCTGGGGGGTTAGGGACCGCTGGTTTAGGGTGAAAGTGAAAGTAATGGAAGTAAGTTTGCTTCTCTGAGTCACGTTTCAGGGTTGCTCCCCTGGGAGAAGAATGCAGCTGCAAACCAGCCTATACCCAGAGTGACCATTTCAAGAACATATTCTTTGAAACTGATTGGACGATGGGGGAGGGGGGGCAGTAGCAGGAAATGCCTAAGGGGGGAAAATTACACTTGGGATTTGGCCCACGAATTTCAGTTCTGGCTTTGCTTTATTGCAGTTCACTTGACTTCTAATACAACTGTTACCTTTTGCAACAAATGGAGCCAAGGATCGTTTTTATTTAGAAGTGCAAGCTGAGACAGGGTGGACTGGATGTTTTTGTCAATTGCAAAAAAATAGGGTGACCATTCCCAGCATCATCTTCATTGAAGGAAATCAATCTTGTCTCAGAGCTTCAGGAAGCAGTAGGTCTTTTGCACAGATCTGTAATAGAATCTAAGACACAATGGAATCTACTTAGATCAGCATGACTGATCTTTCCTTATGACAGTTCTATTGTTATTTTCTAGTATAGCTAGATATGCAGATGATACCACTGTAATGGCAGAAAGTGAAGAGGAACTAAAGAGCCTCTTGATGCGGTTGAAGAAGGAGAGTGCAAAAGTTGACTTGAAACTCAACATTAAGAAAACCAAAATCATGGCATCCGCCTTCTCAATTCCTGGCAAATAGATGGGGAAGAAATGGAGGTAGTGACAGATTTTATTTTTCTGGGCTCCAAGATCACCTCAGATGGGGACTGCAGCCAAGAAATTAAAAGACACTTGCTCCTGAGGAGGAAAGCTATGGCAAATCTAGACAGCATACTAAAAAGCAGAGACATCACCTTGCCAACAAAAGTGCATATAGTCCAGGCCATGGTTTTCCCAGTTGCAATGTATGGCTGTGAAAGTTGGACCATAAGAAAGGCTGAGCGCCAAAGAATTGAGGTCTTTGAACTATGGTGCTGGAGAAGACTCCTGCGAGTCCCTTGGACTGCAAGGCGTTCAAACCGGTCAGTCCTAGAAGAGATCAACCCTGACTGCTCTTTAGAAGGCCAGATCCTGAAGTTGAAACTCAAATACTTTGGCCACCTAATGAGAAGGAAGGACTCACTGGAGAAGGGCCTAATGCTGGGAAAGATTGAGGGCAATAGAAGAAGGGGACGACAGAGAATGAGATGGCTGGATGGAGTCACTGAAGCAGTAGGTGTGAACTTAAATGGACTCCAGAAGATGGTAGAGGACAGGAAGACCTGGAGGAATGTTGTCCATGGGGTCGCGATGGGTCGGACACGACTTCGCAATTAACAAGTACAGCTAGAGGCACATCATTATGAAGATTATCTCTGAATACAGCATGTAGATGCTGTTGGTCTTATGGCTGTAATAGATTTAATTTGAAGGTGGTTAATTTGTGATCCTTCCTGTGTTCTTGATCGTAGAATGGTAGAATTAATGATTGTTGGGGCTTGTAAGGACTTGCAGTTCAGCTATATTCAAAAAGTTGTAAGTGCTCAACTATTTCCCTAGAGCTACAAAGGTTTAAAGAATCAAAACTTAGAAACATTATGTTAATGCTTGAGAGACTGTGACAAAAATTATGAAAATGGCTTAAAAGTAGTAGTACTGAACAATATGAAATGCTGGATTCTAAAATCTAGGAGTGAAATAGAGAAAAAAGAAACCATTTGAAGATTACCAAACTAATAAGAACTACTTTGTTTTTTGTTCATTTGTTTGTTTGTTTAATATAGCAACAGAATATACAATCCACCAGACCCACCTGGTTACTTTGATGGACATGTGTGGCCCATGTATCAGAAACACAGGAGAGAAATGGAAGAAAATGGAATGAGCATCGGTACAGCTAACATTCTTATAGTTCTCCCAAGTGTCCATGATATTTGCATAAATATTGCATAGCCTTATTTATAAATATATAGTTCCTATATTTTTTTTTAAAAAATTGCTCAATATTTCTTTGCATTTATGTGAAAGGTGAACAGCTATGAATATGATAAGTGGGTTCCTAGTTCCCAAATGTTTTCTTAAACTACTAGATATTTATAAGCTCACACTGTTAGTGTTCAAATTGTTTTTTGGATTGCATGGGACCTTAACTTATATCTCTTTGTATGAACTGTGCTAGTGGATAGCTTATATTTATATATTTTTATTATTTATTTATTAAATGTATATGCCACCCTTCTCAGCAATAAGGTGACACTGACGTTTCCTCTGCTAAAGTAATTTGCATTTGTATTCTACCTTTTGCAGTTTACTTGGATGGCACAAAATCACAGGAAGACCTCTGTTCAAGGATATATAATGATACAATGGAGGCATTGGAAGAGAAGTAAGTAGTTTGCCTGAGTTAAGATCATTTGCATTAAGTAAACTGCAGATAATGCCATATGCATCATTAGATTTCTACATGTGAAATCTGTTGAAAGCCTCTTGACAAACATAAGCTGGTCCCACAGAAGTACAGGTTCAACTCTTGGTATCCTTGGACAGCTATTAGGGCTTTAGTATTTCGTTGTGTGATCTAAGACCATCCCTCTCCAATAAATCCTACTGCAGGTACTGGCAGACTGTGAACAGCAATTGATGGCTATTAAATGTTCTTTTTAAAAAATTCCAATATCCAGAAAATTGGGTCATTCGAGTAATAATATCTCCAGTAATCTGCAAGTGTTGCATATAGGTCAGTATTAGTAAACTTGCTGGAGAAAGTCCGTCAGTATTAGGAAACATATCTTGACAGAAGTGTTACAAAAATGCCTCTTGCAATAAACCCATATTTTCCCCTTTACAGCTAAAACTTAAGTGGGCATTCAAATTTAATCATAAGGTTTTTTTTATGTTACTTATAGATAAAATGATTGCATCATTTTTGCAAAATTAGTTTCCAAAATGTTATGTGCACATATTTAATTAACAGGTTACACCAAAATAGGATATATTAAATTCGCAATTGCTACATAAATTAAATCCCTTTGAATCAATTTCTACTTTAGGCATGTAACAATGAAGCCTTATATTAGAGGCCTTTGGGAAAGCAAAGAAGTACTATGACAAATACTACAGTTCATTTTTCATAGTTCGTTCTAAAATAAAAAGGAATAATTTAAGGCTATATTAACATTGGAAACAGATTATTGACTAGGAAAAGATACAGCACATCTATGAATTAATGTAGGCTTTGTTCTTTTTTCTATAGGTGAGCAAGGCATTGTTATGCATGCATAAATATGGTTCCCAGCCTGGACAGTTTCAATAACAACCACTTCATGAATCACGGAAGAACATCCCACACCTTGCGAATTGACAGAAAAGCAGTAAAAATTAAATGAAGAAAACTCAGCTCTTCTGTACTATTGGATATATTGGTTGTGGTTCGGTACGAATTCAGTTGTTGCAATTCCTCTCTCTTTCTTCTTAATAAATATTGTCAAAAACTTAGAGGTTGTTGCATTTTATAATTGTCTCTGTACTGAAAAAAGTTGGTTGTCACTTTTTGTATACATTTGTTTTATGTATTTTTTGGGGGGGTCACTTGTTAACTTTTCCCTTTTATCCCTTCCCTCCTTTCCCTATACATTAGTTTGTATTTTTTGAAATTTAATAAAGCTTTCTATTATATATATAAAAGACTGTGAGAATCATGCTTGAAAAATGGATTACTGCAGGGGTGTCAAACTGCTGGCCTCTGGGCTGGATGCATCATAGCGAAACTGCACCCACCCCATTGCCAGCAATGGCAAAAAAGTTGCAATACATCACGACATGTCACATGACATTGTGAGTTTACCACTGGATTACTGTTTTAAGCAAGTGCCAAAGTGCCTATCTTAATGAAAATCATTGACCATTAAAAATTTTATATATAAAACGTATTTAAAATCATTTGAAACAGGGTCCTGTAGGGAAATCTATAACATGGTAGCTCTAACATTATTACTTCATCAGTATTGTCTTTATCTTATTATCATTACCATTATGCACATTATTAAGAAGTCTAATTTTCTCACTAGGTTACAGTATATATTGTGATCTCAAGAAAAATACTTTGGGCTAATATTTTCTAATATGGCCTTGCTATTATTGCTTATTTTTTGTTGTTGCTTTTCTAAGAGAAAAAAAATGGAAACTTGTCATTTCAACTCACGTTTTGGGAAGAAACCAAAAAGGACCATTTACTAATGCATTCTTAAATACTAAATTCGCTCCTGAATTTAAGAAGTTTTCCTGTGACTTGACCCATGCAGATTTCTGAGCAAACCCATATCGTGAAATGTTCAAATGGAGTTCCTCTCCATAGGTATACCATCAAAATTTCAGCCTATTGTTTTCTTCCAGAGGGATGGTAATCCTTCTTATCAAGCGTCCCTAATGGAGATTTGAAATAGATTCGCAGTTAGAGGAACCTTTGCAGATATTCAACACTGGATGGGGTGGGAGCTCATGGTGAACAGCATCCGTGCTTACGTGAGAATCCTAGAAGTTACGTACGAGTCTGAAATGCAGAACCCCAATCTCTCGTTTCTGGCTAAGGAACAAAGGATACAAAACGCAAGTCGGAACCAAAACGCTGTGAAGTCACGTGCCATAAACGGGAAACGATGCACACCTCCAGCCAGGATAGCTTCAGCCTTCATTCAGCTTGTTTCCTGAATGAAACAAAGGTTTGCTTCATCTCTATCATCTCAATCCAGGCGCAGGCGCCGAAATACGCATGCCTGGCGGGTCGCCCTCTTTCCTCGTGTCACGCGCTTGCGCATTGTGTAGCCGTGTTCGGGCGCGAGCCGTAGAGTCGCGTTCCGCGAAAGATGGTTGGCTGAACCGGCGTCTTGCAGCTGTTCTCTATGAATCCGGGAGCGCGTCAGCATGCGCGGAAGAAGGCGCGTGGAGTCGGAGCGGCCGTTCGCTTGCGGCCTCGGGGAAAGGCGGCCGGGATGTCGGTGCCCCCCGCGTGCGCTGTGTCCCGGCGAGGGCAGCAGCCGCCGCGGGGCAAGGCGATGCGCGGAGACAACCGGGAGAGCGAGGAAGACGAAGAACAGGCGGAGCTGGGCACACGAGAGGGAGAAGCGGCGGCAGGGAACACCCAGTGCGAGCGGGACTCGCTACAGCAGTTGGCGACCAACAAGGTGGACGGAAAAGAGGAGGAGAAGCAGGAACGGGAGCACTTCCGGAGAATTATCAATGCCTTCCGTTACTACGGGTAACCGATTCACTCCCCCGCTTGCTCTGATATCCTTTATCCTCCATACCTGGAATATAGGACCCCTGACTCAGGGATCCACCAATTCATAGCAGAATCTACCAACGGAAGGGGGGGGCTTGAAATACAAGTAGTCCTCGACTTACAACATTTCCTTTAGTGACTGTTCGAAGTTACAACAGAAGTGATAAAAGTGACTTATGACTATTTTTCACACTTATGGCCATTGCAACATCCCCATGGTCACATGATTTACATTCAGAGTTTGACAACTGGTTCATATGATGGTTGCAATGTCCTGGGGTCATCTTTTGTGACCTTATGACAAGCAGAGCCAATGGGGAAGCCAGATTCACTTTATAACTGGGTTACTAATTTAACAACTGCAGTGATTCACTTAACAAATGTGGCAAGAAAAGTCATAAAATGGGGCAAAACTTACTTAACAAATTTCTCACTTAGCAACATAAATTCTGGGCTCAATTGTCATAAGTTGAAGACTAACTGTACCCAGTTGAATCCCGGTCTCAATCATGGAAACTCATTGAGAGACTTGGGGCCAGTTCACTTTCTTTCAGCTCAATTTGCCTCACAATTAGCCTTAAGCTCTAGAAAAAAAGCTGGGATACTCCTTTAATAAAACTTACTCATAAATTAACCCCTGCTGAGTACACTGGGACTTACTCTGAAGTAGGATGTCAATCTGGCACTATCCAGATGTTTTGAACCTAACTCTTAGGGTTTTTGTTGATCTTAGCCATTGTGGGTGGGGATTATGAGAGGTCTAGCAGGAAAGCATTTTGGGGTACTGTTTTAGATTGGAATATTGTTTTAGAGCAGTGATGGTGAACCTTTTAGAGATTGAGTGCCCCAAAATTGGCCCCACCTTGCTCCACCCCCTGCCCCATCCTCACTCCACCCCCCATCCCCCATCCCACCTGCCCGCAGGGCCACTCACTGCCTCCAGGGCCCACCGCAGATCACCCAGGAAGCCCAGCAGCGCTATGGTAGTCAACACCCTCTGCCTGCACCCTGCAGCATCAACTGTGCACGATGGGGTGTGAGGGCAGAGTCTTGTCTACGCTGCCTGGTTGCCATGTCCTTGGCTGCGCTGCTCCGTGTGGGCCATGCTTAGGGGCGACTCTCCTTCAGGGGGCTGCTGGAGGCGAGGCTGGGGCAACGGCACGTGTGCCCACAGAGGGGGCTCCGAGTGCCGCCTCCGGCACCCGTGCCATAGGTTCGCCCCCACTGTTTTAGAGCATATCTTTTTATTATATAAATCATGAAATGATGTCTCCTATTTAAGAGAATTATTAGGGCACATTTAGATAACTAACTGCAGAGACATCACACCTAAATAGCTGGGTGAATTTTGAAGGGGATGGTTTTCCTAGTTGTAACATACGGTTTTGAAAACTGGATCCTCAAAAAGTCTGAATGAAGAAAAATTAATCTCTTTGAGTTGCCACTGGAAAAATTGTTGAGATTATCTTGGGTTATACGAAGAACAAATTATTTAATATTAAAGAAATAAAATGAGACCATTTGTGGAAGAACTCATAAAAAACTACAGTTTTAAATATTTTGGACACAATATATAGGCAAGAGTCACTTAGAGAAGGTCATGATGCTTGGAAATATCAAAGTAATTTTTTTAAAAAAGAGACCAACAGAGGACAAAATGGATAGATAATAGCACTGATCATGTGTGTATGCCGTTTCAAGCATTTAAATAGCTGTTACTGGCAGATAAAGTTGGAGAAATGAGGTCCATTGGGTCACGAAGAGTCATAAAACAAAAACAAACAGTACAAACTAAGGTTTCCTGGCAATAAGACCTATTGAATATAGCAAAATTCTGAATAGTTGTGGACAGGATTGTTTTAATGCTTATTGTTTCACTTCTGTTTTCAAAATCATAGAGCAGATGAACATACCAATGTCAATTACACAGCTTATGAAGTTTTCTAAATTATCACTTCCAAATTTACTGCCATGTCCATATTAATTTATTTACTTTTCAGTTTGTGGTTAGTGTTAGGAATTCATCAAAATGAATTTCAACACTTTTTAATCTGTAGCCCAGACATGTCAAACTAGCGACGTCACATGACATCGCGCGACATATCGGAGCTTTTCCTCCATAGGGTGGGTGCAGTTTCCTGGTGATGCGTCCGGCAGTTTGACACCCCTGCTGTAGCCAATTGTGTCTGTGAAAGTGAAAGTAATGGAGTTGCCAAATCTGAAGCTCACCCTAGCATAGGCTATTTGTGATCTTTTAATTGTGCTTTTTAATAAAAATGTTATATTTATTAATTGCAATTCTACAATAGCACATTCATTCCATATAAATTTAAAAATGTAAAATGTAAAAATTTAAGGTGTAACAGTTTAAAGTGTATAAAACACATTGTGTCTCCAGTGTGTTAGAACCATTTGAAACACCTACAGAATAAACTTAAAACAATTTAAAACCACCATAGAATGAAATCAACAATTCTGCAAAAGTTTTAAAATACATTTACCTTCTGCTTAGAAAGTTTTCTGAAAGAATATCTGTGTGCCGCTTTGCAAAGTTTATAAATTTAAATGCTACTGGTGACAGGCCATATGCATTCGTTATTTCTTCTAAAACAATGTGATCCAAGTAACTGACACACATTTGTTATTAATATAAAATAGATTTTCGATCATTGTTCTATCTAACACTGAACTTCATGGGATCCTAAATTGTTAATTTTGACAGGATTCTAACTGTATGTTTATTATTTACTTGCATATTGACTTTGGGATAAAATGATACCTGTTCTGATAAATTTATATATGTGATTAAAAAATGGGAATTTCCAAATGGGAATCCACTGAAAATTTACAAGACTGATACCAAGAGAACTTTGTTTTACATTATTTCTGATACTTTTTTAATTTCTAGAACTAATATGCATGAAAGAGTGAATCGTGCAGAAAGACAGTTTAGGACTCTTCCAGCCATGCAACAGAAATTATTACCTCAGTTTCTTCCTCATCTTGACAAGATTCGAAAATGTGTTGATCACAATCAAGGGATCTTGCAGTCTATTGTGAATGACTGTACCCGAATGTTTGAAAATAGAGAATATGATGGTGATGTATGTTGAACATCTTATTTCTAAAAAAGCTATTTTCTTGTATTTAACTTATTTTAATTTTTAAAAATTTCTTTAGTGATTCATTCATGGGCTTTTTACACATGAAAATAGTTTTCATATTTCTTAGTTTAAATTAAGAAAGTTGTAGGAAAATTGATAAAACCTGTCTTGGATTTTACAAATGAAATACCATTCTCGTCCTTTCCAGTAAACCATGATTCTCTTTAATTAGTGATAAGGAGGAATGTTTACACAAATAGAAGATACATAATTTTTATTTCCACAAAAGCTATGCCCACCCATTCAAAGTTGATCTTGTCTCTGTGATTTTCAGTCTTTTAAAATTAAAAGTAACTAGATCTTTTCCAATTCTACCCTGGTTTTTTGCTTGAAGTTAATTCTGATTTTCTACGGGTAACCACTATTTATTATCTTTAGTTTAGCTCTATGTCCTGAGACTTATTGAAGGTTTTGACATTCAGTTATACTGCAAAACAGTATTCCAGATTTTATTTTTATCACTTATCTTTCTAAATATAAATTAATGTAATATGTACTCTCAGTACTTTATCGACAAAGCAAGTATTGACTTATATTTGGATATAGGTTGTAGAGCAGTGGTTCTCAACCTTTCTAATGCCGCGACCCCATAATATAGTTCCCCATGTTGTGGTGACCCCCAACCACTTATGCATCACCGGGTGCCAGGGGCGTGGCCAAAGAAAAGGGGAAAAAAATGGCAGACAGCCTTGTTTGGCGACCCCCGTGAAATGGTCGTTCGACCCCAAATGGGGTCCCGACCCACAGGTTGAGAACCACTGTTGTAGAGACACGTGAACAGTAGTGAGAAGCTACTGCTGAGAAAAGGCTCACCAAACAACTTTTATCCTGAATAATAAATGTCAACTTTTTGATGTGTTACATACAATATATTATATGTCAGTATCATGTAACATGTTAAGAGCTGATTTGGATATAGTTATTAGCTCTATATTTTTATATTAACCAAGATGTTATGATAATGTATCAGATTAATCTGTAGCTAATTTTGTTTCAAATTAGGGAAATGGAAAGATTACACCAGCTTCAACTTTTGACATGGATAAATTAAAATCCACTCTGAAACAATTTGTAAGAGATTGGAGTGAAACTGGGAAACCTGAGAGAGATTCTTGCTATCAGCCTATCATTAATGAAATTGTAAAGAATTTTCCAAAAGAGATATGGTAAATACCTTTTAAAATATTTTTTTAAAGAGAAGATGTGCACAATAACACATTTGTGGTAAAGGTTACTGGAACTGGTCTTTGAAGATTTGTTTAGGTCATAAGGAAAAAAAATGTCATAAATGTTTGCCATCTTTTTAAATGGCTTTGCTTAAAATCTAATTGTTATTATTAAATAGATCAGCGAAGAGACTAAAGTTTATAGTTACAAGAATAAATACCACTTAACTCTGATAAGATAGCTCTTTGTATTAGCTGTAACATAATTTGGAAAGATAGGTTGAGAAAACCACAGATGACTTGGCTATATCTTCCTCTTAATTTTTTTTAAGAGCCAGATATGAAAGGAACTAAAAGGCTCTCTGGTACCATAGTTCTTTTGTGAGGCCTAATAAACATATTGTACTCCGGCAGAGAGAAAATCAACCATTGGAAGGAAATAGTGGTATTAGTAGTCTCTTTGTAGATAACTTTTAGTTATTTGAGATTCTTTATTAAATGGACCTAGCATGGCAGTCTTGACCCATAGTCTAATGTTTCCCTTGTCTGTGTTGAGATAATTCATTTGATAACTGGTGGGCTAAGGTTGAAAAACGAAGTCTGTTTTAATCTCACTTTAACACAGCTTGCAATTGCTACTGCATTACTGAAGAAAAAAAAAGCTAAAAAGCTCATTCATAATATAACATGAATACCCTTCCCTTGTTAGATTCAAGGCATTCAAGAATGTCTTCAAATATAGAAAAAAATACGGTAAGTTTTTATATATTTAAATAAAAGGGTTTGACTTTCTCAAGAACCCCCACTTCCCCACCCAGATTTGTGGAAAAAGGGATATATGTCCGTGAATTTTTAACTGTGGAGGAATATTAGTAAATGTTAAGGATTAGCATTTTTCTTGTTATTTTTTTCCCCTTCTTTTGAAATAATAAAGTTTTTTTCCCCCTTTTGTATAGTACGGTGTTTTTTTAATTAAGTAGTAGTGATGATCAACTGTGATCTGTTTTGAAATATTTTATCCTATAGACATGCATTCATTCTCAGCAAAGTTATAGCGTGGACAGCCCAAATCAGTGGACCAGTTGGCATGTCTTTTGCACAATAAAAGTCAAAGACAAACGTTAAATTTCCAAGAACCAAAAAAATGGAGAATTTCTATGGGATATGTCTTTATTTCAAGAAACAGAAGTAGGTTTTTAAATGTAATTTGGCTTATTTATCTGGAAAGCTAAGGAATAAATTGTCATTTCTTAGTATATATATTGAAGCAATAAATCTGAATATTCTGAATGTTTACTTTTTTTGAAAACAGTATCAAAACACGATAGTCAGATAAGTATTTTTTAAATGCTACAAATTAGTGGTGAGGGTTGAGCAATAATCATACCATTTATTTTTTAATTAAATTTAATCTCTATAGCAAATAAAGTGATAGAATATTGTGACTTATAAAGTTCACATTTCACATTTATTATTTTTCATTGGAAGTAATAAAAGAATCAAAAAATATATTTTAAAAGGAAAGAAAGAGCTTGCTCATTTTTTAAGATCTAGGTTTTATTTTTGAGAAAGCTAATTTCACTTCTTGTCTTACATTTATTTTGTATCAAGAGGTACTCTTTATAAAAACAACTGTTGAAAATCTGACAGTTATCCAGGGAGAATGAGCCGTTCCCCCCTCCCCAAATTTTTTATAATCCCTAGATTTCTTTGTGCTCCACATTTTGAAGACCCCTTTCTTAAAGAGTTTGACTAGTCTAAATAAGTTTAATCATTTGTTCAGTTGGAAAAGCACTTTGATTTTTCAAGTGCAGACTTATTCAATTTATACTTTACTTTTCTGTTCAATCTGGAACTCGGAGAAGCTGAATATTGGATTACATTCAATATTCCAACCTCAGCCTATACGGAAATATAGGCCGAGATTAACAAACCTATCCCTAGCTCAGTGATGGCAAACCTTTTAGAGACTGAGTGCCCAAAAATCGCCCCCAGTCTGCCCCTACTCCGCCCCTGGTCCGTCCCCACCCTGCCCGTCAGCAGGGCCACTCACCGCCTCCATGGCCCACCGCAGATTGGCCAGGCGGCCCAGCAGCACCATGGCCACACCCTCTGCCAGTGCCTCACAGCATCAACTGCACGTGACGGGGTGTGAGGGCGAAGTCTTGTCCCCGCTGCCCAGCTGCCATGTCATTGGCTATGCTGCTCCGTGAGAGCCGTACTTGGGGGCGACTCTCCTCCAGGGGGGTTGCTGATGAGGGAGCAATGGGGGGAGATGGGGCTGGGGCAATGGCGCGCAGGCCCACAGAGAGGGCTCTTGAGTGCCACCTCTGGCACGTGTGCCATAGGTTAGCTATCAGTTTACTAGCTGGAACAGAATCTTCCAGTCAAATAGCACAGGATTCAGTACGATATTTGTGCATATAGTAATACGCATTGGTGAAATTAAAACTGGTTTGGGGTTTTGCAAAAGCAGTACATTAATATTAGTATTTAAATACTGTCAAGTGGAGCCAACAACCAAGGCCAAATGAAGAGCCAGCAAGTACATTGGTTCTTCTTAATTCCTCTCTGGACAAGGAGAGAAAGTGAGATTGCTCACAAGTGCTCTATACAGATGCTCCTCACAAGAAGACTGTGAAACAGGATTCTGGCGGTTTTAGAACTCCGGAGACAGTGAAATAGCCATCTTGCTGAAATTGTACTTTGTGCCTTCAAAAAGGACACTGGGTTCACATACTTCCTTTTTAAATCACTTTTGGCTATTGCTTGTTAACTGCTTTCCAGAAATTAGGAACCTTTGCATTGAGTTTCCTTCAATTCTTAGCAAAATAAGTTTTAAGTACAAGTTTAAGGACTTATAAAAACATGTCTCTTTTTGGAATAAATAGCAAAAGAGTGATTATAACTTTGATTTTGGAAAGTTACAAATGGATGAAGGGTCCAGATGGATTTGAATTCAGATTTTGAATCTCTTCTGTGGGAAAATGCTTTGGTTTGAATTCTTTAAAAACAAGGATGAAATGTGGAAGGTTGAGAGAGAACCAGAACGACCTAAAGATTATAACTGAGGGAGAATACTACTTAAATTTGACTTACTAATAAGCAAAATATTTTTGGACATTGGACATATTGGAGAGTATTTTGGAACAGTAGGCTCAGAAATTAATTTTAAGAATGTCTGCATCTGTAAGACTGCATTTGTTATGAAAGAGGAAGTTATATGTTACAATTATTTGAAAGTGGATTTTAAAATGGCAGGCTACAAGAATGATATGAAAAAAGATGCTATACCAGTTATACAAAATGTTATTATAATTATTATATTTTTAATTATAATGAAAAAGGATATACAAATAACAAACCAAAAGAGTTGCCTAGTTAATTTTCTTATACTAGATTCACAAAAAAGACTTGTTAAAGCTTTGAAGATTTTTTGGGGGCAGGATCAAAGAAAAGAAATAAGAAGAAACAAAGCTCTAGTACATTATTTGAAGAGATTAAAAAGCAAGATTGTTAACAAAAAAGGAAGGATTCTAAAGCTGATTTCTTTGATCTAGATTAAAATAAATGTTGTTATCTCTGATAACCCTAAATAGTTTGCTGATTAGGACTGAAATGAGGTAGTTAAGGTTTTGTTTATAGATAAGATATAGGACATGGGAAGAAGAGATTTGTTTTATTTTAACAGAAGGTGGTAAATTGCTTAGACTTGTTGGGATGAAGAGGGATGACTAGCTGACATATATCCCCTTTACTATATTATTTCACCTTAGTTTCTATACCTCTTTTTCTTTCCTGAACTTTTTATTTTTTTATTTCATTTTTTAGTTTGTATTTATTTTAATCTTTCCAATTGTAATTTTTAATAAAATTACTATTTAAAAAGATATTAATGTTTGCTATAGTGGTTTTAAGATGCTGGCCCAGAAACCAGGAGACTAGTCCCTTTTTAGGCATGAAAGCCAGCTGGATAACTTTGGGGCCAGTCACTCTCAGCCCACGTCAAAAGATTGTTGTTATGGGGAAAGCAGGAGGAGGAAAAAGTATGTTTGTTTGCCACTTTGAGTTACTCATAAATAAAGGCAGTATTAAAAGATTAATATATAAAATAGTTCTTTAAAACACTGATGAGCTTAGTGCTTTGTGTCTGAAAAAAATGTCAGCATCTCCTGATTGTTTATATTATACATTTCACTTGATTAAAGATTGAGTCACTATTCACAGTCATTTGATTCTACTAAGTCTTTCATAGTATGCTTGCGTTATTCAGATGTGTATAGAAATGTTTCCTGAAGATGTGCAAAGAGCAATATAAACAAATTGGTCCCTGTTTTTATATTGAAAGAAACTTGTCAGAAACAATAATGATACAAGTTCTAATATCTTTCATGTAACAGTCAAATGAATCAAGATACAACCACTTAGCCTTTTAATGAGTTAACTGGGATACAGGTCAATTGATGACCATAAGTCCAGTTGGTTTTTATTTTATTTTTTAGAATGTTCATGTATCAAATCCCAAGGGATTTCCCCCCCCCCATGTATTCATAGTTGTATCGTTTTCTGTTTTAAAACTTATTATCATTTTTACATGGTCATTTTAGGACTGTTAGCAATTGTCTAAAGTTTATTTAAGCTTATATAGTATATATTTCCTATGCAGGGAAAGGAAGTTATTTTGCTGGGGAATGCTCAGCTGACTGTTTTAAATCTTGAAATAATTCTGGCTTGATGTCTGTATTTGGCTTAGAACAACTAGGTTGTCTGACCTTCAGCTTTTAGACAACTTAACTATTGTTGAGGAATTTTGGAAATTAACTCCACACATCTGGAGAGGTCAGAAGCTGGGAAAGGCTGATTTGAAACATGCCTCAAAAGGCATGGTAATGCTCAAGGCTCTCAGGATTTAATATGTACCATTGCAAAAAGTAAAGTAGCATTTTGTACGATGAGCTGGCAATGTTACAGTATTGCCAAGATTTGTGTTTAAAGATTTTCCTAAAACATTACAGACTGAGGATCATAAAACATCTTAGCTGGCTTCATTCTGTAAATGGCAATAGCAGTTAGACTTATATACTGCTTCACTGTGCTTTATAGCCTTCTCTAAGTGGTTTACAGAATCAGCATATTCCCCCAACAGTCTGGGTCCCCATTTTACCGAACTCAGAAGGATGGAAGGTTGAGTCAACCTTGAGCCACTCAGCATCGAATTAGTGAGTTAGCCTGCAATACTGCATTCTAACCACTGTGCCACCACAGTGTTTATTACTGAAATCACCAAGTAGATGGTGTTCATGTTTCATAGAATGGTATGGATGTCAGAGTAATAGAATAGAACATTTTGGTAAAGGATATGGTTCAGATCGGTCTCTGGTATGTTATAGACTCAAAAATTATTCAGCAAGTTAATTATGCAGTGCTGTATTTGTAAACTTGAAAATAAATCACTGTCTTAAATACAAAGAGATTATAGCATAGCTGGCTAGGGAATTCTGGGAGTTGGAAGTCCACAGGTCTTGAAGTTGCCAAAGTTGGACACCCCGGTCTAGATAGTAATCTTACCATTGTTTATTTATTTACAAATTTACCTAGGAGGAAATCCCTTTAAACAAAGTGGAATTAAAATGTTACAAGGCAAGGATAGGATTTACATTTTAAGTTTATGCAAAGTGCAAACAAAAATCACAATATTCTTCAGTGCAACCTGTGATTTTTAAAAAAGATACTTTCTTTTCTGAAATTATAATTGCTATAGTAGCTTTCCAGTATTTAAAAGAATCAGGCCACTTGTAGGACTCAGACCAGAAAGAAATATACATTGTAAAACATAAGTTTAGCAAATTTGAGGATTAAAAATAACGAATAATTTTCTGTGTGTAGGCTCAGTAAACATGTTGATGATTACTTTTTGCTGGAATAAACCAAGCTTGGGAAATAGAAGACATGATCCAAAACAAATTGGCATTATTTCTCTCAAATATATTTAATTAAAGATTAACCCTTTTTCTTGTTTCAGGGATCTCTCCAAAGTAAATGTCCTGGTACCTGGTGCTGGGCTAGGTAGATTGGCCTGGGAAATAGCTATGCTTGGTTACACTTGCCAAGGAAATGAATGGAGCCTGTTTATGCTCTTTTCTTCTAATTTTGTACTCAACAGGTACATATACCATCTTGTACATGTGGTTCTACACTTGTGTGTTTGCACTGGCCATCGCTGACAGTTATTTCATGAAACTTGGGTTCTTTAACCGATTGTTGAATATTTGGGTGTTTCATATTTCACATGCTTCTTTAAATTATTTAAATGCTAAACTATTATGCCTTCAGAATTTTATATGAGCGAGAATTTATTGTATTTCAAATGTGCTCATTTTAACTGCTTGCACTTACCGCTTTCGGATGCCATTTTCAGGGTGACAAACAGTGTTTGAATTGGTTAAATGGTTTTTTAGTTGTATATAATAAGAAATGATATAGCAATGGTGGAGAGTCCTTGGGTTGCACAGTGCTTCTCAGCACATCAAGATTCTGCTACCAAAATTCATGTTCAGAATGGCTAAAAGATTTCTTCCACTCTTAAACCTCAACATTCATCACTAAATTGCCATGCCTTTGCCTGATTCCAGAGTTCTTTTTACAAATAAAAGTGGAAAATTCTAGAAAGGCAAACTGCTCTTAACTTATAAGTTCCTGAATATCCTGGAGAAAAAAAAATGGGCCTGCCCTTTCTAGATCACCTACAAGAGCTGTCTGCAATCTGTTTTAATGTTAAAGATTTAATAAGATAAATTTTAAGCAATGAATAAAGTTGTTTAAAAAACTAAATTCCATTTCTTTAAGAGTCTTTGTTAAGGAGAAAACTTTTAAAACAACAAATATTTTTTTCTAGTTGTTTCTTTGTAAATAGGTTACAAATAATAAGTGAAATCTTGCAGCGATTATTTTTAAGAAAGAAATGTTGATGTTAATTATCAAATTGTGTTTTAAAGCAGGGCTTTTCAACTGATGGTACGCATACCACCGGTGGTACATTGGCACCTGGCAGGTGGTACGTGGCCTGCCTAGGCTAGAGAAGAGTAGCGAGGGAGCGAATGAGCTAAAGCGGCACAGCACAGGACTTGCTGTGAGAGAGTCCTCAGGAGCTGCAGGGCTGTTGGGCCAAGACAAAGGCCCCAGGCTCAGCACTTCTGGCTCACCCAGAAGAGAAAGGAGGGCAGAGACAGGAGAGGCTATAAAAGGAGGCGGTTTTGGCCAGAGAGGGAGAGGAAAAAAAAGACTCCAGAGAAAGAGACATAAGAGAAAAGGCTTTTGTCAGAGAAGCGGTTCTGGGAGACTATGAGAGAGAGGCGGAGGAAAGGCTTTCTGGGAGAAGTGTATGAGAGACAGGAAAGGCTTTGTGGGAGAAGTGTGAGAGGCGGAGGAAAGGCTTTCTGGGAGAATGGGTGAGAGCGAGGGGCTTTTGCGAGCGAAGAGTGAAAGAAAAAAGGAAAAAAGTGGGGGAGAAGGGAAAAAGAAAAGGCATTGACTTCCAACTTTCTTGCAGTAGAAGGAAGCATTAATATTGAACCTCAACTTTTTACTTTTCCATAATATTATAAACTAGCCATTTCTATAACAACAAATGAATCTAACAGTAAAGCCCGAAATCCCCCCCCCCCTTTTTTTTTTTAGTCATCAAGTTTTTGACACCTTGCTAAGCATTGGTGGTACTCAAATATTGTCATGTCCTAAAAGTGGTACAATCTCTGAAAAGGTTGAAAAGCCCTGTTTTAAAGAACACAAAATAAAAATATTACATTTTGTATTCTTTAATAACAAATAACTTTTTGGTAATTATATGTTACAGATGCTGTGAAACTAATTCATATAAATTATATCCCTGGATTCATCAGTTTAGCAATAACAGGAGATCTGCTGATCAAACACAGCCAATTTATTTCCCGGATGTTGACCCTCACAGTCTTCCTCCTGGTGCCAACTTTTCTATGACAGCAGGCGATTTTCGAGAAATCTACTCTGAGAGTAGTAAGTGGGGAGGGGCAGGAAGTAGACTTGGGAAATGAAATTTGTCAAATCCTCAAAAACAAGATATGTTCATGTTAGATAATTAAAATTATTTCTGTAAATAATTAAAAAGGCCTTAAGTTTTTTTTTAAAAAAGAATACATCTCTGTTTGTTAAAGTGCCTTATAATTTTACTGAAAGATATTTAGTTGTTAGAGGACTCTCTGATCTCATCTGTTTTGGGATTGTTTTATCAGTTAGCAAATAAGACTTGATCGTGCTTTACCATTACAACAGAGAACAGGAAAGTCTTTGTGCAAAATAATCAGATTTGATCAGCCTCTTTTTCTTTTTCTCCCAGATAGAACATGAATACAGATAAATCTCAACTTACGATCATTTATTTAGTGACCATTCAAAGTTATGACAATGCTTAATAAATGATGGTTACAAGTAGGCTTTGGAGGTTTGGCCATCCCAACCCCCTGTGATCACATGATCACCCGCTCACAATTAATAATGCCCTACGGCATTATTGCCTTTTATGACCTTCTCTGCTAGCTTCCCCAGAAAGTCAATGGGGAAGCTGGCAGGGAAGGTCACAAGTTGCTGCAATAAGTCTCCTTCATCCTTGCACCCGTCCCCAGCCCCTTTGCACTCATGTGTCATTGGCCACTTGCATATCCCCATGCATCTTTCCTCTGCTTCACCATACCTCCCCCACTACTCATACATCTTTGCTCACTTTCCCAAATCTTGCCATGCCCCTCTCATATACTTATGGAAACCCCTGGAGCCTTGCATGCCTTCTTTTGCACCCTTACGTACCTCTCTTGTACACTACTATGCACCTTACATTCTCCCATTCCTGGCAGCAGCCACTTACCTGCCTGCCAGCTGCTTGCAAGCCACCCAGAACTTGCAACTTCCTGTTGGCTTCCCCACTGACTTGGTTGTAGTACGCTGACAGGAACTTGCCTTGCCTAACGACTGAGATTCAGTTCACAATGGCAACCAGGATTGCACGGATTGCTTTATTAGGCAGTGCAGGTTGAGCTTTAAGACCACATTGCTTAATGACATAAGTTTCAGTCCCAATTGCCATCATCAGTCAAGGACTACCTGTAAACCAGAATCACTTTAACAATACCATCTACAGAACAAATAATGATTTAAAATAGATTCAAGTTTTTTATGTTAAAAACTTACAAAAAACACAAATGCAGAACACAGTGGTTGAAATGGTCTTGCTTAACATTTGTCTAGATTTCATTTTACCTTTACATGGCTGTGTGCATTGACAGAGGAACAAACCAATCAACTGAACTGATAGTTCCTCTAAAAAGATTTTACACGGGGGACTTTTGGAAGCAGAAGTCATTGCTACCTCTTTCATTAAATGGTTGCAAGCTTCTTGAGGGAGCATCTTCGGTTTTTCATTTTGTTTTCTCTACTACTAGTAATGTCTAAATTAAGTACTATTACTACAGATTCTTGCTAGTTTAGGCTAATGATAGTTAAAATCAAATGGTTAAATTCTACAAATTATGAATATATTAGATTGTTCTGAAAAAGTAGACTCTTTAGAATTTACTATTTATACCACACAGTTGCAGCCTAGGAAATTGGTGAAAATTAAGACACTGAAGTGAGCACAGATAACTATCACTTCTTAATGATGGTACCTGCAAGCTGCACTACATAGCTAGATTATTCTCTGTTCCTGTTTCTATATACAGATATATGGGACTGCATAGCAACCTGTTTCTTCATAGACACAGCACACAATGTCATTGATTACATTGATACAATATGGAAAATACTTAAACCAGGAGGAATATGGATCAATTTAGGTAATTTACTAGATCTTTTGAGTTTAATAAAAGGACTGCAGTATTTGTACATTGTAATTTTAAGTATGATGTGAGGGAATTCCAGCTTGATATAAACCCTTTGAATTAAGAGCATTGTCAGTTTATAGATTATTGCTTTTGATAGTCTTTTTGGGGAAAGAAACCACTCAATCAATCAATCAGCCAGAATAGAACTGGAAGGGACTTTGGTGGTCTTCTTGTTCAACCCCCTGCTCAAGCAGTGTAGACCCTACCTATATCATTTCAGATATTACAATTCAAAATAGATTGCCAGAAGGATCTTATAAAACATTTTAGAACAACAGAATCTACCTTTAAATTAGAAGAAAATGCAAATCTACTTCAGGTATTACTTACCTGTGCACATACCTAGGCCTTCAGATCATCTACAGAGTCCCTCTTCTAACTCCTTTCATTAAAGGAGGTAAAGTCAGAGGGAAAACCTTTGTGGTGGGACCCCATTCATGGAGTTCTTTCCCCAAAGAGGCTTGACTGATGATCATACTAGCATAATTTCAGTGCCAAGTGAAGACCTTTCTATTTTGCCAGGATTTTTATATTGTTTATATTTGCATTGTTTTAGTCTCTGGGCACAGTACAGTTGTCTAATTTATATGGTGTGTTTATTTTGGATTTTAATTTATATTTTTTATTCGGACTGTATTTTAGTGTGCTTTATTGTAAACTGCCTGAAGACTTTCAGCTACTGGGCAGTTATTGTTTTTTTTTTTTAAAGAATTAATAAATTATTCTTGATCTCAGAAGAATTTGATAAAGTTGCTGTTTTTTCTAATATGTCCTAGGTCCTCTTCTTTATCATTTTGAAAATTTAGCAAATGAATTATCTATTGAATTGAGCTATGAGGATATAAAAAGTGTAATATTACAATATGGATTCCATATTGAGGTAAGAAGTGTTGATTTTTCACATTCCAATAATAATGTTAATATATAATTCCTTATTCTGTCCATTCTTCATCACATGATTAGTTACTATGATAGTAACAAGGTTATTGATTTGTCAATATTCCATAATGAAGCTTTGGGAGCAAAGTGCCCTTTGGGCAAAAAAGAAAAATATTTTTTTTAAAAAAAAAAAATCAGATCACCAGAACACGATTTTTGCACATTTAGACCTGCCTAAAAAATGCAAAGATGGATGGGTGGATGAATGGATGGATGGATGGGGACTATGAATAAAAACAAAATAGAGTAAAAGAACCTGTAAATTCCCAGGATAAATGGAACATGGCACAGGTTACTGGAAAGAAGGAGAGAGTAAATGTTCGTGTTGGGGGACAAGAGAGGCATAGTAATTGATCCCTCATTGTTCACGGACATGTTCTAAAGGAAGAGAAGGGCAGCTGGGAAGAACAAATGAGATTAAATAATTTTTTACCTTATACTGACCTCCTGACAAATTTCAGTTGTGTAGCATTACATTAGCATTTCATGTTTGTAATGAAATGCAGATAACTGAAGAAAATACTGTTTATTTTTCAGATGGAGAATGAATCTGTTTTGACAACATACACTGTGAATGAATTATCTATGATGAAATACTATTATGAATGTGTGATGTTTGTGGTTAGGAAACCAGAAAGCTGTATCTGAAATGGACTGTCCAAAAAGAACATTGCTGGCATTTTTGTTAACAATGTTAGCAGAACATGAAGTGGCCTGTAAGGGATGACTGGACCCAGCCTCTTATTAGTGGTGCCTTTTTATTCCTAACAGAATGTAACACTCTTTATTTTCTACACTCCTTATGATATCCAGACATGCATTTCTTCATTACTTATATTTGGGTCATTTGGGAATTCAAATATTCATGTATCTGCTCTTTCTGTTTTAATTGGTAATTTTGGAAAGATTGCTATTTTAATACATTATTGACATTCATCTCTCCATAATATACAGAAATGTCTACTACCTTTGTCTGAAAGAAACGCTACTGGATACAAAACTGAACCCCCCTCACCACACACATATTGTTTAGAAAACAAATACAAATTTCACCTAAAGTATTTTGATCAGTATGTTAGTGATTTTTCTGACAGGGTTTTTTCCCCAAAAAAATTGCAAATACTGCAAAAAGCATAATGTGAATGTGGCTGTTTACATGTCAAAGCCTTAGAAAAAGTAAGAACAGTTTTGTAAAAAACCTCACATTTGTCCTCATAAGAATTTTATAAACAAAATTGATGTCACTTTTCCTCATACCATGTTGAGCATATGGATAGTTTGAAACTGATATGGCAGCTATTATTATAAACTTACTACTTGTCTAAATGAGACTGTAGTTAGGTTTGTAATATTTTGTCATAAATCCCAAAATGACGATCTATAAGTATTCCTAAAAAATATCTAGCGTTGATCCATATTGTAATTTTAAGGCATTATTTTTTGATAGAACAAGTTCATATGTAGTAAAACCAACTTCTCTCTATAGTTCTTTTAGGACTGTGCTATTGGTAATTGTGCTGAACTGCCCCACATTATGATATGTTGACACACGTACAAGAACAAACTGGATAATTATGTTTTGAGAAATGTACTATCAGTCCTAGATCTCATGATGTAACTTGTTGGAATCTGTCATAATTTTGCACTAATTACCATATGATTACTCTTTACTAGACATAACTTGAGTGCAGCTCTGTTCGAATTTATGCATCATTCACTGCCATGAATTCTAGTTATTTAAGTACAGTTTATGCAAGATTTCTTTAAAATTAATCCTAGGTAAATTTATGGAAATTAATGTACCATCTGAAAACAAAGAAGTTAGGCATCCTTCTATCCATTTAATATATCAACTTAGCTTGAAAATCTAGTGCAAAATTTTTCCAGTGAATTGAGCTAAGAAGATAGAATTTTCTTAGTACATGACTGGCTTTTGAGATACCAAATAGTGCAAGAGAATCGAGATTTATGTTTTCTCATATGCTACTATGGCCTAGTTAACTTATTATGTGTCCTTTTTGAAGCTGAAAGATTAAAGAATAATTTTGCTTCCTGCTGTACTTGAACTAGAAATAGAATATATTGCTCTATGAGCAACGCTGTTAGTTATTTAAACTCATAGTGCAAAAAGTCAGGATTCAAATTTGCTTATTAAGTTCCTTGGCTAAGTATAAACTGCAGAATATGAAAACTTCGTGCGTTTGTTTTAATTGATCTTTTAAGAAAAACTGAATTCCCATATTAGAGCAAGCGCTACTCATACATGTTCAAGGTAGCCTTTCAGTGCAAACTTACCTGAGAGTAAGTCCCATTGAGGTAAGAGGGGTTCATTTCTCAGTGGATATTAGATTGTTCTATTGATATTTTCCTCCTATCTTTGCTAAATGCAGGACACAATTTCTGTGTCTATCTTTCACTCCTAGAAAATGCTCTTTTACAACTTAAACAGTCTGAAACTACTTTGGAACTAATGTATTTTATGCATCAGTGGTCAAATATTTTTTATTGTAAATCAAGTGTTTTAAATTCATCAGATTTATTTGCTTTTTACATTTCTTATTAAAATTGCAAGTATTAACCTTTTAAGTCATTAAATTAACATTTTCTTTTCAATTCTCTTCCATTCCCCATTTGAACTCCACTTTTCATGTAAGGTATTTGTGTGTATACTTTGAAATTCAGCAGTAATGACTTTTTGAGGATTTTTTTCTTCTACATGTTCAATACTTTCAGGATACAAATATGGCAAAGATTTCTGAAAATTGGGAATTAGGATTCATTTTCCAGTACTGATACGTAGAATTCATATTCTGTATCTTACAATAGAACTATCATGGGTTAATCTTTGTTAATTCTTACATGTATGTTTGCATACTCTGTATATTTGCACACAATAGAAAATTATCTATTTTGATCAAAACAAGCTGGCAGTTGTGATCATTTTATGATCATGTGTATAACATTAAAAGGTACATATGCAGCCCCATTAAATGAAAGTAAATTAAAAACGTAAAGTATCCTTTATTTCAAATAGTGACTTTGCAATTATCTGCGAATATATTCTTGCAATATTACTTCCAAGTAATGTAGCAAGTGAACTTTAATTTTCTTCTGTAATGATAGTGCAACTACGACCACTATTTTGTTGTTGTTTTTTCAGTATTACTGATCTTGTTTCCATTGTGTAAATTATCTCTGAATACCTTTTCATCATCATTTTATTAGCTGGAAATGACATATAGTGGTGCTTGAAAGCTTGTGAACCCTTATCCTGCCTCGTTTAAATTACAAAATCCTGGGTATTCATTAGCAAAGTCTGATTTTCACAATGTAGGTATGCAGAAGTTTGTTGTGGATCAAACAAGAGATTTTGGAGGATCTCAAAAAAGAAAAGAAAAAAAAGAGAGAAAAACCCAGCTGCTGATACTCACTAATCTGGAAAAGATTTTATAAAACCATTTCCAAAGAGTTTGGACCCCACCATTCCACTGTCCGACAGATTATACACAGATGAAGGCAGTTCAGCACCATTGTTATATTAAACAATAATGACAATGTAACAGATACAATACAATAATGTATTTGGTGGTGCCAGTATTTGGTAAACAATATACTGTTACTCTATTCCTCAAAGGCCTTGGAAAATCACCTTTTAATAATTTTCTGGAAAAACAAAAAGAGAAAGGAAGCTGTTCCATAGATGCATACTTCCTAAAGAAAATGCCTGCTTCCAAAATTTTAAAGATGAAATCGCAGTAAAATAATGGAAAGAGCTATAGAGAAAAATCAATACCGTTTACTACAATATACAATTTAATGGAAAATTAATGTAAAATGTTGTATGCTTGGTACAGGAAGCCAACAGTTTTCAAAATAGATGAATCATATAACAATAAATGTTGGGAATGATAAAATAGGAACATTCTACCAGCTGTGGTCATGTAAAAGGAAAAAAAATGCAAATAGTAGAAAGAAATACATCAAAATACTCTGCAAAATTCTACAGAGGAAGTTTTAATCAAAACCTATTTTATTACTAGATAATTCCAAAACATCTAAATGAAGTATATCACAATTCGTTAAACTACATGTTGGTAGCTGCAAAAATAAATATGCCCAACAACTGGGGGAAAAACTTTTGCTGATTGGGAATAAAGTTACATATGTCCATCAATGTTGTATTCCTTATTCTCTAGAGCAGTGGTTCTCAACCTGCGGGTCAGGACCCCATTTGGGGTCGAACGACCATTTCACAGGGGTCGCCAAACAACGCAGTCCACCATTTTTTCCCCCCTTTTCCTTAGTGGTGCTACTCCCTTTTATTCTATTGGCTTTTGAAAGCCAATAGAATAGACTCTCTTGAATAGAGTCTAATTCTATTGGCTTTCAAAAGCCAATAGGAATTGTCCAGGCTGTCTCTGCCCTGCTGAGCCCGCCAAAAGTCCTATTCTGCAAACGGTGCTGCACCAGTTGAGTAGTCCTCGACTTACGACCGGTTAGGGGTCGCAGCATTAAAAAGGTTGAGAACCACTGCTCTAGAGCAAGCATATAAAATTTGCAGTCTTCGACAACTATTAATGCAGCCCCACAAGATTGTAAACTTTTAACATAAGATATTTATATACATTATACTGTATATTTTATATGGGGCCCAAGACAATTCCTTTTGACTCAGTGGCCCAGCCAAGGCAAAAAAATTGGGACACCCATGGTCTACAGTAAGATATCAAATTGGCTGTCCCCAAGAACCATCTTGAGTGTTGCATCTTCTTCACTGTTTCACCACAGCAATGTTCCCATCTGCCCTCTTGATCTCCTTCCTAGTCCATCCTAGACCCACCTATATCTGGGGTCCTCAGGCCACTACCAAGCCACAGCCCATTCAGAACCAAGCTGTGGAAGCGGTGGGTGAGTGCAAGTGGCGCATGCAGTTTCACTTGCACGTACAACAGGCAGGAGAGCCTGCGCACATAGCTCCATTTGTGCAAGCATGCTCGCTGCTTGTGCAAATGGAGCTGCGCACACGCTCGCCCGCCACTCACACAGAACCATCCCCCCCCAGTGGTCCCTAAAGCCGGAAAGGTTGGGGACCTCTGCTCTACACAACAGCCACTATGTAAGACAGAAGACTGGCAGGGAGTTTCCATGAAGAACAGCTAGCAGTTAGAAGTTTCCTTAATTTCATAACATCTGGACAGACTTAACCATAGTTCCAACTGGGAAACTGACCATCCCAGATCAGGCTAAGTCCAAAAAGACTAGATATTTCCTGGAAGCCTGGCATTATGACAAAGCGGCCATCAACAGGCACACACACATAAAGCCCCACTTACAGACCATTCAAAAGAGGCAATCAACAAGCAAAAAAAGGGAACAAAAAGTCCAAACATCATCTCACCAGCAATCAACACCTAAATGAGCAGAGATTAATACCAAGATTAACATTAGACCAACAATCAAACAGCAAACAATATCCCAAGCAAGCTGACAGTAAATAGCCCAGCCAAGGAATCATCTAAAACCACTCCCATCCACACTGAAAGGGCAAACCACCAGAACACAATGAGAGCAAAGCCCTGTCCGTACTAACATTGATGATGTTACCTAATTGGGTAATGAAAAAAAAAAAAAAAAAGCTTACCAAGGACCAGGACATTTCCTAACCATCAAGAATAAAAAGAAGCCGGACATACACAGCTACTTATTACTTCCCCGATAGAGGGCGCAGGCGACCGGAGAACAACCCAAAAGCACCACACCGTATTGTGCATTCTTCCAGTAGCCCCGCCCCGTTTGCAGCAGTTAACGCCTGCGCAATGAAGCTAAGCAGCCCTCGGAGCTTGGCAAGCCGGCCTTGATGGCTAAGCGCAAAGCGGAGGCGGTGGCCTGTCGCGCGCCTTGCCAGCCGCGCTCTTTCCCGCACGCGCCTCCTTCGAAGCGCTCGCGGAGCGATCTCGAACGGTGGGAATCGCGAGGCGCAGCGCGCTGGCTGGAAAACGGCGGCGAGAAGAAGCGCAAATGGACGGTGGCGGCGGGAGGCGACGAGGCGGAGGCCGGAGGCAAGAGGCTCGCAGAAGGAACGGCGCGGCGGGAGCCCGAGCAACGGCTTCCTATAGACGCCGGTATGGCGACCGAAGCGGCGGCCCTCGCCGGAGGAGATGCAACGGGCAGTCAGGGCGGGCCCCAAAAGGTAAAGAAAGGGAGCTGTGCGTTGGGGCTTCTGGGAAACTGTAATGGACCATCTGTTGCTTCCAGGGACGTGCGGGCGGGCGGGCGGGCGGGCGGGCGAGCGAGCCAGAGCATCAGGCGGGCGAGCTTCCGTAGTGGAGGACTGCGATGGTCTCGAGGAGCAATAAATGTATTTGGGCTCTTCTGGACTGGGGTGCCCAGTCTCGCTTGTGGAAGGGACAGTCGCTGAGGGCTCTCTTGGGATTCCTTTTCCAGTTTTGCGAATCGGAATCTTTATGGATGCTAGTTGGTTAGTCTTTCGTTGGGAAACTATTAGGTGGTTTAATAAGTGAAGGAATAACGGTGAGGCACAGCCGTTGCCAGCGAAGGGACATTTGTGGCCCAAACGTTGCAAAAGCAGAACGAGAATAGCTATTAAGGGCTTCTGAGAAAATAATTTAAAAAAATCCCTAAGTTGGCTGAATAAAAATTAAGGTGGTAATATTAGCCCTCTGAGGATTTGACTGCCACAAAGTTATAAAAAGACTGAACTTGGAAAGGTGTACACAGTTATCTGTGAATAAATCCTGCTCTTATCCCAAAGGCTCTTTTTCCAAAAGACAAGTGGTTTTCTTAATGAGAAATGAAACATTTTCAAAAAAAGAACCAAGAAAGTCCAGTTGCCTTTTGGAAAATCTGGATGGTTGAGAATCTCCATAGGGGCGACTGGTGTAGATCATTTTTTGCAGCAAACACATTTCTTTCAACACAGGAAGTCCTCGACTTACAACCATAATTGAGCCCAAAATTTTTGTTAACAGAGACATTTGTTAAGTGGGTTTTGCCCCATTGTGGGAAGTCAGCCCCCCAGAGAAGGAAATATTCAAAGGGCAGAAAAATATATTTCCTCAAAAGAATTTTAAAAGCAGAAACCAACCCTGCCCCCAAGTCCCTGTCCCAAGCAGAAGCCACTCTATACAAATGCAAATGTAAACCATCTGGAAAGTTGGAGCTAGAAGCTAGAAGATGATGGAAGACACCTAAAATCTGCATACCCCACCCAAACTCTAGGAGTCATTAGCCCTAGCACCAGGGAACGGATTAACCTATCAACAACAAGAATACCAGAAAGACACACTCAGGAAATACAAAGCCTGAAACAGGAACAGGAAGCTACTTTAAACAAAAGGGGTATAAAAACCTACTAGTTACATGTGCTCAGCCCTCCCCTCCCCCTTTCCAGCCAAAACCATCTTGCTGTCTGGCTCTTCAGTAAACTGCAGCCTTCTTTCTAAAGCAGTCACCATGTTGCTTATTTATCTCCAGCTTGGATGAACCAGGTTGAAGACTTTAATCCATCACCATTTTATGACCTTTCTTGCCACAGTTGTTAAGTGAATCACTGCAGTTGATAAATTAGTAACCCAGTTGTTAAGTGAATCTCACTTCCCCATTGACTTTGCTTGTCATATGACCAAGCATCTGAATTTTGATCACATGATCATGGGGATGCTGCAAAGATTGTAATTGAAAAACAGTAATAAGTCACATTTTTCAGTGACGTAACTTTGAACGGTCACTGTTGTAAGTCAAAGACTACCTGTATACTTGTGGAGGTGACTGAGATTGCTAATTAGGAAGTAAATTGGCTGTAAATTGGCTGCATGTTGTGAGCTGTGGCCTTGGATCCCTAATGGTTTCCCAACCAAAGATTAACCAATAGTTCAGACCTTGTTTGACTTTTTAAAAGGTTGATCAAGGCTATTAGATTAAATAAAGCAGATATCATTTATGTTCCAAATTTCAGGTGAAAAGTCACTCTTGGCCTTTTAAGTGGAATTATTTATTTTTTAAGAAAAACTAATACAGATTAAAAATTAGTGCAGAAAAGAAAAAATAGAAAAGAAATAAAAATATATTAAAGAAAAAGAAACGAATGCTTTGCAACACAACAAATGTAATTTTAGTAATTCACCCCCTTTTCTTAAAATGCAGTAAATGATCTTTTCCCTATAGCTTGTCTATACACTATGTAAGCCTCCTTGTTCAATTCTGATCAGCAAAAGTTTGTTAAGGATTATCAGAGACATCTATTTTAACCTTGATCAAATAAACCATCTTTAGTGGACTCTGGGTGATATACAAAACTAGTAAAGCAGAAATAGCTAAATACATAAAATCAGGCAGACAATCCAGACTACAATGATCCAATAAAGAATAAAATCAACAAAACAAAATAAGGGCCTTAAACAACAACATCCCCAGGCTTGGAACCAAAGCCAGATAGATTTTCAATGCTTTCCAGAATCCTAGCAAATTATGAAGCTGGGACAGAAGCTTAATTTAATTTTTATAGCATGGTTAATTGCCATATTTTGCTGTACTTGTTTTCTACTGATTAAATCTTTTTGAGTTCCCTGCATTAATAACCATCTTTACAACTTGTCATAGAAATCTGCTATAGATTTGTGAGGTACTTTGCTTTGTCTTAAATAGTTTATTACTGATCCTGAATCATGGGGTGATTTTTCCTTAAGCATATGTGAATTAATCAAGTTTAATTGTGTTTTTCTCAGTTTTCCCCATGAATTAAAAATACATCATTTTAATCCCTTTGTAAACAATCTCTGTCTCTGTAATTCTATTATAAACTTTGGTGTGTGTGTGTGTGTGTGTGTGTGTGTGTGTGTGTGTGTGTGTGTTTGCCTGTATACATATATAAACCTAAAAGAGTAAAAGATTATTTTTAGTTATACATATTTTATACAAAGAATTCCTGATGAGAAAAAAAATCTTATCTGAATTCCTTTGAGTCCTTTTGGATAGTACTGAAATGGCCGGACAAAAGATCTGGCTTAATATGACACAGTTTTGCAGATTTCACTGAGTTGTAAGATTTAATAATAGGATTTCTTCCCTATTTGTCACTACCATTTGTAGTTCACCAATGCATTACTAAAATTGGTAGGTTTGCTCCATTTTTATTTTGTACACCCATTTTCAGTTGATAATCTAAATAAGGACTTTCATTGAATATACTTTCATTTTCATAAACTCAGATTATTGTACATTGTCAGTCCCTCAAAGAGACAGAATAAAGGTGGGAAATAGAAAATTTTAATTCCTTTTTAATGGTGAATGATCAGCCAGGTTCTGGTTACCACATAATGAATTTAAATATTCCTTTTTATGTGCACAATCTTTTTGTGTCTTCCCAGATTCAAAAATTAGATAGAAATTTAAGGAAGTTGCATAGTTCTAATTTTAGAAATTTTAGACAATTTTTGTCTAGCTATGAATTATTTCCACAGAATATTATTTTTCCACTTCAGCCACCAGAGGGTGATACAAGTCAAATTTTCTAACTTACAGTGTGGCAAAAAAGTATTTAGTCAGCCACCAGTTGTGCAAGTTCTCCCACTTAAAAAGATGAGAGAGGCCTGTAATTTTCATCATAGGTAGACCTCAACTATGAGAGACAAAATGAGAAAACAAATCCAGACAATCACATTGTTTGATTTGGAAAGAATTTATTTGCAAATTATGGTGGAAAATAAGTATATGGTCAATATCAAAAGTTCATCTCAATACTTTGTTATATATCCTTTGTTGGCAATGACAGAGGTCAAACGTTTTCTGTAAATCTTCACAAGGTTGGCACACACTATTGCTGGTATATTGGCCTATTCCTCCATGCAGATCTCCTCTAGAGCAGTGATGTTTTGGGGCTGTCGCTGGGCACGGACTTTCAACTCCCTCCAAAGGTTTTCTATGGGGTTATGATCTGGAGACTGGCTAGGCCACTCCAGGACCTTGAAATGCTTCTTACGAAGCCACTCCTTCGTTGCCCGGGCAGTGTGTTTGGGATCATTGTAATGCTGAAAGACCCAGCCACGTTTCATCTTCAATGCCCTTGCTGATGGAAGGAGGTTTGCACTCAAAATCTCATGATACATGGCCCCATTCATTCTTTCCTGTACACGAATCAGTCGTCCTGGTCCCTTTGCAGAGAAACAGCCCCAAAGCATGATGTTGCCACCCCCATGCTTCACAGTAGGTATGGTGTTCTTTGGATGCAACTCAGCAGTCTCTCTCCTCCAAACATGACGAGTTGTGTTTCTACCAAACAGTTCTACTTTGGTTTCATCTGACCATAGGACATTCTCCCAATCCTCTTCTGGATCATCCAAATGCTCTCTAGCAAACTTCAGACTGGCCTGGACATGTACTAGCTTAAGCAGGGGGACATGTCTGGCACTGCAGGATCTGAGTCCCTGGCGGCGTAGTGTGTTACTGATGGTTGCCTTTGTTATGTTGGTCCCAACTCTCTGCAGGTCATTCACTAGGTCCCCCCGTGTGGTTCTGGGATTTTTGCTCATTGTTCTTGTGATCATGTTGACCCCACGGGGTGAGATCTTGCATGGAGCCCCAGATCGAGGGAGATTATCAGTGGTCTTATATGTTTTCCATTTTCTAATTATTGCTCCCACAGTTGATTTCTTCACACCAAGCTGCTTGCCTATTGCAGATTCAGTCTTCCCAGCCTGGTGCAGGTCTACAATTTTGTTTCTGGTGTCCTTCGACAGCTCTTTGGTCTTCACCATAGTGGATTTTGGAGTGTGACTGTTTGAGGTTGTGGATAGGTGTCTTTTATACTGATAACAAGTTCAAACAGGTGTCATTAATACAGGTAATGAGTGGAGGACAGAGGAGTCTCAAAGAAGAAGTTACAGGTCTGTGAGAGCCAGAAATCTTGCTTGTTTGTAGGTGACCACATACTTATTTTCCACCATAATTTGCAAATAAATTCTTTCCAAATCAAACAATGTGATTGTCTGGATTTGTCTTCTCATTTTGTCTTTCATAGTTGAGGTCTATCTATGATGACAATTACAGGCCTCTCTCATCTTTTTAAGTGGGAGAACTTGCACAATTGGTGGCTGACTAAATACTTTTTTGCCCCACTGTATGTATTGGGCAATCACATTCAAATCTAAGAGTCTTTAAAAGGAAGAACGCAGTTGTTTCCATTATTGTAAATCAATTTTAATTTGATTGAGCTACTATAATGATGGTAACTAGAGAACATTTGAATGTTTGTGTTAAGATTTCTCCATACCATGTTCTTTCTTTGACTATGAGGTCTTAATTTCTAGCATTACTTTAATTAGATTTTGTTAGAGGTGAGTTTTATTTTTCACTACAGTTAAATCTGTTTGAACATTTTGTTTTCATAGCCTGAAGACGACGTTTGGCACTACAACTCCTTCCAGTTCTGGAAGTTACCATTACCTGCCATTGATTTGTCTGATATTCAAGAATTAGAAAAAGGCTCCATAACAGAAACAAGATCTTCCAGTAGTCCCTCACTATCAGAAATGGAAACCTGAAGAATAATCTATTGGTATAGACTGTGGAGTGTGGTTACTGTTTTGTACTGTTGTTGCTTGAAAGTGTAAGCAGAATTGATACTATGAAGGTATTAAATATAATTTGGAGGAAGGGTAACTTCTCCCAAATTTTTCTAAAATGAAGGAGTCATGCTGTAGAATTCATCAAAGACTAACTAGAGAAGGTATCAATGTATAGAACAAGTGGATTGTGAAATTTAGAGGTTTATATGAACAAAATTTTTTTAGTTCATTGCCAGTAGAAATGAAAAATGCAAAGGGGTGTGGGCTATTGTATTGCTATGGAAAAGAGTACAAGATTATATATATATCTTCCAGTATATATATATAGTGTGTATATATATATATATACTTCCAGTATATATATACTTCCAGTATATATATATATAGTATATATATATATATAGTTATGGCTAGAAAAGATTTATTGCTGAGAGTAATTTAAATCAGTTATTTGATTATAACGGTTACTTGGGTAATAATGTTAAGAATTTCTAGCAATTTGCAGACAAAATTGAAGAATCATGATAGAAAATGATAAGAAACCTGTACGTTGGGCCAACTGATGGAGGGTCTGGACATATTTACAAAAAGTGGTTTGCAGCTGGACTGTTCCAGGAGGGAAGTTGCAGTCAGCTTGGAGTATCTTAATTGTTAACAGATTTAGACTGAAATAAATCTAGAAGAGTCTTAAAGGATGAATAAAGTTAAATTAGTACACTTAAACCCCCTTTCTCTTCCTTTCCATGTGGTCCCTATGGCTGCCCTAGTCTTTCCATTTTTATTCACTCCACCTACCTTGTTTTGCACACCACTACCACCACGTTCAAATACAAGTGGGTCTTGCTATATTTTCTCTTGAGTCACCACTTCAGTGCATATTCAATTAGTCCGCTCCTCCCCATCTTCTTGTGCTTACTTACTCCATTATGTTCCTTTAGCTGCATGCTGCCCATGTTCACTAGCTTGCCTTCACCATAACTTGAGCATATTAAAATTATTCTTTATTGTCTAATAAAATTTCTGCTGACTTCTTAAAACAGTGAAAAAAATGCTGTTTATAAATTAAAATAATTCACATAAATGATTTCTTATTTATAATGGTATTTTCACTTATATCTAGATACCATTTCAGTAAACTCAATAAACAAGCATAGGCAATGTTTGTAGACTTTTTTAACTAAGCGCATGTTGAAATAATTTTTCTTGTAGAAAATAATAAATAATAAGACTTCTGTATATACTTTCACTGACTTTCCATATTTTTCCAACAGTTGTACCGTTCGCTTTATGTTAAATTATAACTGCATGTAAGCTACAAACTTAGTTTTCCATGTTTCCAGGCCTGCTGAACTTAGTCTTTGTTCTAAGAGGCTAAAGTTTGGTTAGCAATTTCAGATTTTTTTTTTCTCTTAAAAATACAAATGCTCCTACATAGCAGCCTCTTTCTAATTTTGTACTTAAATCGTGTTTGCTGTGTTCATAAGAATTCAGTATCAAACTTTTCAGTGCAGAAGAAAAAGCAAGTATAGTCTTCTTTTTCCTCCATTCTTCTCCATTTATCTGTTGGCTATTGAATGAAAGAAAGTTGCAAGATTTCAGCAACCTAAACATTCCTGTTCTTTTACCAGCATTATTTCATTACTGTGAATCATGAACCAAAGAAACTGGTTTGAGAGAATAAGACAGAGAATAAATGATCAAAAGAAGCTACCCTTGTAAAAGGAACTATTATCTGAAAAATGCATAAGGTCACTTACCTTATGAACACATTCTTGGATAGCCATAAGTTATTATTGTATTTTAATTAAAATGTGTATTGTAAATCAGATATTTGACTTTTTTCTTGCTTTCTGCACTGTACACAATCTTCGTGAACAAAAATATATTTTTAAGGACCTACTTGGCTATATACAACAGATTTTTAATGTTAACTTGCATCAATATTTTGTTGCAGCAACTACTAAGAAGAAACAGTCTATTTAGTAGCATTGAAATTAGCAAGAAAAGTAGTAAAAATATTTTTTATTGGCCTCAGAGTGAACAAGTCCTTGCTTATATTAGTAAAAGAGATCCACAGTGAACCATTAGGGGTTCCCCCCCCCATTGGAAAACTTTTATTCTGAACTAAGCTGCTACTTAAAACAACAAACAAAAAACGTTCTGAATGTTAATCATTTTCCTAATGTGATATATAAACTTGAGACCAGATTGTCACATGTTCTTGAGTATAAGTTGTAGTCTTTTCAGTTTAATTGCAATGCAAGTATGTCACCAGAGTTTTCAGAGTTCATCTTTTTCCCCGCTCCCATTAAAGCTTTTAATTGCAAGCACATGGACAATTGTAATCATTACTTTCCAGCATTGTTTCCATTAGCTGTTAGGGCAAAGCAGTTTTTATCTGATTGTGATGTAGATGGAAAGTTCAGTATGAAATCCAGTGGCTAAAGGCTACAAAAAGTTATTTAGTGATGAAAATGAAGAAGGTAAGTAAGCTGACTTCTATTGTGATATATGCAGCTCTGATATGGAAAAAACTTTGAATAATTTTTTTAAAGTTTTACTTCTTCCTTTCCCATAACAACTGTAGGTTGTTATCCAGAGAATTGTGATTATGCTGCTTTTGGGGGTCCTTTTACCGTTAGTGATGCAAAAATGCCGAGTTGAGTATATTCTGGGGAGGGGAACCCAGGAAAGTATTTCAAGATATCAATTATCTCTTTAATAATATAAACTATAGTTAAAATTATTCACTCCTGATTCAGAGGATTTACCTTTGGAATGCTCAGTAAGTTGTGCAGAAGACAAAGGATAGCCTTGCATATCATGAAATATATGAAACATAAATAAACGTTATGGCTTAAATCACAACTATTGGGAAGAGTTGACTTTTATACTTCAATTATCATAAGTAATTGTTTCAGTTATTGTCTGCATTTGAACAATACTATATGCTTCAATTTCTGTATCAGCTTCTAGGTAGAAAATTCTTAAACTTCTGAAGTGATGAAAATGCAGGTGTAAATGGGCAGCACTTCCCTAGTTTTGTGTCAGGTGTTTGAATAAATTTTTGAATGGAAAAATGGGTTTCTCAGTAGTTGAATTTGTAATGTTCCATATTTGTTTTGTTTTTTTAATTTTTATTCATAATACAATTAAAACAACAGTGGACAAACATTTGTTGTTTTTTTAAGAGTAAAAAATATGTAACATGCTGCTGTAATGAATATGATGGTCAGATTAGACTTTCTTGGTAATAGTCAATAGTTTCTTTTTCTTTAGATCTGCTGCCTCAGAAAGCGATAGATCAGTGATGGTGAACCTTTTAGAGACCGAGTGCCCAAACTGCAACCCAAAACCCACTTATGCATCGTTGGGTGCTGGGTGGGTGTGGCCCATTGGCTGGGCGTGGTAGCGGTGGTAACAGCAGACTGGGTGGGACTAAAAAGTTCAATCAATTCCAACTTTGCAAGATCTTTTTTTTCCCCATGAGAAGTTGAAATTGACTGAACCTTTTTTTTTTTGTACATGGCGGAGGCCTAAAGCGAAAAGATTTTATAAAACCCAGCTGAAGCCTAGGCCTGGGGCGACAGCGCACATGCCCACAGAGAGGGCTCAGAGTGCCGCCTCTGGCACCCCTGCCATAGGTTCACCACCACTGCTATAAATTAATACTAGCAGGAAGAAGCAGCTTTACCTCAAGGTGGATTATTGGCCCATGTATTTACGATTGCTGAATTAAAGCTCTTTCAGACTGAATTCTTTGTGTCTGATTCTGACTGAATCCGGGATCTGTTTGTGAAGCACAATGCTGTGGTCCTGAATTTTCGCTACAAAATTTTGAGGAACTGCCAAATTCTTCTGTTTTGCCATTAAACCACTTTCTGAAAGTTGACCGTACAGGCAGGGAATAAAGTGGCTTGTTTGCTATTGCTTTTAATTTTTTTTTAAGAATATGGGTGTGGAAAATGTTCCACGCTTCAAATAATGCTCTCTGTTCCAGAGTTTGGTCCAGAGCTCAAAATAAGCAGCATTTGTCCCCTATTATTTTAAGTGTGCAGCTGTCCCATGAATAATTTTTTTAATTTTAGAGTTATGGAGATTTTCTGAATGGCTAATGAAAGAGTAGGCATAGGTTCTGCCTTTATTACTTGAAAAATAAAAGTGGGAGTGAGGCTGAATTGGTGAAATGCATTCAGAGCTCTTGACTAAAAAGGCTGTTAAGTGGTTCTTTTGTTCTTAAATTCTTCACTTTGCTGAAGTTTAGTCAGTAGGTTGTGTGTAACATTTTCTGGAAAACTGCCAAAAACAAAAGTACATTATGTGTGTATATTACAGATAATTTTGCCCTGTTGAGTTTTTAGGTTGTCAGATACAAAACAGTAAGGATTTCTTGATGATTAAAGATAATTATCAAAGCTCAAAGTGTACAAAGTGTATGGGTACTAGCTTCCCCCCTTCCATATATTGTTTTTTAAATAAACCATTTCAGTCGTTTATTTGCTGTGCTTAATCTCCCTCCCCTCTTCCTCCTCTTGGCTATTTTTCTGTAAATTGAGTATCATCCCTTCAAGATAGGTCAGATCAGGAAACAAAGTCTGCAAGATGGATAGTACTCTACTTGATACTGAATTAATGCAGGCTATAATAACAGAATCTGAAAGGAAAGCTTGGCTGTGCTTTCTAGTCCCTCCTCTATCAGTGAATTAGGATGGATCCAGTCCTGAGTTTTCTCTCACCTTTATTTCCTGGAATTAATGCAGACTTTTGTTTTTGTGACTATTGATACACATTCTCTTTAGAGTCATCTCTGAGGCTCTCTACATAATATATGGATTATTGGCCTACCTTGACTCTGCCTGCCTGCCTCTGTGGCAAAAAATAGGAGAACCCCCAGCTTTTCTCAATTTCCTTTTTTTGTATAACAGACTATGTGTCAGAATCCAATTATATTTCATCTTTAGTTATCAAATATAGAAAACCCCAATTCTGCCTTCTCTGGATTCTGCCATAAGAGGGAGAGAAGGGGGAGAACAAAGGGGCTTTATGGCCCTCACTTCCTTCAGTATACTTCTAAGGAACTGAATGTGTTTATTGCAACCTCAAAGAGTTTGAATGTGGTTAGCACCAAAAGACCTTATAACAAAGGAGGCTATTTACCTTTCATGTAGTTTATCTGAAGTCTCCATCCAGACGGAAGAAAGGAAAAAAGGGGTGGGATTGTGATGCCTGAAACTATCACTGGAAGGGGGGGGGTGATTGGGTGGGACTACTGGGGAACCCCTTAAAACCTCGAATGGGAGAGCTTGAACCCCAAGTCCTGTCTAGCATGCCTGCAACCACTTTTTCTTAATAAAGGATTCCTGTTGGAAGAATTATTCCAAGAGTTCTGTCTTCTTAAGATGCAAAGTGGGGTGGGTCCTTACACTATGAGAAAGTTTTGCTCAGGGTTCAAAATATACCGTAACTGTCTTTTTTGTTTTGTATATCCTTTGTTCAAATAATTTAGGGCCAAACATTCAAGTATTAATTATTTTTTTCTTTGTAGAAACTGGAGTTCTCACCAGTGAGAACAGTGCCAAAGGCACTTAACTATATTCAGGCTTCTTTTCCTCTTTATTTTTTTATAAATACTAGAATTTTCCTTGGGGAAAAAAATCTAACTTTGTACTATATAAGCTCAACCACTGTTCATGATATCAAAATAAGGTTATTTTGGCTTACAGAAAGTCCTATCAATTGTGATTACAGTTACTCTCCTATCTTAAATTAGTATTTTGAAAAATCAAGTTTGGCTACTTGGTGAGCCTGATCAGTTCCTCCCAAAAGTAGGAAGGCTCCAAAAAGTTTGAAACTCTACTCCTTCACATATATTATTTTAACTTATGGGCAGGGAGGAACCACACAGTGTTTCATTTGAGATGGAAAAGCACATGCTGGAATTCATAACAGACCAAATTGGATAGTTTGACCATGCCCCTTGGCCTGTATGTTGTTTATGCATTTTGCAAGAGAGCCTTAGTATGTAGCTTCAAGAATCCTCAAAAGAACTTGGGTCATAAAGTCAGCTGCCAGTCTCTGATAGAAGAAAGTGGAACATTAACCAATGGTGTAGTCCAAGGATCAAGCAAAGTGTTCTTTGAGTTTTGAATGGACTTTCTTTCTTTCTGTGTATCTGCAACACTTGAAGCAGCTTTCAGGGACTGGAAAAGAGAGAGTACAGCACTGATTTATGAGTGCAACTCCAGCCTGTGAAGCTCCAATTTATGAAGTAAGGAAGAAACACCGGACAGGATGAAAGTTCAAGTGAAGGTAAAAAAACAATCTACATAGAAATGGGCAGATGAAGTTTGGACCGAGGTTTTTTGCTATTCATTTTAATGCAGTACATCTAGGCAGCTGGTAATCTTTCTAACTGAAAGTATGTCTCAAACCTGCTTCTTCCACGGCAAATACTTTTTATGCACACTGCTTCACAGATCCTGCTGATCTTGTTTTCCCAATTCCACCTTGCTGGAAGAAAATACAAAAACTATGTAGCATATGCTTATGAACATGGGCATTATGCTTGGGGTGGATAAATTGTTGTTTATTTGGCTCTTGTTTTCAGAAGTCATTTTCCTTATTTGTAACTATAAGTGAGGAAAGACAATGCAGATCATGACTTTGAAGTATATTTAGGTGTTTTCAGACTACTGTGTAACGGAGTGGGAAAAATAAGATACAGTCTTGTATGAAGATACAACCCATGGGCGGGGGAGGGGCTGGAAAAAAAAGAAAAATTCAGATTTGTACTCAGGATCTGGTTCTGGTTATGCGGGAGATAAAGTGACAGAACGTTATCAAGCTCCTCATCCTAAACAAGGAGAAGTCGCCTAACATTCATGACTATTGACCAATTTTCTTAGAAAGGCTAGGAAATGTTCAGCAATATGATTGCCAGAGGTTTAAGAAACTCTCTCTATATGTCCCTTTCATGTAGACAAACTAGTGATTTAAGACTGCTTAACACAGAGATTATTACTGCCATAACTTCAAATGCCAGCTCTATTAATATCAGATGATATTAATTATATTGCTTTGAGCATCAGGGACTCATTCATGGTTCTTCAGGTCAAACTATATATTACACTTTCAAAAAGCACTATGCTGTCATCTAGACATTTTACCAGTGATCTGAAATTTCTATTCTTATAAAAGGGGATTCTATAAAGACACAAATGTGAAATCATTGAATTGTAACTTAACCAAGTAATGTAATTCTTTTCAGTTTGTTACTGTAGAATTATCCAAATGGTATATGTGTAAATGATCATTTTCTTTATATTGAGCAATATATATACCTTTTACATGTCAAGGCATTCTTCCTATCCATAGTATGTTTTTATAGTCAAATATGCTTGTATACCAATATTTGTATATATGAAAGGACAGACTTCCCAGCCAGGAATAATAGTTTATTTGATGTGGTAAACTTGCTGTATAAAAGTATGTCGCACACTAAATATTAGTTTCTAAGACACAGTAATTTATTTTATTATAGATGGCAAGAAAATATTTAATTTTGCACTACGTATATACTTTTTTATTTTCCCATAGAGAAGAGAACATGTAAAATAAACTCATCTGGAACTAAGAAATCCATATGACTGACTTTAAAGTTAGCGATCCTACCCTCTCTCTGTGTGTGCGTGTATGTGTATTAATATAAATATTTTGAAACTTAGGTTTTTCCAACTCACTGGTTTCTGAATGCTTATGTCTATAAATTCGATAACTTGAATTTAGCAGTATTAATTCTAGAGGACCCACAAACTTGCTATCAGCATTTAAGTGTACCTTTCATTAAGAAGTCTCCACCAAGATCAACTTTATTTTTTCTTCTACCATGGCAACTCTTGGGAAATAAACATTTACATAATCAACAGTTGAGATGATAAGCGTGTAGACTTCTGGTAACTACTGGTTTCCTTTCTCAGCCAAGTCTCCACTGAATGCTCTGAATCTGTCTTTCAGAGTGGGTATGCAAACATAATATCCAGTCAGCCAACTCTAACTGGCTATATAATAGATCAAGAACCAGGTCTGGAAATTCTGAAAGATGAATCTTAAAGCAAGGAAAAATATTATTCTATGCGTTCTTGAGTCTTTAAACAATAAGAAAGAAGTGCAAAGGAAACAATAGCGAAAGTTGGGTGATGGGTGTAGCAAGTCAGATATTTACAAAGCAGTTAGACTTTACTGTCTTCCCAGGAACCTCAGTCAGCCATTTTTCAAAGAAAAGGGATATAAGTATCCTTTCATTGCGAGAATTCATAAACTCCTATCTCGCTAGAAGGAAATAGAATGAGAGACAGTTTTGCCAGGGAAGTGCCATGATGACCATGCAGTTGGTGAAAAGAGCAACAAAAGAATCAGGGTAAAAGAGTGGGAAACGGGGAAAATTTTAAAACATGAAAATGACAATATTGTGATATCAGGAGGGATACTTTCTTCATCTCTTAGTTTGTATGATATAAGATAACATTGTGATTGTGGCAGCCTTAGGCCACAGAGACTCAAATCTAAAGACAGCTGCAAGTCTCACCAAATTGGCATTAAGTTACTTGTCATCTCTTAAACAATCTATCTTACAAAAAGAAAGAGAATACAGAAAGTCCCTGAGTTAAGAATGCCTCTGTTTAAGGATGACCCATAGTTAGGAATGAAGCCTATTGTAGCAAAATTTGAGTTAAATGCATAATCATTCAAGTTCATTACACAATACTATTTATATAGTATTATACAATAATACTGTTCTGTCTTACAAACAGATTTGACTTAAGGACAGAGCTTGGGAACAGAACTCACTTTTAAACTGGAGACTTCTTTAATTCTTTGTGTAAATGTACCATTATAGTCAACAACAGATTGAATAACATCGTAAGAAAATATAACAAAAACATAAAAATCTCCGAGTACAAACAATATAACAATAGCTGTTGATGGCATCCCTTCCTTCAGAAAATTGAAGTTGTACCTGAATTTCTGGAAAATGGAAAGTGACATCACTTACGTCTCTGGAGGCGAGACTATTCTATAAAATAGTGAACATTATGAAAGAAAGTGCGGGTGGTCCTCAAATTACAACCACAGTTGAGACCAGAACTTCCATCACTAGTGAGGCAGTTGTTAAATGTAAGAGCATATCTGATGGATCAATTCCACTTGAAGGCAACAGTCCTTAAGATACCTAGGAACCAAGCTTTATAACTAGCAGATTCAGTTGTATTCAAAAACCCAGTGGGAACAAGAGCAGGATCTTTAACATAGTTTTCAATGGATGTCGCTTGCTAGTTTATGGCTAACTGCATTTTGAACAAGTACAATTTCTTAGTGGTCTTCAAATGAATTCCATATACAATATATTGCATTAGTCTGGTTATGTGGCGATAAGAACATGTATTACCATCACCATAGCCGTGGCTTTCTTGGCTTTATCCCACATACTTCTGAGTTCAGGATAATCCCTAAGTAACAGTACTACTTTGGAGTGCTACACAAACCATGGTTGGCACAAACTGATGGTCTTTCTGAATAGAGAATACTTATATCTTCCTGAGGTTCACATTTAGCTTATTGTGCTATTCAAACCCCAATGTTTTCAAGATGCAAGGTTAAGATTCCAAGTCTCTCTAACGTGGCATGGGGTGAAGATGTAGAATGGATGTATATCATACTGGTATCCAGTGGTGGGATTCAAATATGTGAACAACTCGTTCTCTGTGTGGATGCTGCTTCCAGAAGTCCATTCTGGACCTGGGCAACAAAACATTAGCTACCGGTTCTGCCAAACTGGCGCCAACTGGCTGAATCCCATCACTGCTGCTATCTTAATAGATGATTTTTCAGCATTTTCACAGAAATACAAAACATCAAAGAAGAGGACCAAAATTTTGGTATGCCACAAAGAAGCATTCTCTTGGCCAAACTCTTCCCCAACTAAATCTGCCTGCTGAGAAAGAATGGAAAGAATAATAGTGGCCCTGACTCCAAGTTTCATAGATATAGACAATGATATAGAATGTCAACAAAAGGTCTAGTAGCACGAGGAAGAGTTCACCCACTCCTAAACTCTAACATAAATTCTCCTCCAGAGTGTCTACTGTTGTTTCCATTCAATGTTCCCTGACTAAAAGAGTTCAAAATAATCTGGGTTTTGTACTGACCTTATAATGGATATCCTGGTACTTTCTCAATTACCTTTCCAAGAAATTAGGTGGCATTATACTCTCCCCTAAGGAAATGCTAGCTCCCAGGCCTTAGTCAAATCCCAGCTCCCTGAAAGAGTCAGGAGCATATGGATCTAAGCCATAGGTGACAGAGTTTGTATCAGAGTGTGCAGTATCCATTTGACTGGAATCCACAAACCAAAAGAAAGCCCACATAATATGGCAAGATGTTGACCCAATCAACATTTCAGACCCTGCCCATGAAAAGTTTCTTAATGTGTGTTATTTTATTTCCAAACTAAGGGAGATTACCATTCTAAATAATGCTGTTCAACAACTATCAGCTAACTATTTTAACTAGTTGGTTTTTGGAAATTATAGCCTATGATGAACTTCATTTCAACCAGGAAATGATCTGATCCGTAAACTAATGTTCATATCAACATCATGTACCAACTGTTCTGAGGCAAGCACCAAGTCACCGTTTATCCCTACATATACACTTTGTGTGCTGAATCCAACATTACCTGGCCCAAATCTGTCTTCACCATGGATGCCATGAACTCCTGAGCCTATCCACAACTGTATTGAACTTCTCCAACTTCTCCAACACCAGGAGCTCAGGAAAGGTTCCTGCTTGGCAGTAATAAGCAACATAGTCTCACCTCATGCATACTTTGTCACCTCAACAACAAAGCTCCTATTCACAGTCAAATTTCTTAAGCTCATTGCCATTATCCTTCTCCAACCATGGAGTTCCAATTGCTGAAGGAACCAAACCTTTGGAATAACAGTATGAGAAGTTGTGATTTTTTAGGTGGTCTTGTACACAGTTCCTGCACTTCCAACAGGGGCTGCATAGCAACATCTACAGAATTACAGGTTCACCAACCGTATTCTAGGCCAATTTTGGATGGATAAATTCATTGCAAAGAACAAGTCATTGGAATTCTGCTCTTTTCCCTCTTCTAGCTCAGTTCAAAAGCTTGACTGAAAGAATAGTTTCACAGAGGATTCTAGCATAGTACATGATTTCACAATTCACCGATTCTACTAGAGAGTAACATTTGCAATAGATAATTTGGCCTTCTGGTAAATTGTCAATAGTCATTTATTAAGAATTTCAGGAGATTCACTGAGAGGCCCCTATGAATTACCTGAGGATTTAAAAAAGCTTTAATTATAGAACATAAATTTTAATTTAAACAAACGTCTACATTAAGTGTTTAAAAACTTTTTGAACTAGCAGATACATTTTGAAATCTTATCATACGGCACAAATGCTTTCAAAAATTGGCTATTACAGAGATGGGGAGGCCTATATAGTCACACAGTGATTGCTACCACCTATTTTACTATTTGCCACCAAATAACTACTTATCACAAAGCAACCTGGAGAAGCTGTTGCTCACCAGGCCCTAGACTTGTAGATTTTAGGACTCTTCCCATTTTCCCTTTCCTTAATCTTACTATGTTTTTTTTTTTTTTCTGAGCAAGTAGAAATATAATACTGCAATGGAGACAACCGCATGTAAAATGTTCAGGATGCTAATGCTTTGCAGTGTCCCAATTTTCCATTCAGGTGTTAAAATGTTTAAAATATTAAAATAGACAATACCTCTTGTCTAATGGATACAAGGAGATATCCATGCGCATGCTAAAATCTTAATAGACCAACACTTCTTCTAAACATTTCTTTATATGGTAATCATTTATAAAGCCATACTAGCAGACTGCTAGTCATTTAGAGCAGAATATTGACCTCAATAAAGGGTGAGTAGTCCCATTTTCTCATTGCTGAAATATAAAATAGTTGCTGGATCTTAAATGTTTTTTTATCTTGGAGAGGTAAGATTTCTCTATCATTATTTCTTATTTTATTTAATGATTTGCAAGATTTCTTCTATCTTTAGGCCTGGGCGGGTTAAAAAAAAAAAAGAATTGTAAAGGCAAGAATTGTGTAAACTAATGGTCTTATGCACAGCTTCTACATTTTTTTCCAGTTCTGTGTTAATATTTGTAATATAGCATTAACTTTTTCATGATCCTATAGAACCGTTGCTTATTTTTGTATATCAAAGATTTCTAGAAAATCTCTTTGAGATGTCATATTTCTGTTCAGTCCCAGAAATCCTGGATTGAAGATGCCTTCAGTAAAAGAGAATGTGCAAAAATTGTACCCAGTTCAAAAGATTCTCACAGGTACTTTGCTTCTTCTTGTTTTTTGTTTGAATAGTACAAAGAGTATAGTGTATTTTGTATAAATGTATACTGAACAGTGTCAGTACTCATTACGTAAAGAGTAAAGTTAGTCAGGTTGACATAAGAAAATCCCAAATCTTATTAGTACCGTTAAGTTAAGGCCAAATAATAAAGCTGTGTATAACCTGATATTTAAACCACAAAATTAAATACTGTCATTTTCATTTCTGTAAATAATTACTTTAAAGGCGCAGCTATATTTTAATTCAGCATTTCCACCTTTTCCTTTTAAAAGTGATACTTCTACAAACTAGATGGCATTTGAAGACATATATTTGTCATGGATGAAATGCTATTCACATATTTCTTCATATTTCTTCTGCACACTTAGACTGACTTATATTAATGCAAAGGAATCAATACAAAGGAATAAAAATAAAATGCAGTGTGAGAGATGTTGGACTGACGAACAACTATAAAGTAGATTTATTTGCCTGAGTTGGAATAAAGTTAGCATATTCAGCATAAAATCATTAGATACAGTTAGTTCTTTTTTAGCAAGAACTGGTGACTCTATTAAGTGAAGTGGTAGCTAAGTGGAAATCAGGTGACCACGACTTTGCTTTTCTGCTGGAACGGGCAGCTGGAGAAGCAGCATATAGGAATTTTGGCAGTGGAAAATGAGCCGTCCCGTGTGGGACACCCCTACAATTAACCTCATTTGCTGGGGTAGATGGCATTCTTGGCACATGTCTAGCAGTTGTATGGAAAATGGCTGGATGTGTATAAAGAAACTCACATACTATAGCTGGTGGGGGAGCTGTACCTTGTGACAAAGCTTATCTTCAGTGGAAGGAAGGAGCTGATTTTGGTTCTGGGTGAGACTAAGGGTAGAGGACAGGAACAGGGAAGAATGTCATATGAAATCATGACAAAGGTTTGGCTGAAATCAAGGGAGATTACATTCAAAGCATTGTTCTTGCCTGCTCACGTAGCAAATTTGTCAGAAAAGGAAATGGGATTTATCTCAGATTACCTGTTTGGACAAACTGAAGCATTGTCTTCAAGAGGATTATAAAGGGCCTGGTTCATGATATGTTGTTAGGGTCAATGGTTAATCATTCCTGGGATACCTTTCCCCCCCCCACTTTCTTGAATAATAGACCACATTTGTTCTTCAGGTAGTTGGCAGAGGTCCCAACAATTCTTCAACCAATCTCTTCAATACTGGAGAGTATATTTCATTGGGGCATGAGGTTTGAAAATATTCATATTAGCCATGAGATCCTTTACTACATCCTTACTGGCTTGTATCCTCCCCTATTATATTTCCTCCATCTACACTACTAAAATCACCATGTCCTTTGTAAAGCTAGAGGGAACATTGGCATTTTCTCTGCTTTCTTAAGATTGCCAGTTTGGAATAGCACTGAGCACAAGACCTCTGTTTCTCTTGCTAATGACATATCTGGAAAAAAAACCTTTTTATTGGTTAAAATCAACTAGCAAGAGAGACATATCATTAATATTGACATTGTTTATATCTCTTTCTTGCTAGCTGATTTTCTACTTTTGCCTTCCTGACCTCATTGTTGCATTTTTGAGCTCGGTAAACTTCCTTGGCTGTTAACACTTCCTTATATTCCTATTACACATCCTTATTTAGAGTCACAATGACTTCATGGCTCTTTTAGGCTTGAGCAAACTACTTTAATAAATCTCCATCTACCCCTTTTGCCCATTGAGTCAGTTATAGCAGACTTGTAGTAAGATATCTTTCTGTTAACCTGTCCTTTTATTTTAATCCAGATGTTTTCAACATTCAACATTCATTGGGCCACTGTGCAGGTAAGTTTATTCTTGATATACAACACTACACTAAACTTTTATTCTCTTGAGTTGCCCATTTTATCCCAACTATATGTACCAATCAAGCCCAAAATTTCATTACTGTGGTTCCTTCCACCATGTTTCTAAAATCTTATAGAACCAGTTTATTTTAGTGGTTAAGATGCTGACATAGAAAGTAGGAGATTTGAATCTAGTCCTCCCTTAGCCATGAAAATCATGTAGGTGACTTTGGACCAGTCACCATCTCAGCCCAATCCACCTCAAGGATTGTTGTGGGGAAAATGGAAGGCACAAGTATTAAGTTCATTGCTCTGAAGTATTTATGTGTGTGTGTGTGTGTGTGTGTGTGTGTGTGTGTGTGTAAATAAGAGGGCATAAAAATAGAACAATAATAATAATAGTAATAGGCCCCTTGAATGCAATCTCAAAACATCTGAAGCTTGAACATCATTGGCACTGACAAATTCATTCATCAGTCAATTGTAAAGGCAGCTTTACGTAGAACACATTATTTATTTATTTATTTATTTATTTATGAAACTTACATACCGCTTTAAGTGCAAGCACTCTCTAAGCGGTGTACACCAGTAAGCAATGTATATATATATATATTTACATTGCCCCCAACAATCTGGGTCCTCATTTTACCTACCCCGGAAGGATGGAAGGCTGAGTCAACCTTGAGCCGGTGAGATTTGAACCACTGACCTGCTGAACACAGTCAGCTAAAGTGGCCTGCAGTACTGCACTCTAACTGCTGCGCCACCTCGGCTCTTGTCATGTAGCAATGATATCCTTAACACCATCAAACAATTACAAATCCCTGGTCCTTGGGAAGTGACCAGTCAGATATAATAATAATAATAATGCTTATATCATACCTGACTTTGTGCCCAATGACATATAGTTTATATCATTTGTCATCCAAGGGTAATATTGGATACAATGGTATTTCATAAAGAAATATTTAACACATAATGTTAAACATTTTGTGCTCGGTTTTCTTTTTTCCTTTTATGCCTTTATTTCATATGGTGGGTTCATATTTTAAAGTCCACTTCACTTTGCTATTATCTTCAGTCTATTACTTACCAATTTGTTATCAAACATTTTATGAAGGCCATCTCTTTATAGTCTAATATTTGAAGAATGGTATTTAAATCATAAGGAATGCTACACACAAAAATGAACAGTTTCAGACATATTTATGAAACAGCATATAATATATTTTATAATTATTACATTGGCAGACTAACATAACCATTATATTGCAATCATGCATAATAATTCCAACAGGGTAGTTGTGTTAGTCTCTTGATGCAATAATAGGATTGTTGCAACAACAACAAAGAACTTACAGAATGCAAGCCCCTGGACCCTATGCCATATTCAATGTGTTAAGTTTTTAAGTATGACAAAATCGTTCATTTTAACTGATTAAAATGTTTAATGCATATACCAGCATTTTTTTTTTTTTATTGAAACTGTTTTTCAGAGGTTCTGCAGGATGTCAAGTATGCCAGAATCTAATTCGGTAAGACCATCTAAAATCTCAACATCTGCCAAAACAAAGGATGGAGTATTCTTAACAGATGATGCAATTACTATTTAAGCATTCTTCAATAACAATAACAAAAAGAAAGAAAGAAAGAAAGAAAGAAGGGAAGGAAGGAGGGAGGGAGGGAGGGAGGGAGGGAGGGAGGGAGGGAGGAAGCAATAACTTATTTGCCAGTGATCATATTATAGTGATGACCTACAAATTGAATTCCAAAGATATTAATAACTTTTGTATTAGAAATGGAACACAACAAAAAATATTTTGTGCTCCCCTCAACTTCTTTGAAAAACTAGCTACTGCAAGAAAGAAAAAATAGTATTTTTTTTAAAAAAAAGCTTGCCAAGTTTTCAATGTGCAACTTTTTTTTATGTTAGGCACAGGTCGTGACCATTGTGCAAGATTTTAAATGCTATGAAAGGTATCTCTAGAAAATATTAAAGATCAGGGTAACAACTAGCTTAGTTGTAAATGCATTCCTTCCTCTGGGAAGTTAGCCTGTAAGGAAGTAAATCATTGCAGTCCAAATGGGCAAGATTGTTTAGATTGACATAACAAGAAAACAATACTTTGAATCCCAGGGATTGCTTTAATGGTGAATATAGACTGAGTAGAGAATGAAATTGTACACCACTTCTCTTAAAAAAAAAGTTACTTGCAAATATCAATTTACTAAAATACATGTTGACAGAGGCGAGGATTAATTTAGCACAACATTGGAAAAGAGAGATGTTACTGAAGATATCAGACTGACAACTTAAATTTGGAAAACTAACAGCATACATGCACAACAGAAGTTTAACCAAATTCAAACAAGAATATCTCCAATGCATATTTTATATTATGCAGCAAGCTAAATATAAATATCTAGAGTATGGTTTTGATATCCTAATCTTTGATACTCTTATCTTTGAAACTTCAGTTCTTATTCAAGCACACAGAAAAAGATAAATGTCTATGAATAGTGGACATTAGTTGAGTACAACAAAGGAGAAGTTAGAAACTGATATTTATCTACAATGTTCTTATTAATTTTTTTTCTTCTTTTCATTCCCTTTTCTTTTATATTCTTAACAAATAGAGGAGATTTTGGCTCTTAGTTCAAGGACTGAATTCGTATTCTCATTATTAAAATAATATAATGTAACAATAAAATGTAATTTGATGATTTTATAGTTAACTTCTAATCAAAGATACATTGAACACTAACAATACAATCTTGGCAATTCCTTTCACCAATCATGGATATCATGTTTCTGTACTAGAAATATGTTTTAAAATTTACCTGTTCTGACAAAATGACATGTCATGAATTCTTTTTTTTAAACAATCAATAACCAAATTCATCTATACTCAACTTGGATAATTGATTGGGGGGGGAGAGACTTTTGGTTTACAAAAGAAAGCTTACAAATAAAAAACCTTTTCATACGCATCTTTTATGATTTTACCATGTTTTTCATACATGGAAAGATGTAGTTATGTTTTAAGCTCCACAAAACATGACAATCATATACAGATTTCTAATATTAAACTTTGAGCTGAAGTAGCTAATATGGTGATTTAATTTAAAAAAAGAGCACCAAAAAAGAGCAACTTTAATTGAATTAATACTAATGGAAACTCTATCTTTCTGTTTGAGATGTTGTTGTGGTCGGCTAATTGGTGATCACCATGGAATAGATTATGGTTATCCTGTATTTCAATCCGACAAAGAAAAATATAATGTGGAATGGTCTGTTGAAAAAGATACAAAGATTAGTCCAACTGATGCATTTGGTACAATCAATTTTCAAGACAGTGATCACACGTACCATGCCAAGGTTCGTACAACTTTAAACCTGGATTTGTAACACTATTGAGTTTATTACAGAACTCTGTACAAGTACAGCTGTGATAATCTAGAAAACAAGTATTAGTGATAAACATAAAATTGCTGTGAGATTGAGTAAAGATAATCTATATAAATGTGCTTTTATTTAAATGTTTTGTCACAACTTGTTGAGCTGAATATCAGGAAATAATGCATACGAAACACTATGGAAATAGCAGTCTTAACATCTCAGTTGAAATAATAGTAGAAAATAAGGAACATGACCTTGATGGAGATATTAAGGAGCTACGGTATTACCTAAGCATAAGGTACCGAAACATATTTTAAAGTTCAGAGCAACCAGATAACATTCAGAAGTAACTCAGACAGACACCTCCCTAATTTATTGAAACATAAGAGGTAGGAGGTACTACACAATCAGACCCAAAGTTGCTTTTTTTACAAAGGCAACTGGATCTTTTTGTTTTTTTTTCCTTTGAAAATGTGGAATGTTTTCAAAGGAAAAAAGCCAAGAAAGTCCAGTTGCTTTTTGGAAAAAGCACTTTTGGGACAACCATGACCTGGATGATTGAGAATCTCCATAGATATTTACACAATCAGATTAGCCAGATTCTGTTATAATAACCAATCTTAATCAAAGTGGTTTTAGCCTTCTGGTTGAGTTGATCTCCTGGTCTGGTTTATCTACTAGGCTAGAAAATGATTTAATTAAAGCAAGGAAGGCATTACACTCCCTTTGTGATAAATGTACAAGTTCCAACCAGGAATTTGGAAAACATTAAAAAGTTAGTGAAATCTCATTAATCAGTAGATTTCTGTTCCTGTTGATGTTGTGATACTGGGAAAGGAAAAAGAGGTACCTGACATTAAGTAGACAGTTAAGGCTGTGAAGCATGATTTGAAGCATGAAACTAAAAATTGTAGGCAATGTTACAGAGTTAAGAATGCTTGAAGCTTGGAGAGCTATGACCTTGGAGCAAATATGCAGAAATGATTATGAAAACAAAAGCTTTGCTAAGCCTGGGAAACAGAGAAAACAGAGATAGACACTAAAACTGGCTCCACTGTAATTCTCTGGGTATTAAAAGAGAGAAGGGAAAATAAAGGCTTTCAAAATTCTGTCAGTATAACCTGTATAAATGAAATATATAGTTCCAGTCAAACTTGTAGAGTTTTTTCCTTTGACCTGGCCTACCTCATATGGCTGACAGAAAGCAAGACAATGATTAGAACTCACAACAACTTGAGGAAACTAGAATTAAGATTCTATATCAGGGGCCTTCAAACTTATCCCTTGTACGACTTATGCACTTCAATTCCCAGAATTCCACAGCCAGCGTGCCACGCTGGCTGAAGAATTCTGGAAATTGAAGTCCACAAGTCATAAAAGGGCCAAGTTTGAAGGCCCCTGTTCTATATTATTCCTGTAAATTTATAATTATCTCTGATATTTTTGGGTTTGGGCAATTACAGCTGTTGTTTTTTTTTGTCCCATAGTATATCAGAACTTCTTATGACACAAAGCTAGATCAGCTGTTGCAGCTCATGATTAAAGAATGGCAGATGGAATTTCCCAGACTGGTCATTTCGATTCATGGTGGCGTCCAAAACTTCAAACTTCCATCTAAACTGGTGCAGCTTTTCAGCAAAGGATTGGTCAAAGCTGCTGAAACTACAGGAGCTTGGATATTAACAGAAGGCATTAACACCGGTAAACCTATCTCTTTTTAATATTTGGTGGGCAAATGTTTCTGAGATCTGTGTACACAAGAATAATCTTGCTATCATCTTGTTTGCTAAGAGTTCCATATTAAGCATATTAAGACTACACCAGGTAGCAGGAGAGCTGCTTGTGTCTGTCGTAAGCACACCAAAGAGCTGTTTTAAAGTGTGGTACTCTCCCCAGATATATTGCTTACCTCCTTGTAGTATCTTCTTCCAAGCACTATTGGAGGATAATATTAACTTATAGAAACAAAGTTTTGTTAAAGTTTGGTGTAGTAGTTAAAGAGCTGGCCCAGAAACTAGGAGACTGTGAGTTCTAGTCCTGCTTTGGTCTAGTCAATCTCTTAGCCCAATATTACTACTTTATACAACTTGTGCATCTATGCCCCACATAGTACTCTTTGTCACATTTAACATAAAGCATGTGGGAAAATATTGTGTCATCTCATTCTTCAAAAACAAAACAAAAAAACCCCCATGAATCATAAGTGAGGAACAATGCACATTATTGTGTAGATGTTTTACATAACTAAGCTGTGGTAATTCAGTCAGGTTCAACATGGCTCTGATTCTTGTTTACATTTGGAAGGGTTACAAGACATTTCATTTCTGTAATCCGATCATATTGTAAATTTGTAATGATGATAATAATGTCAACTTTTTCAATGTAATTGTCTAGGAATATCTAAGCATGTGGGAAATGCATTGAAATTCCATGCCTCTCAATGTTTAAGAAAGATCTGTGCTATTGGAATTTCCCCTTGGGGCATCATTGAAAATCAGAAAGAACTTATTGGCAAAGATGTGAGTTCCCAAATGGTTTTTATTTTTTTTTATTTTTTTTAATGAACTCTTTGAACTGTTCCACACTATAATTGTACGAGTATCAGGAACAAGGTACAGATTGTAGAACACTACTAATTTCCTACATATAGCATATGTGAGGATAAATATTTCTATTTACTTATTTATACAACTGCAAACTTTACTATTCAGAAATTCACCCTGTATATTACTGGTCATGTAAAAGATCTTATTATTTATCACATATATATTTAATTTCTAAAACTGTATCTCTATTTTTCCAGTGTGAAATAGTTTGGATAGAAAAATATACATCTGATCCAAATTCATTCAATCTTTTACACCACACAGATTCTCAACTAATCAGAGTCCCAGTCTATTGCCATCTGGAAACTAACAATTGCATTTATATTTTGTTACATTTTTTGTAGCTATACTTCTTTTAGAAATGAAACTTAGGTTTTAAAAGTCTATATTTCACAGATGTTAATTTTTATACGATGGGGAGTACTTTCTTCATTACATCTGAACAATTTTCAAAGGACAAATTCTTATGTTTTTTTTAAAAAAATAGAATAGAATAGAATAGAATAGAATAGAATAGAATAGAATAGAATAGAATAGAATAGAATAGAATAGGAGTTAGAAGGGAATTTGGAGGTCTTCTAGTCCAGCCCCCTGCTCAAGCAGGAGAACATATACTATCTCAGACAAGTGACTGTCCAGTCTCTTCTTAAAATCCTCCAGTGATGGAGCACCCATGATTTCTGAAGGCAAGACGTTTTACTGGTTAATTGTCCTCACTGTTTCTCCTTAATTCCAGGTTGCTTCTCTCTTTGGTCAGTTTCCAACCATTGTTTCTGGTCCTGCCTTCTAGTGCTTTGGAGAATAATTTGACCCTCTCTTTTTGTGGCAGCCTCTCAAATACTGGAATACTGCTATCATGTCACCCCTATTTCTTCTTTTCTTTAGACTAACCAAACCCTGCAGCGTCCTTCGTATGTTTTAGTCTCCAGGCCTTGAATCATCTTAATTGCTCTTCTCTGAACTTTTTCCAAGATCTCAATGTCTTTGTTGTAGTATGGTGACCAAAATTGGTTGCAGTATTCCAAGTGTAGTCTTACTAGGATTTTATAAAGTGGCACTAATACTTCGTGTAATCTTGATTCTATGCCTCTGTTTATGCAACCCAGGACTGTATTAGCTTTTTTGGCTGCTGCTGCTGGCTCATAGTCAAGTGATCACCCACTAGGACTCCAAGGTCCCTCTTACAGTTTTTGTTTTTGAGCCAGATCTCACCTAATCTTTAATTATATCTTTGATTTTTCCTGCCTAAATGTAAAACTTTGCTTTTCTCCACATTAAAACTTATTTTGTTGGATAGGACCCATTGTTCCAGTTTGTCAAGATTTTTTTGAATCCTGAGCTTGTCTTCTGGGATATTGGCTATTCCTGCCAGTTTAGTGTCATCTGCAAATTTGATGAGTTCCCCTTCTATTCCCTCATCTAAGTCATTGATGAAGATATTGAAGAGTACTGGGCCTAAGACAGAACCTTGTAGTACCCCACTGCTTACTTCTCTCCATGTGGATATAGTACCATTGAGGACTACTCGTTGAGTATGGTTTGTTAGCCAGCTACAAATCAATCTGGTGGTGATGTTGTCTATTCCATCTTTTTCTAGCTTATCAAGCATTAGATTGTGGTCTACTTTGTCGAATGCCTTACTGAAATCTAAGTGTACTATGTCCACTGTGTTTCGCTGGTCTACTAATTTGGTCACTTTATCAAAGAATGAAAAAAGATTGGTTTGGCATGATCTGTTTTTAACAAACCCATATTGGCTACCAGTTATAACTTTATTTGCTTCTAGTCGTTCGCAGATCTATTTTTTGATTATCTTTTCCAGGATCTTCCCAGGTATTGATGTTAAATTGATTGGTCTGTAGTTTCCTGGGTCTGTTTTTTTTCCTTTCTTGAAGATGGGAACCACATCAACCCTTTTCCAATCCTCAGATACTTACCCGGTGCTCCAGGACTTTTGAAAGATATGGTGCAATGGTTCTGAGATAACATCTGCCAGCTCCTTCAGAACTCTGGGATGTAATCTGTCGGGTCCTGGTGATTTATATTTGTCAAGGTCAGATAGGTGTTCTCTTACCATTTTCTTGCTTATTTTTTGTTTCTAGTTTGTCTTTTTCAGTATTTTTTTTTGTATGTTGTGCTATAATTTCTTTTTGTGTGAAGACTGATGCAAAGAATGAGTTAAGCAGCTCTGCTTTCTCCTTATTGCTTGTTACTTCCTTGCCATCTTCTCTCTTTAGTGGATCTACAGTTTCCTTGACTTCTGGTTATTAATATGTTGAAAAAAACTATTTTTATTATTCTTGATTTCTGGTCTTTGTTCATTCTGAACCTTTGCTTTCCTGACTTCATCTTTGCATGTTCTGGCTATCTGCTGATAATCAGCCTTAGTTATGTGTCCCTCTTTCCATTTTTTGTACTTGTCCTTTTTGTCTTTCAGTTTGTCTGAGAGATCTGTGTGCAGCCATGCTGGTTTCTTCTTGACTTTCTTGTTTTTCAGTGGCATTGTACTGGTCTGGGCTTTTATGATAACATTTTTCAGAGTTTCCCATGCTTCTTATTTTTTTTCCCCCTTTAGGATTTTGATCCATGGAATCTTTCCTAGGTTCACTCTGAGTTTGTTAAAATCAGCTTTTTTGAAGTTTAAGACATTGATTGAATTATTTTCTATTGCTTGTGTTTGCATTATATTAAATTCCAGTATGACGTGGTCACTTTTTCCTAAGGTTCCGGAAACTTCAACTCCCGCTATTACTTCTTCTCTATTAGTATGAATTAGGTCCAGTATAGCTTTACTTTTAGTTCCCTCCTCTACCTTTTGGACGACAAAGTTGTCGGCTAGGTTGGTTAGGAATCTGTTTGCTCTCCTGCTCGCAGCAGAATTTGTCTCCCAGCTGATATCTGGGTAGTTAAAGTCTCCCATTACTACTGTGGTATGCTTCCTACATACATTTGTTAACTGGTTGGCAAAGAGTCCATCTATTTCTTCTGATTGGTTAGGTGGCCTGTAGTATATGCCTATGATAATGTCACTTTTTTTCCTTTTATATTGATCCATATAGATTCTGGAGGGCTTTTATCTTTGATCATGTGCGTTTCTGTAGATATATAGTATTTTCTTACATATAGTACATATATATTTTTTAAAGCTAGGCAAATATCAGTTGAGATTTGTCTTTTTATTTGTACCTTCAGCTGAGAGTTTTATCTTTCACTTTTGCAGAGAAAATTCATTTGCATACAAAAATACATACTGTGTCTTTTTTGTTTGATTTAGTAATTTAATTTAATTTAATTAATAATTTCTAATTACTAAGATGTTTAGCAAAATCTCAAAGTATAAGAAAAATATTTGGAAATATTTCGGAAAGATTCATTTCAGGTTTTATGTAAGTAAATCATTAGTTTTCATTATGCGACATAAGATACCATTTGAATTTTTATATTTATGTATTGAAAATTAAACCTCACAAACTAAGTAGCATTTCATGAAGCTAGAATCTTGCCATAGATTATCCTATTAGTAAGTTCATTGTTGTTTTATTTTAAAAAGATTTTAATGAGGAATAATGGGAAATAAAATGCTCTTTCTTTTTTCTACCAATCCTGTAAAAAATATTATTCCTCTCTCTTTCTCTCCTTCCTTCCTATATGGAATTTCTCATTACCTAAGGCTGTGAGTTTGCCAGGGGTAACATACAAATAATTGAATTAAGAATCATAATTCAAGGATGATAACTTTTGTTTCTCTGCTAGGTATGCTGGGGGGAGGGGAGAGCTGATATTAAGCACGGACAATATTCCACAGTCTTCCCGAGCTACAAAAGTTTGTAATCCATCTTAAGGACAGTGAAATAGTGCTTTGGAAGGGCTGTTTTTCTAATCTTTGTTTCTCTTTAGGTAGTCTGCCTGTATCAGACACTTGGCAATCCTCTTAGCAAGCTGAGCACCCTCAATGGCATGCATTCCCATTTCATACTGGTTGATGATGGCACAGTGGGAAAGTACGGCAGTCAGATAAAACTCAGGAGAAATCTGGAAAAGTATCTATCACTTCAAAAAATACATACCAGTAAGAAATCTTTATTCTGTAGTACTTCTGTAAGAACCTCTTTCAGTGGTGCACTTTTCTAATTGATCATGCAGGGTTAGAAGGATAATGACTTTTAGCAATCCTGATCCTGATCCTGACCCTGACCCTGACCCTATCCTTAACCCCAAAACCGAACCCTAACCCGAACCTGAACCTGACCCCGAACCCAAACCCCAACCCTAACCCAAACCCAAACCCAAACCAGAATCCAAACCTAAACCCTAACCCTAAGCCTAACCCAAATCCGAATCCAAAACCAAAACCAAAACCAAACCAAAACCCGAACCCTGCTGTGTTTCATACCCACATTTATGCCACTGAACAAATGAAAACGTGCCATTTTAATCGAGAAGTCTTTATAGCTCTTCTAACTTTTTGTAACATGAGAAACATTATGATTTTAATCCCGTCATAGCAGCGGATTTAAATAAGTACTGAATGTCCTAAATTAATGGTTGCAATTTCTTGTGTGATTTGAAATAGGAATGGGGCAAGGAGTGCCCTTAATTGGGCTAGTGGTAGAAGGCGGTCCCAGTGAAATCCTGACAGTCTGGGAATATGTCAAGGACACCCCTGCTGTTCCCGTAGTAATATGTGAAGGCACCGGAAGAGCTGCAGACCTGCTTGCCTTTACGTATAAACACACCGCAGATGACACGTGAGTCCCTGCACAACAGTCCTTCAGATACTGAACGAAAAAATAGTGTGCCCAAATGAAAAGTTCAAATCTTTAAATTTTTCTTTAAATGGTGTGTCATAAGACAACCCTGACTAAAACATATTTGGTTACAGGTGGTCCTTGACTTACAACCATAATGTTAAACCCAAGCCCCAAATTTCTGTTGCTAAGCGAGGCAATGGTTAAGCGGGTTTTGCCTCATTTTTAGACTTTTTTTGCCATGGTTGTTAAGTGAATCACTTAAGCAAATCCAACTTCTCCCCCGCCTTGAATGTGCTTACCGGAAGCCAGCTGGGAAGGTAAAAATCACACAAGTCCATGACAATGCAACTGTCATAAGTACATGCCAGTTGCCAAAGGCCTGAATTTTGATCGCACGACCACGGGAACTCTGTGACTGTCATTTGTGTGAAAAGCAGTCATAAGTCACTTTTTTCAGTGCCACTGTAACTTAGAATGGTCACTAAACAAATGGTTGTTAGCTGAAGTGATATTTAGGAGAGGAACAGTATAATAAGCATCGCTGGGGCCATTTGGAAAATGTTTACGCTGGTAGGGAACATTCATGTAATGAACTTATATACCTTTCCCCTCTCAGAAACTGGAACTCTCAACTTAAGGAAAAGATATTATTAATGATTCAGAACAGCTTCAGTTTTGGGCAAAAGCAGTCCCATCATTTGTTGAAAATTTTAATGGAATGTATGGAACATAGGGATTCTGTAAGTATCCTGATTTCACGGTATCTTTTTATTAGTCCCATCCTCTTCTCTATCACCGAATTGTTACTCATACCAAGATACTGTTTCACTAATATTATCAGTGGAAAATAATAACTAATCATGATTAATATTCAATAATTAATATTATAATATTAATAATTAATGACAAATAATTTGTGCAGGTTTTTTTTAATAAGGCAAGAATTGTATACTTCAAGATAAGCTTGGACGTTTTTGCACCAGTGATGTAAACCAGTAATCCTTATTCTTCTTTCTATCACCTTCCACAAGAATAAAAAATAAAAAAAGGTTCACAATACATTTTGGTCAATTGCAGTAAGTTGTTTGTCTGGAACACATATGAAGAAATTTGTTGAATTCAATTTGTTTTTATTTATCATTTAGTTAGTCATAGATCCTATCCCATTTTGTCTGAGTTTGCATGTTTGTGCCCATGTTTTACAGAATTTGTCAATACATTTTTCATAATAAATCCATTCTGCAAATGATTCCTCTCATGAAGTACATTTTTAATACAAACTCTAATATGCACAGTTTTATGCACAGTGTCTCCCTAACATTATGCATTTTTGTGGTAATACCCATTCTTACACTCTTTCTTTGGTTGGGATACTTTGGGAAAATCCTTTGATTGCTACAATTTGTATATCAGTTTACGTATTGATATTGGAATCACAAATTATGAAAATGTGACTTAAAATATGAAATAACTAAGTGTCCATCATTTTTTCCATAATAATAAAATAAAATAAAATAATTTGAATTTTTCCCTTATATATGCAGACTCCATCTGTCTTCAGCAGAGGTCTTCAAACTTGGCAACTTTAAGACTTGTGGACTTCAACTCCCAGAATTCCTCAGCCAGCCCTGGCTGAGGAATTCTGGGAGTTGAAGTCCACAAGTCTTAAAGTTATCAAGTTTGAAGACGCTTAGTCTTCAGCATTCACTTCCTGTTCTTCATATTTACAGAAATAGCTTAATACCCCTGTCTTAGATATCTTTCTGCCACTCCAGCTTCAGCTTATTCCTTTTGATCTTATTTTCATATTTTTCAGGGCATTTGATTCTCTTTCTTCCTGTCAATCTTTTTCTCTATAACTTAGGAGACCTTTGAAATCATCTAACGGTGTTCACTTTTCTTTCCTCTAGTAACATGTTATTTTTTGATAGATAACAATATTTGATGCTGAGTCAGAGGAACATCAAGACATGGATCTGGCAATCCTGACTGCGCTCTTGAAAGGTACTTTATATCTTCTTTTCTCATGGACTTCCAAAATCAAATGAGAAATAGAAGTTAAATTATCATGAGTATAAAATCTAACCCAGAATGTCTTTATTCGTAGGTACACATATGTCTGCTCCAGATCAGCTCAATCTGGCTTTGGCTTGGAACAGATTGGATATTGCTAAGAAACATATATTGGTTTATGGACAACACTGGAAGGTAAATTTAGCATTTGTTTCTGCTGCATATGACTATCAGAAGTCCCACTTTTTACATTCTTGACTTGTCTTACCTTGCCTATGAAGTATTTTTACATCTGAATTGTCATCAGAGTTAGGATAACAATAACAATAGAGCAGTGGTGGCGAACCTATGGCACGGGTGCCAGAGGCAGCACTCAGAGCCCTCTCTGTGGACACACATGCTGTAACACCAGTCCTAGGCCTTCAGCTGGGTTTTATAAAACGTTTTTGCTTTAGGCCTCCACCGCCGTGTGGAAAAAAAAAAGGTTCAATCAGTCAATTTCACCTTCGCGAGGAAAAAATAAGATCTTGCAAAGTTGGAATTGATTGATTGAATTTTTTAGCCCCACCCAGTCTACCATTACCACTGCAGCCAAGCCCAGCCAATGGGCCACACCCACCCGGCATTCGACGATGCATAAGTGGGTTTTAGGTTGCAGTTTGGGCACTCAGTCTCTAAAAGGTTCGCCATCACTGCAATAGAGCCATGATGGCACAGTAGTTAGAATGCAGTACTACAGGCTAACTTCTAGCAGTTCAATCCTGACCGGCTCAAGGTTGACTCAGCCTTCCATCCTTCCTAGGTTGGTAAAATGAGGACCCAGATTATTGGGGGCAATATGCTGATTTTATAAATCGCTTAGAGAGGGCTGTAAAGCACTGTGAAGCAGTATATAAAACTAAATGCTATTGCTAGGGCTTAGTGCCAATAACTTGCATTCCCCACATTGTGTATGAAGGTTGGCTCCCTTGAACAAGCAATGCAGGATGCCCTGGTTATGGATCGTGTGGAATTTGTGAAATTGCTAATAGAACATGGCGTGAATCTACACCGCTTCCTTACAATATCCCGACTGGAAGAACTATACAACACTGTGAGTGCCTTAAATTCTGATTTGCTTTTAACAGTGATAAATGGCTTTTCAACAATAGAAACAAAGAAACAAAATAGTATTGGGCAGTACAGCCTTGGGCATTACTGTTTAAATATATTGCAGGATAAATACAAAGAGCCATAAAAATGTTAGGTCCTTGAAATTTATTTATTCCCCAGAAAAATTATTTATTTAACCTGGGGGGGGGGAATAAGCACTAAAGAGCTAAAAATATATATTAAATGTATAGAAATCATTCAGCTTTATAAATACTATATTATTATAAAATAGATGAAGTTGAAACTCAAGTACTTTGGCCACCTAATGAGAAGGAAGGATTCACTGGAGAAGAGCCTAATGCTGGGAAAGATTGAGGGCAATAGAAGAAGGGGACGACAGAGAATGAGATGGCTGGATGGAGTCACTGAAGCAGTAGGTGTGAATTTAAATGGACTCCAGAAGATAGTAGAGGACAGGAAGACCTGGAGGAATGTTGTCCATGGGGTCGCGATGGGTCGGACACGACTTCGCAATTAACAACAACAACAATAAAATAGATAAAAAATAACTTGTTGTTCTAAAATCCAATCCTTAATTCTTGGAGTAATATCACATTTCCATTTTCTCAGTATAATTCTTTTGGCAACTGCCTTGGCTGGTATAGACATATGTCACACAAAACAAAATAGAGCTGTCCTGTAGAACATCATTGGCAGTGGAACAAAATTATTATTAAGACTAAATCAGAAGCCAAAATTATTATTAAGACTAAATCAGAAGCCATTATTAAGACTAAATCAGAAGCAAGATTTGGGGGGAAATTGGTTGGATTTTATGTGAAATGGTAGGAGGAATTGGGGGGAAAGCAAATAAAAGGTCCTGTTGTTAAGGAGCCTTTTTCTTTTCCAGTGTTTGGAAGTGTCTCAGTCCACTTGAGGATTAAAAAATAATAATAAAAAAAATTGAAAAATAATGACATGGGATGTAAATAAGCAATATAGTTGAAAGAGATTAAGATGAATCCTGGGTATTTTTAAATAAAAAAGAAACAAGAAAACTCCCAAATTTTACACTGTTCTTTCCCCCCACACACACACATTTCTCTTGAGTTGAAAATCAAAGTCAAATGGGCTTCCTGAATTAATTCTGACTGGTAATATTTTAGATTCTGGGGTACAGAATGTGATCTCAATCCCAATAATTGCTTTACATTTTGAAGAATACTTTTCGAGATTTTGTAAGTTCTTTTAAAAGAAATTTGAAGTCTTGTGAGATTCTGAAGCTTTCACACAATTTCTTCATGCAAGTCTCTCAAAAGCTTTTGAAAAACTCATGAACAATTATAGAAATTCTGAGATTTTAATGCTCCTGCATGATTTAAGATTAAAATTATGGAAAGTGATGCTTACAAGGAACATATATATTTTAAAAAACTTGTTTTTTAAACTTTGTCCTTTTTTATTCTTCACTTTTTTTTAAAAAAAAGTGGTTGTTAACTGTATATCTTTTATATGGTAACTATCTAGAATCACTTGGATAGCGAGATGGGTGGTGTCTAAATTGGATAAAATTATAAAAATAAAATAAATATGCCCCTGTATCTGTGTGTGCTATGTGGTTGATTTCCCTATAACCATAAAATCTAGAAATGAAGATGATTAATTTCAGGTAGGTGCTGCAAAAAATCTAAAATTCTGGAATCAATTATTTGACATAATTTTACTTGTAGTCAACTGTTACTAAATTATGTTCCTAGCTTTAATAAACTAGAGTAAAGGTTAAAAAGATATCAGAGGCTTTATATTTGAAAAGCAGTATCGGTTGGTGTTATTCACAAAAAAGCTAAAAATAGATTGTTAGTATTATGGATATAGAAATATCAATTTTCTCAACTCCATTCCTTTTAGTTTAAAGTTTGTTATTTCACTCAAAGCGAGCAGGTTTTGTTTCTTTAATATCATTTGTAGCATAGATTTTTCTGTTGTGTTCATAGATAAAAAGTATAGTTAAAGTATGTAATTCATTCTTTTATTATAACTATATTCAACTAAACAGTAGTTTATTACTGGTGATATACACAAATATCCGAGAAAACTGAATTGGTATTGCTAAATCTTTCTTTTTAAGTGCAATTAAATATTATTTTTGTGATATTTATCCATGCTATTTATTTATTTGTGTTATTTTTGTATTTTTAAATTCCAGAAACAGGGGCCAACAAATCTACTTTTGCATCATCTTCTTTGTGATGTGAAACAGGTAATTCCATTCTAAAATATGAAGAGCAAGGGCTATTATAGGCAGTAATTTATCACTTTTTGTTATTAACAAATATATATATCAGGGGTGCCAATCTTGGCAACTTTAAGACATGTGGATTTCAACTTACAGAATTCCCCAGCCAGCCATGAAAGTCTTACAATTGCCAAGGTTAGACATCCTTGGTATATATAACCTTTCTTAGAAGTGTGATAATCCTATTGGTCTATAGTAGTAACTGTAATAAAAAAAAAGATGGCACTAAATAAGATATAATTGAAAATTCTTCTGTGAAATGTTGTCCATTCCTTTTTGTCTTGAGCTGTTGTTACTGAGGAAGATATTTGGATATCTTCTAATTAAAGATGTAAACATTTGAGGATTATGGTATTGATTAAAATGGTAAAAACTATTAACTGTAATAATTATTACTACAATTAATGTATATTCAAATCTTGGAACTTTATTCTAGTTAAGTGTTCTTCAGTAGCTAAAGTAACAACAAAGGTGATTCTTGTATTCAATATTCAAGTTAACTTCCTATAAAAGCATTAAGTTATATACTAAATATTTTATTTTATTTTATTTCAGACATTCTGGCCAACAACTAGATTATTTGACCTGTCTCTTTATTTTATTTGGCAGTTTTCTCTATTTTAAAAATATTGTCAAATAATTGTTTCATTGAATTGTATTGACGCCATATTAGATTACAGTGTTTCGTAGTTAACTGGCTCAGTTCCCAGAAAATAAAAATGGATGAATAAATTGTGGATTAGAAAAAAATTATATTAATCACAGTTTAATCAAGAACATACTCCTCTTGGATGGTTGGGATTTACTTTTTGGATGGCATGCCTATTTAATTTTTAATAAAAAAGTTGACCGGGTTTTTAAATCCCATATTATAAGGATTTCTTTACTTCGGGTTTGGAGGAAATATTATAGAAGTGATTCTAAAATACCATTATGGGCTATACCTTGGCATGCGATAGAGGGGATAAGGAGAGGAGTTAAGATGGATAGTGTTTCTTATGCACAATTGCTTAGATGGGATGGTAAAATTTGGCAGTTAAAATTTTTGGAAGATTTAGCACAAGAAAATATTATATATTCATGGTTTCAGTATAGACAAATAGCAGACAGATGGAAGATAGATCGTAATGTGGGCTTGCTTAGAGAAGATGAAAATTTTATTAAACAAGTAAAAGATCAAAGACAAATTCATATTAAGAGAATTTATGGGTTGCTAGTAGAATTGGACTCAGAACCAGAATTAATTAAAGAATGTATGATTAAATGGGCACAAAATTTTGGTGAACCAGTTCTACTAGATACCTGGGAAATTATCTGGGTGAGAAATATTACATTTACACAAGCCCAGAACTTAAGGGAGAATTTTTATAAAATTTTTTATAGATGGCACCTTGATCCACAAAAAATGTCTCGTATGTATCCTGACTTACAGCCCAAATGTTGGAGATGTGGTTGTTTGGATGCTACTTATTACCATATTTGGTGGTCGTGTAAAAATATAAAAACCTTTTGGATTAAGATATGGTGGAATATTCAAAGAATTTTTAGAAGGAGGGTAAAATTTACCCCACAATTGTTTTTGTTAGGTATTGTTACCGATTGTGATACTAAGGAGGATATATTGATGTTAAATTTAATTACAGCCGCAAGGTTGTTAATAGGGCAATACTGGAAGAAGGAATCTTTGCCTACTTTGCAAGAGTGGTTTTTTTAAAGTATCCTATCTGGCGGAAATGGCAAAGATTTCGGCCTTTTTAAAGGATCAATCGCAAGAGAAGTTTTTTGTGGTAGGGGGAAATGGATAGATTTTATACAATATAAGTTGGATATAAAAATATTACTTAGTTTATCAATAATTTATATATAAATTTTAATATTTTATAGATTGTATTATTTCTTTTTCTTTTTATATGTTTTTTTATTATTTTACTTTCTTATATTTCTTTTCTTCTTTCTCTTTATTCTTCTTTTTTTAAGTATTTTCTTTTTTTTTCTTTAATATTTATGTCTTTTTTATATATATATATTATTGTTAATTATTCTATTAGTAGTTTAAGTAACGTATTTAGACTTATCTATGGTTTATATTTTTTTTTAAGAATTCAAAAAAATTTAATTAAGCCTATATTCAGCTCTGGGAAAATTGAGGGAGGGAGTGGGAGGGTTGGGGTGGGTTAGGGAGGGTTGTTTTTTCTTATTTTGTAAAATTTTAAAAAATTTCAATTAAAAAAAAATCAAGAACATGAGAAGAAATTTTAACAAAGTTAACGTCTTGAATTCACAAGATGGGAAGAATAATGCAATTGAAAGATTTTCTGTGATGAGAAAACACTTTCTTAAATACATTACAAAACAAGCCTTTGTTGCAATGTAAGATGTTAAATATTTGTGTTACAGAGTACTCTTCCAGTGGACTATAAAATATCGTTGATTGATATTGGATTGGTTATAGAATACTTGATTGGTGGAGCTTATCAGAGCAGCTACACAAGAAAACATTTCAGAATTTTATACAATAATATGTACAGGGAACATAAGGTAAACAAGCACATGGTTCCATGGCACATTTTCTTACATTGTATGGGGAGCACCTTCATTCACAGTGCATCATTACTTCTTACCTCCCAATGCTTTCCTTATGCTGGTTTTGTAATTCTTATCAAAGGAAGTTCAACTAATTTGGAGAGGGACGGCAGAATCAAGAAAATTCTTCTCTTTTGCTTTAAGTGTAAATTGGCATAGACAATAAATAGATGACCCTCATTAGATCAGCACACAATCAGTGTAATATTTCAGATGTGTGACTATTTTTTTTTTTAAAAAATATTGACTCAGTCTACACTACAGAGTTGCAGCTGTGTGGTAAATAGGAGGGAGGACTAAGTATGCTGCCTAGAGCTCTTGTACAAAAACTGAGATATAAGTCTAATAAAGAAATAAAACGGCTATCTTCAAAAGTTAGATGTAAACACAGAGTTTAGGTTGAAATGTACTTCCTTGATATCCAAGAGATGTTGAAGAGTTGCTGTACTTATTTTTTGCTCAGCTTACAACCATGACACATGCTTTTTGTGAAGCAAATTAAACTCTGTATAGTTTTAATCAGGGCTTTGTTTTATCATAGAATGCCCAGAACGGAGTTCCGGCACCTTTTTTGGATGGTACCTTGTAGGGTAGGCAAGGCGGGTTGTATGACATGTGTGAGTTCCGACACCTTTTTTTTTTTTTTACAAAAAAGCATTGGTTTTAATAATAATAATAATAAAGTTAGAAGGGACCTTGGAGGTCATCAAGTCCAATCCCTGCAAAGGCAGGAAACCCTACACCATTTCGGACAAATGGCTGTCCAGTCTCTTCTTAAAAACTTCCAGTATTGGAGCATTCACCGCTTCTGGAGGCAGATTATTCCATTAGTTAATTGTTCTGTCAGGAAGTTTCTCCTTAGTTCTAGGTTGCTTCTCTCCTTGATTAGTTTTGAAGCATATTATTTAACTGACTGAGAAAGGAACGTTTTTGCATGTATGCATGCATTTGAATCAGCATTGTCATGACTAGGATACATTGTTTGTGCAACCTAGTCTTAATTAAACTATTTCTTTCTATTTCCATAATGAATCTTTAGAATCAGGAAGTTGTCTCCAGGCTGGCACAGAACCTCTCGCTTCATCAGCTTAATCCGAATGGGAGTCGAAGTGGAACTGCTGAAAATACTTTGCATTCCCAGTTTATCAGAACAGCTCAGCCGTACAAATACAAAGTACTGTGAATCTTGTTTACTCATGCAGTTTGTTAAAAGGGCATTAGACTGGAGATCCTGTTTGTTCACTTGACAAGATGAAAGAGGCAGGCATACTGGCTTTTAAAAAAATCTCTTTAGTACATTGAGACAAGGTTGAATCAGATAAGAGCTAGAAGTACTACTGGCTTTCTATACTTCTCTTATTTTAGACTGTGTAGTGAGAGGTAGAGAAAGATTTCAGCTATTTGCTGAAGTCAGTTAATAGAGTTCATTTGGAAACACTTTAACCTATCTGAACCAACCTAAGCTAGGGATAGACTGAATAGATCTTATCAAGACTTGACTGTCAACAACAGTTTTGTCATTGTAGGGTTTTGCTAAGTGAACAAATAATTCTCAGCTCTCCTAAGTCTTTGAGAAGCTCTTCACCCATTTTTTTTCTGCTAGACATGGCTGATGATAGAATTAGAAATATTGCTGATTACAGAGTTAGATTATAGAATTGGAATTATGGCTCATTATAAATTATACTTGTTTACCGCTTGATCCCCGAATAATCATGAATTTATCATGCAAAATAAATATTTCTTTAGACAGTTTCCTATCTGATTGCTCATCCTCAGATCCCAAAACAAAAACTGAAGCATAAACAAGTTCCAGCAATATTTTTTATGACATTGCTTTCATCCCATTGACAGCTCACAACGGGAGCAGCTTAAAGTCATCATTAGCTGAACTTTAAAACTGCTGTAGTTGTTAAAGTGGTGCTTACTCATTTCTCCCAAAACACTTTTTTTTTGTCATGGACCTGATCTAGCCTACTTTATTAATAATATAATTGACAGAGCCTAAGATATGCCCTGATCCTCTTTGCTGCATTTAGCTGCTGTGGGAACACCCCTTCTGCTCCACTCTCTGTGCACTGCTCTCCGTGGCCATTTTGCCTTTGGCTAAAAAGGAGACTAGGTTCCTGGATTCTGCAAAGGCATTTGCCTATCTAATGCCTTTCTGAAGCCCTTGTCATGTCTCATGTGGGCTCCTCCTGAAGCCTTCAGCTTATTTTTAGCATTCAGTCTCTTGATCAATTACTCCTTATCTTTCATCTATTAGTCCAGCTGGTGGGTCACAGATGTGATGCAGAGCAAAGTGGGACTCAGCACTGTAATGTTCCATGCTTTCCCTCCTGTATGCTTGCAACTATTTAGTGGTTTAGTGGTTTTTCAAAAGATTGCTAGATCTAAATTCAGAAATAATCCAAGCAATAGATCACACATCTGGACTATTTCTGGGCTTGCAACTTATTAGTCAGGCAATCTGACAGATGCCTAAAGCATAAACATGTTCCAGCATCTGCCCATTTTCCATTCAAGCGTTTCCCTATATTTTCTCATTCCTGTTGTATCATATATTAAAGAGAGTGATTGTGGTTTTTTTCTTCACTGACATAAAAATGAAGCCAGGAGAATCCACCAATTGCTTTCCTTAATCTGTTTTAGGTTAAATGGGTAAGGATATCAGCATTCACTGCCATCATAACTGAGGCAAAATAAAACTTCACCACAAGGGCAACAGAATATAGTCATAATCCTCACCACTTAATGAGACCTGGTAGCTTTCCCTAGTTTTTAATTGTAGCTATTGAAATTGTGGTTTGGATTGTGGACTTTGTATTTATCTGTACTTGTACTAGTACTTGTTTCCAATATACACACTTTGTGTAATTGCCTAGATGTAAGACAACCACACAAAAAAATTAATATCAATCATTGCATACAGTTTTCTGCCGTTTGTTTCGTGTATTGCAGTTCCATTTGTGAACTAACAATTTTCCATACAATGTTTTTACCTTTTAAGTATTACATATTCCTGCTTCTAACTTTGAGGCACCAGGACACAAAGCTAAGCTTAACTGAGAAAAGAAAGGTAGGATTGAAAGGCTAAATGTTTAATGACTTATACTGAATTTTTATTCATGAACGTGTAGGAAAAACCAACAAATCTCCATAAATCTAAGAAGAAGATGAAAGATGAATTCACAGTGTCTGATGACCAAAAGTCAGTGGGCTTTATTTATCCTTACAATGATCTCTTGGTTTGGGCGGTTTTGATGAAAAGGCAGAAGATGGCTAGGTTCTTCTGGCAGCATGGAAAGGAAGCAATGGTCAAGGCTGTGGTCGCTTGCAAACTCTACAGAGCCATGGCACGTGAAGCCAAACAATGCAACATGGAGGATGACACAGCAGAGGAAATGAAGAAGTATTCAAAGTAGGGGTTTTCCTTTCACTTTGGATAATGATCTGTAGTTCTTAGAACAATTAGACACTTTTCTCTTGGTTGCTTAATACATTTTTTTAATGTTATGGCAGGAGAAATCTTTTGGCTCAGCATGCAAAGAGCTGGCTTGAAATAGATTTAATCACCCCTAAGCACTAATTCAAATTTTTGTCTAGAATTCCTAGGTCTTATGTGCATTCTTTACTTTTTAATGATGCTGCAGTCCATCACATTATATTAAAAATGATGAATGCAAATTCTGGTTTACTTATGAACTATGTTTTTTTATTATTTTTAAGCTGAAGGTTCTATATGTCTAATTTCATTATTTGAGATACTTCATTTCCTGTCTCTGAATGACGCCTAGGTTAAAATCTATTGAAATGTTGACGTTATTCCTAAAATGAGTTATTATTTCATAGCATCAGCGTGAAGCTTATCTCTTCTTTCTGTCCCTATCTGTGATTCATCTTCACTTTATCTGATTATAATAATAGAATCTGATAGGAAGTATAAAAGACTAAGTCTCGTTAGACATAATGGGATTAATGGCCGAGTAATTATGTGTATGATTGTAGTTAAATAGGTTTTAAAAATATAGCTGCAATCTATTAAAGCTGATGAGAGTTTTACCATAAATCAGGAATAAGCATCCCAGGAATATATTTATATTGGGCCCCCTTTTAATTCTCCCCCTTTTGACCAAGATCACCAAGACTATTTTCCTGCCATTTTGAAGCAGAAAACATAAAATCTATTTATGTGTCTAAAACAAAATTTCAAATTCTGAAACATCATGGCCCCTTCCACTTGCCTTAATTAGTTACCCTGTAGTTTTCATACATGTGTTTGATGATAGTAAAAAATAATACTAATAGAAATCTGAGCCTGTGATTTTCAGAATAATTATAGAAGAATGTTTGGATTTTCTGAAAGAAATAGGTTAATTTGAAACCATAGAAAACCATAGTGTTGTATATGACTGCTCTCTTCATTGCACTTGGCATAATGCTCATTCAAGTACGTAAATCTTCAGAGTCATGTTGCACATATGATGCAGAGTTATATGCAAATCGCCTTGGCTACTATGATTGATTCTATTCTAACAGCCACAACTCTCCTTCCCCTTCTCCTATTTTATTTTGCTGTTGTAGTGAGTTTGGGCAGCTTGCTCTAGATGTATTAGATAATGCATTCAAACAAAATGAGCAGATGGCCATGAAGCTGTTGACATATGAGCTGAAGAACTGGAGTAACTCAACATGTCTGAAACTGGCTGTGTCAGTGGGTTTGCGACCTTTTGTGTCTCACACATGCACCCAGATGCTGTTGACTGACATGTGGATGGGGCGTCTGAAAATGAGAAAGAATTCCTGGTTTAAGGTAAACAATTTGTCTAAATCAAAAGCATTTCTCCAGCCTTGGGCTACACAATTGGAGGTTCTTAGACTGGAATTATATGAAGGCTTCCTTCATTTTAGTTCAGTGGTTTTAGTTTCAAAAGAGAAAGCCCTCATTGCTGAGATAATCTCGCAATATTGTCCACTTGTCCTGGTCTTTCCAAAAAGCTGTTGAAAAAATTAGCTGCCCCATTACAATTTCTATCCTGTTTGTCCCTCTTTTTGGTTACTGTCAATCACCTAACCTCCTTCCAAGGTAATAGCTGCTAAAGTTTAATCATTTTCATGCATCTTGGTCAATGTCAGAATATGAGTAAAATTAAATTTTTAACACCACTAGAGTTGTAGATGACCCTGGATGAAATGAAAGTAACATAATTGGGAAACAGGTGATTTAAAAAGGTTTCCAGGATATGTTTGTACCAAGGCAGGATAAGGAAAGTTTTTGTCAATTTCATCATTTTGATCTTGTGAGTAATGCAGTGAAGTTGGATTCCAGGACAATCACAAATCCAATATCGCATGATATTATTATACCTGAATAGTACATGGTTCATTAATTCATGGCCACATACAATTACTGGATTGGAGAACTACAGTATGCAACTGTGTGAGAAACAGTAAATGGATGTCCACATGGGGTATATCCAGAGGAACTGCCTGAAGTAGCAATAACACTTAGACCAGGCATGCTGGCTGAGGCATTCTGGGAGTTGACGTCTACAAGTCATAAAAGGGCCAAGTTTGAAGACCCTGACTTAGACTTATATACTGCTTCACAGTGCTTTACAGCCATCTCTAAGCAGTTTACAGAGTAAGCATATTGCCTCTAACAATCTGGATTCTTATTTTACCAACCTTGGAAAAAAGGCTGAGTCAACCTTGAGCCTAGTGAGACTTGAACTGCCAAACTGTTAGCAATTGGCAGTCGGCAGAATTAGCCTGCAATACTGCAGTCTAACCACTGCGCCACCACAGCTCCTCTATACATACATCTATTCCAGGGATGGAAAATTATGGCCCCTTTACAACCCATCAACTTCAATTCCCAGAATTCTTTACTCAGTCATACTGGCTCAGGAATTCTGGGAGTTGAAGTCCACAGGTGGTAAAGGGACCGTAATTGCCTACATCTATGCATACTTTTTCAGATTCTGGTGGCATCAGGTGCCCTAAATGTCAAGATCTAATGAAGCGACAAAAATGCAGGAGACAAACTGCACGTAATTTCTCTGACACAACAAACAAATGAGAACTCAGTGGTAACATATAAGGCACTCTTTCTTGTTTCTCAAGTCCTGAATTGTTGGTTACCTCTTCAAAAGCATTTCCTCCTGGTATTATGGTGGGGAAGGAATGGACTCTGTACTCTTGTAACATAAAATTCATTTATGTTTCTCAGTCTCGCAGAAGTCCTTTGCCACTGCTGCCAAAATAAACGTAGATTATAGCACTTCTACATTTGATTGTTTCACAGTAACTTTGTTTTTTGTAAGCAAATTTTATTGGATTTTTTTCATTAAAAAGGGAAAACAGTAATAAAAAATTAACTAAGATAAGAAACAGAAAAAAATGCAGAAAGAAAGAAAAAGAAATATAAAGAAGTCAGTTTTCTTTTACAACAGTATAAATTCAAATTGACCTCTTTTCTAAGGTTTATTTTATTTATTTGTTTTATTTGTTTGTATCCAGTTTTTATTTTTACAAATAACTCAAGGAGGCAGACATATCCAATACACTTTCCTCTTCCTATTTTCCCCACAACAATGACCCTGTGAGGTGGGCTGGGCTGAGAGAGAGAAAGAGAGAGGGGGGAGGGAGAGAGAGATTGGCCCTAAATCAGGGGTCCCCAACCTGTGGGCTGCAGTCCACTACCGGGCCATGGCCTGGTGGCCACCGGGATGCAGGACATATAGCGAAATGGGGTGCAAAGAGTGGTGCTAGTGCTCGCATGGCAAGAACAGGGCAGTTCTAGTGAGTGTCACACAGGCGCTAGCACCACCCCATTTGCATCACTCATGCTTGAGGCTCTGTTTGTGTGTGTGCGCGTGTACATGCGCAAAATGCTTCCCGCTCCTTTTCCCTCCAGTCCGCCAACCGAGAATGATCTCTGCCCTAGATCATTCAGCCATTTCATGGCTGTGGTGAACTTGAACTCATGTTCTCCTGGTTCTAGCCTGGAGCCTTAACTACTAGATCAAACTGACTTTCAATATTACTTTCATTTTTTCTATTACCTATTTGTATAGCGGCCGTTTGCTATCTGGCCCAGTGAGACGTGGGAGGCCTCTGGAGGCCGAGGAGAGGGTATTGCCAGCTAGTTGGAGCAAAGAGGCTCGAACGACGCTGGAAGTGTGGAACCGAGCCTGGGCAGCCGGACTGGAACACAGCAGGGTGGGGCCAAGCCAGAGGAAGGGTGTGGCCGAATGGAAGAGGCTTTTAGAACAGCCAGGCAGAGGTGGTTAGCAGCTGGGGGTGGGGTTATGGGGTGTGGCACAGTTATGTAAAGGACTGGGAGCAATTCACTCTCACTACTGACTTTTTGCTTGTTAAGGATTAAACCCTTGATTTCACCTCGTACCTGCATTCCTGGTTTTTGCTTTCCTGGACGATAAAGAACGTTTGTGACACATGAACTACATTTGCCAGTCTATTTTTGTGAATGTATTTGACACACATAACGTCACTGCTTTGAGAGCTGCATTGGTTGCCTGTGTGTTTCCAGATGCTTGTTATCACCCACAAAGCCCTTCCTGGCTTGGGGCTGGGTTTTTTAAGGGAAGACTTCTCCTGGGTGTTTCTACTAGTTCAATTCAGGTTGAAAGTCCTCTCAGCTAAGGAAATGTGCCTTTTATGTTATAGCTCCTACCTTCAGATATCAGGATGACCTCAACCGTGTTGGCCTTTTGCCAGGCCATGAAGACTTGGTTGTGGGTCTTTTTGTATTTTGTATTATTGCAATCATTTAGTTGTTTTTATGTTTTATGATGTATGATAGTCAGTCACTTGCTGAGAGGGATAGCTCTAAAAATCAAATAAATATATAAAGATAAACCACACAGGTGTGCTCGTACACACAGACATGTTTAAAAATATATAAAATATACAATATATTTATATATAAAACATATCTATAATATTTTAATGTGGTTTTAAGTTGTGTTTATAATTTTTGTATCATTTTACTGTTTTATCTCTAAATGGCCCAGAGGTGTGCAAGTGTTGGTATGAATGTCTGCTCAATAAATAAAACAAATAAAACCCAAGGTAGGCATCCATAAATCAGTCGGTTGGAACCAAAGTGCACTGAAATAAAACAGTTTATGGAACTGCAGCATGGTGGGCACCACCCATACTTCTGGAGAGAGAGTGTCCATAAGATAAAACCTGTCATATGAACACAGCTTTCCCTCCAATCCAAACAGGAAATTTCTAGTCTCCAGACCAATCAGGATTGCAAGGAAGGCAAAAGGTTGAAGTACTGCAGTCCCTCCATGGCTATAATTGATATTTTAAATGTTAGTTTTGCAATCAGGTGAATTTAGTTGAGCAGTGATCAGACTAGCTTCAGTGCAAAATATTGGATTAGACTAGCCAGGATAATCTTTGGTAAGTTTTAAATGCCAAAAATAGGATTGTCAGGATAAGATTTGTTTTTTAAAAACTGCTGTGTAGTTATTGTTCAATAATAACTATTGCTATTAGTATAGTATATATTAATTATGTTATGTTAGCATAATTATTAATCTAATATTAAGTAAGAATAAAAAAGCCATTCATAGTAAAAAAAATTGATACTTTTTCAGGTGATTCTAAGTATTCTTCTACCTCCGACCATCTTGATGCTGGACTTTAAAAGCAAGGCTGAAATGTCCCATGTGCCTCAGTCACAAGAATCCCACCAATTCACGTGGTATCATGGTGATCCTAACACCACCAATGAAAAAGATAACCTATCATTGGTGAGTATGTAAACCAGGTTTGGTTTTTATTTTATTGGATTGAATAAAAGCAGATTTTTTTGGGTTAGGAAATGTTCTGGTCCAAATATTGTGTCACAAGAAAAAATCTAAAGCTTAGAACAGGGGTGTCAAACTGCTGACCTGCGGGCTGGATGCGTCATGCTGAAACCACACCCACCCCATTACTGGCAATGAAAAAAAGTCACAATACATCGCGACACGTCATGTGACATTGCGAGTTTGAAAACCCTGGTTTAGAAAGTTTGACATACCTGGTGGGGCAGGTTTATATATTAATAAAAGAGAATACTTGTACTCCCTCATGTCTTAGAGCACTAAACTCACTGTCGATCACTTTCTTGCGGTTTTTTCATGAGGAGGACTTTTCTAGAGAGGAATTATAAAGAGCTTGTCTACTTATTCGGTCTTTGTTCGAATGTGGTCATAGGCTCCATTTTTAGCAGAGCTGTCTTCACTTTACCATTTCTTCCCCAGAAGTCCCAAACAAAGCATATTCATTCCAGTCTATGTAAGCTGGATCTCTAGAGACTGCTTTGCAAGCCAACATACTGTTACCTGCATCCCACCAATTCTGAAATATTTACACTGGGTTGATTCATTCAGAATATTTGCTTATTTACATATACTGGAATTCATTTATTTAGTTGGATGGCAACTAATTTAAACATTACCTTTTTTTAAAGAACAATTATGATTTTGAGAAAGAGGTTGAGAAGCAAGCTGAAAAACAGACTTTCCCCAACAACAATGAACCACAAAGCCTTCTTGGGACTAGGAAAATCTTTGAATTCTACAACGCTCCTATTGTCAAGTTCTGGTTCCACACGGTCAGTTATTGATGTTGCACTGAACGTTTTACCACAATGTGTATTGATAACTCAGTCCCTCTGCATGCCACTGAAACAGACCTATTCATGAGAGAGAATGAGAATGTTGGCATTTTAAGTAGTTACTTGATTATTTTACTCATTTATTTAGATTTTTTAGTAGCCAAGTATATTGCAAAATGAACTTATTTGAAGTAATGATATGGACTTTTGTCTTATCAGTGTTGCATTGATAAGACAATAAGATTACTAAATATGAATCTGCACCTTTGCTTTAGTTGGCTGATATTATATTTATGATTCAATCTTTCAAAATACCAGCATTGGTTCTATGGACTTACTGTTCAGAATATCCAGTTCAGGCAAGTGAAGAAATGATGGCATAACATTGCTTTGTGATACTGTAAACCATTAGTTGCTGATTTTTGTCATAGCTGTCAATCATAAAATATCTATTGTATATTTGCTAGATGGCCTATTTAGTCTTTCTCATGCTGTTTACTTACACAATCCTGGTGAAGATGAAACCAACTCCCAGCGCTCAGGAATGGCTTGTGATCATCTACATTTTTACTACCTTCATTGAGAAAGTCAGAGAGGTATGCCTTTTATTTGATGCTAAAGTTATTGCTGTAGTTAATTCTTATATACAAATACATCCAGGTATATGTCCAGTTACAGGTATTCCTCGACTTACGACCACAATTAAGCCAAAAATTTCTGTTGTTAAGCAAAACAGTTGCTGAGTGAGCTTTGCTCCATTTTATGACCTTCCTTGCCACAGTTGTTAAGTGAATCACTGCAGATGTTAAGTTAGTAACCCAGTTGTTAAGAGAATCTGGCAAGGGTGCTTGTCAGAAGGTTGCAAAAAGTGATGACATGACCCCGGGACACTGCAACCGTCATAAATATGAATCAGTTGCCAAGAGTCTGAATTCTGATCACATCACTATGGGGATGCTGAAATGGTCATAAGTGTGAAAAACGGGTCATAAGTCACTTTGATCAGTCGCTAGATGAATACTGTTGTAAGTCGAGGACTACCTAGATATGAAAGACCAAACAAATCTGAAGGAATTTTCAATCGACTTACTTTTTTCCTTGAAAAATATTAATATTGTATATTTTGCAAAAACAAAACTGAACAGGAGTCAAAAAAGTGCATTGGGAATGCAGCCTTTCAACAATTGCTCCTTTTAGGTGGCTGGGAGGAAAAACCAAGTACATCTGAAAGCAGCAATTAACAAATGTGGGCAGCATTTTTTGTTTTACAGTATTCCCCTTCCTCCCAATTTCACAGAATTGGGATGGAAGGAGCCATTTAGGCTATTCAGCTTTTTGCTGATCCATTTGGTCCCCAAACCAAACGTTACCTAATTATAATTAAAATGCAATAGGCAAATACCGGTATGTACCACAAATAGAAATCAAGTGTACTTTTTTTTATCCTGCTTTTGCCTCCTTCTTTTCAGAGTGTAATCTTTACCCTGCTATTTAAAGATCAAGTTTTGCCCAAGGAATGTTGTGCATCCTGCCCTAAAAAAATTCAGTCCTAAGTGTATAAATTAACTAAATGTTGTTTATGTGTGTGCTAGAGATCAGGCTTTTGTGGACCAAGTAATTGTGAATCTACAGTATTCTTTTATGGAACAGTATTGTGCACTGGTTCTTGGTTTACCAAATACAATTTTGCAGGATGATGTATTTTACGTATGCGTAATTAACCTCACATGTGTTTGCTCTATGCAGTGTGGAGACATTTGCCTCTTAGATTGTATCAAATAATTGCTAACTCCTGACCAACATTTCTTTAAATATTAATATCCTTTCTAATAGTATCCTTCAATTCAATGGGATTCGTACACATAGAGTCATTTATATATTTGTCCATTTTTTGGTTGGAGGCAAACATATTAACCTCACTCCTTCAGTTTGCAGCTTATCAACACGATCATAGCTGTGTATAATTAGTTTGTAAGGTATAATTTGTTAGGAAATCTTTTTTATGACCTTCCAAAGATTCCAGTTCACAATTTGCCTTGCTGAAAAAGCTCTGAAGGGCACTCTAATTGTTCCAGAAAAAAACAACACTAATTTTTTCTTCTTGTAATGTCAAAAAATGTCTCCTTTCAGGATTGGCATGCCTTTTAAAAATGGCAACAATTTGGTTTTTTTTTTTTCCTTTTTGTATCAGAATAAAACTAATTTATTAATTCATACTTCACTTGACCAAAACTCTTTTGGTTTCCCTTTTGCTTCCTTGGTTTTATATGCTGTTTATTAACATTTCATTTTGCTGGAGTGCTAGATATATTTTAAACACATGTATAACTATTGCAGCCCTATTCCCCCTCTAATGAAACAGAGAACAAATAGACATAGAAGTAGAAATATGTTTCAGTTGGAAGAACAGACAAAAATCTGAGATACAGGGTTTTTGAAGAGCGGTTGATTGAGAAATTTGAGTAAATTGAATAATTTCAATTGCTCCTTCTGCCAAGACCCCCAACCAGTTTTCCAATGTTTCATTGAGGGATTCTTTGCCCCCATCTTGTCAATTAGCTACCCTAATCGTTTTTCCAAAGTTGCAAATATCTATTAATCATCAAGACAATTGGTCTTGATCAGTGATAATAATGACTTTTAGGAATCGTAGACCACTTACTATTTTCTAAAAATATTTAAAGCAATAAGAACACCATTTCACTATCTCTTTGTTGTTGTTGTTCTTGCATAATCTACATGCAAAAGAAAGGTTTTCCAGTCCAAGGAATTTATAGTCTCTTTTATCTGCAACTTCATGTATGTGCTTCTGAATCTCAGACCATGAATACTTTCACAGGTAATTTGTAAATTGAAATTCTAAGATATGGGCTCTTGAAAAATAGCCCATATCTTAGACTTTCAATTTACAACTTACCTGTGAAAGTATTCATGGATCTTCATTTGGGCATAAAACCTCTGTCTGTAAATATTTTATTCTCTTCATGAAGACGAGGAGATGAATTGTTGTACAATACTAATTTTGTGATTTTGGTCTTGATCTTGATCTTGATATGTGGTTGATCAATAATCCTGAGCCCCCTGGTGTATTGGGGGATGCTTCAGCTTCAAGGCATTTCAAAAATTTCAAAATGATTATGAAGATATTATTATTTAGAGGTGAACCCCAGGGAGAAATATGAGCTATGTGCAAGTGAACATGTCAAGGTATTTGATTGTTACCATTTTACACATAAAGAATATTCCTCACATTGCTCTGTTGTAATGAAGTGATAGATAATGGATAAATCTTCCTTGAAGCTATGGAGGAAGATTAACTGGGAAAAATAAGAGAATGTATGATGCATGTGTCATGGTTCCGACTAATGAAACACTTCAAAGAACTTCCAGGCATTGTTTACCCTAAAAGCCTTTATTAACAGTGTAACAGATTGATGGCACTTCATGGTTGGATGCCAGAATCTGAATTTCTCTTGCTTGCATCTAACTTTTCTTGCTAAACCCCTCCCTTATTTTGCAGTCATAAGTCACATCTTCCAATTAGCCCAGAGGGCAAAGATTAACTTCCATTTCTTTTCCCGAGCTTTCCTTATAAAACTCCTCCCTTTCTCTGTCATCTAATTAACTCTAAAAATACCAGACAGTTCTGTATATTTTGTCAAAGCAATAATATCCTATATTAACAGCGTTGACAGCATGATTGTTTCTACCATAAAGAAAATTTCAAATTTCAAGAATTCCAAGGAAATAACATAAACAACATTAAATCTGAGAAAAATCCATGAATAAATTAGATGTAACATTCCTACTGTTCGAAGAATAAAGAACACACAAAGTAATTAGACATCCACTTACTATTCAAGTATTTGCAATAGAAAATCAAGGAAGCAGAAAAATAAAATGTATCAGGTGAAGATCAATATGTGCCATCTGTGTATATGATAGCATTCTAAGAAGACACTGTTCCCTGATCTGAAACAAATCTGAATCAGGATAAATTTTCTTCTTATCAGAAATAACCCATATTTTGGCAAAATGTTTACACTGAAAATAAGCACAGATCTTTTTAAATCTAAAATAGGTTTACATAAAATGTAAAGACATAACTATTTTAAGTTGATAATTCGTAGTCATTAAAGCACTATAATTTGTGTTTTATGGGTAAAAAAATAAATATAGCAAATGGCAACATACAGGTGATGCTGATGATAATTATTTCATTTCTGGAGAAAAGTTATTGTGTAAGTGTAGTAGAAGTATTGGGTGTTTGCACTGCAATGAATCAAAAGTCAAATGGGGTATCATTTTTCCTGTGCCTCGTGTCACGCAGTTGAAATACATAATTTTGCTTATATAGTAATATTATAACAAATCATTCTGCCTTTAGATTTTTATTTCAGAGCCAAGCAAGTTCATCCAAAAGGTGAAAGTATGGATTTATGAATACTGGAATTTTACAGACTTTATTGCTATCATCCTGTTCATGACTGGTTTTGGTTTGCGCTGGGCTAATCCTCCACTTCAGACAATAGGAAGGTTAATTTATTGTCTGGACATAATATTCTGGTATGCTCGACTTCTTGATTTTTTTGCGGTGAATCAGCATGCTGGCCCCTATCTAACAATGATCGGCAAAATGGTAAGTGGTATTGGGCGCTATTATGAATAATTATTTCACTTCAGAGCACCGTTTCTTAATGAGGATTGGCTTTAATAATTCTCCAAGTGGGCTAAGAGCCATGAAACCATGAGTTCTAGTCCTGCTATGGGCATGAAAAACCAGCTGGGTGAATTTGGGCCTGACAATCTCTCTCAGCCCGACCCACCTCACAGGGTTGTCGTTGTGAGAAAAATAAGAGGCAGAAGGAGTATTTAATATGTTTGCCACTTTGAGTTATTTATAAACAATAATAAAGGTGAGATAAAAGTCAAATAAATAAATAAAGTTGCAGTCTACGGCAGTATTGGATCAGATATTCATATGAAATAATAAAATATGATCATGAAGGACACTTGATTTACTGTTGGTATATAAGGTATATCTTGGTGAATGTTGCTTCCACTTGGAACCTGCTGTTAATATAATGAGAAATTTATTCAGCCTTATGTATTAACACAAGTATCTTGGCAATCTCTCTTACCCTGTCTCTCTTTTCCTTCTCTCGGATGAATCTTGGATTCATTGAGAATAACAAATCAGGATCCTCAATTTGAACAATATGCTAAACAAAGAATTTCTGACTTATTTAATTATTTGAGGAATGAGTGGATTAAATGTCCCAATACGTTGGGGGAAGAATTTATGAAAAGCCCATTAATTTGATTGGAAATTGTGAGACAATAAATCACATTATTATTATTATGGATCATTGCACAGTCAGCCAGATATTCAGACTGGATTTGGTATTTTGTCTACCTATCGAGTCCTGACCCAGGACCTGGGATAGGCAGATGTGGATGTTTGATGGTATTACAGATATTGTCGCAGGATGGAAGCAGTTCCTAGTAAGGCTGCCTTTTGCAATTGACTAATAGTGAATTTGTCAATGCCAATGGTGTTCAAGTGGTGCTCCAGTTGTTTTGGGATTGCACCCAAGGAGCCTATGACTGTTGGTACTACCCTTGCTTGCTTTTGCCACAGTCTTTCTATTTCTATTTGTAGGTCTTTGTATTTTGTTATCTTCTCCAGTTCTTTCTCTTCTATTCTGCTGTCTCCAGACACTGCCACATCCACTATCCAGACTTTTTTGTCTTTCTTATCGACAATTGTTAAGTCTGGGGTGTTATGTTGCAGGTGCTTGTCTGTTTGAATTCTGAAGTCCCAGAGCAGTTTAATTTTATCATTTTCTATGACTTTCTCTATTTTATGATCCCACCAGTTTTTGCTTACAGGCAAATGATATTTTTTGCAAATCTTCCAATGCACCATTGTTGCTACTTTGTTATGCTGCTGCTTGTAATCAGTTGTTATTATTATTATTATTATTATTATTATTATTATATCATCCTCATCATCCTCATAATCTTCAATTCAATTCACAGTCTGGGTCTGGTAAAAACTTAACAGTTCAAGTCTTAACCAAGGACCTAAGAGCTGTTAAGATAACGTCTGAGTATATAGGCAGTTCTGAGTAAGGTGGTATTATTATTATTATTATTATTATTATTATTATTATTATTATTATTATTATTATCATCATCATCATCATCTAGGGTTATTGAACAATTGGCAAGCCTTTTTCTTATAAGATGCTTTTATATAATTTTTTAATACATTGCACAATCGGGGTTTATTAAACGCAACAACAGAGGCTGTCTTTGCTTTAAAATTCTTACTACTATGATACTTTGATTTTGTTTTCATTATAGACAGCAAACATGTTCTATATTGTAATTATGATGGCCATAGTACTCTTAAGTTTTGGCGTTGCACGAAAAGCAATCCTGTCTCCGAATGAGCAGCCATCATGGACTCTTGCACGAGATATTGTATTTCAGCCATATTGGATGATATTTGGTGAGGTATATGCGGGAGAAATTGATGGTATGTCTGCTGTTGTTGAAAAGTTGCATTTAAATTTCATGTAAATGAAATCACATTCATGTAAATCTTCTGTCTATTTACATTTATTATTTTAGTTGTTTTTAATGGATTTGTAGTCAGTATGCTTTAATAGTAGAGTTTTCTGTATGCCACCCAGGATCAGTTCTTTTGAAATACAAATTTGAGAAAATAAAGCAATAAATAAATGCATAACTTACTTATTAACACAGCCACATATTATATGGCTTGTAATAATGATCAGTGGACCATGTTGTTTTAATTGTTCTCTGTAATGTGTGATACAAATGAAGCATAATTTCATTGTTTTCCAATATCACTGCACTGAAAAGCTCTAATATCTGGATAAACAATAAAAAATATCCCCTTTCCTCATCCTTTCTGACTTTGATGATTGACTTTCCAACTGGAGCACTGGTCATCCTCTGCCTCAGACTCTTAAAGTTAGGGGAATTAAAAAAGATAGTCTAGATAATTGGATGATTAGGTAGATGATTAGATATCTTAGATTGCACTATACCTTAAATATTATTATACTATAATCTCTAATGAGGTCATAGTTCAATCATTTTCAGATGCTTCCACCTGTCCTCTTGCCAGGTATCATTAACTTTTAATTCTGTAAATACATAATTTGTCTTTCATTGTGGAAAATAAAAGAAATAATTATACAGAAAATGGTTGGAAGTAGTTCATTTATGGCTAATTTGCTACCATCATATTGGCTAAAATTCATTATTTGGTTTAAAGCTTCTGAGTCTCTTAATTCATGAATGGATGTGTCATTATGTTAGTATTCAGAAGACAGATTTATAGGGTTTTTAAAATATTTTTTTTCAGCTTGTGAATTAGATCAAAACTGTCCTCCAGGCTCGTTCCTCACGCCATTTCTTCAAGCAGTGTACCTCTTTGTACAATACATCATCATGGTCAATCTACTTATTGCTTTCTTCAAGTAAGTACCCAGGATCAACTATCCCTATCCTGATGATCTTAAGACATTTTGGAATTAAAGTTCCAAATAAAATTTGGGTATTATAGTCCAGACACAATCGTAGGTTATTAACATGGATACTTTGTTCTTAGTATTGGTAGTTTATCTAGTTTACAAATTTATAGAAGTAAAAATCAACTTACTTCAGCTATAATTTATAGATTCCAAGGCACAACTTAGGAGAAAAAGCATAGTAAGTCCAAGCTGCTGATCGTGCTTTTTCTTACTAGATCAGTGTTTCTCAACCTTGACAATTTTAAGGCATGTGGACTTCAACTCCCAGAATTCCACAGCCCGCATTCTGGGAGTTGAAGTCCACATGCCTTAAAATTGTCAAGGTTGAGAAACACTGTACTAGATGCTATCCATGCCTGACAAATGAGTTCAATAGTGAACATTTTTTCAGCAGATTCTTGCTTGCATATTGGCTTTGTATACATCTCTAGGAATATTTTTTTTAACTTTCATAGGCTTTATGATAATTACCATTGGGTGACAAGCAGGACCTTTGACATAAAAAGGAAACTCTTAAAAAACAAACAAACAAACAAACAAACAAACTTCATTTGGTGTCTTTTCTTATCAGAGTCATACAATTTTTTTCTCTGAGATATACAGTACATGGCTCAGTTGCAAAGGAACAATCAAATGATTAGCAAAAACATCATGAATATAATCACCATTTATGTTTTTTTAAAGGTATACAGGTAGTTCTTGATTTACAACCGCAACAGAGCTCCCAATTTTAGTTACCAAGTGCAACATTTGTTAAGTGGCTTTTACCCCAGTTCCTGCAGTTATTAAGTGAATCACTGGGGTTGTTAAATTAAGGACACTGTTGTTAAGTGAATCTGGCTTCCCCATTGACTTTGCTTGTCAGAAAGTCACAGATCCTGATCCCGGGACACCGCAACTGTCACAAATATGAGTCAGTTGCCAAGGGTCTGACTTTTGATCATGTGACCATAGGGATGCCGCAATGGTTATGAGTGTGAAAACTGGTCTTAACTCATTATTTTCAGTGCTGTTGTAGCTTTGCGCGGTCATTAAACAAACTGTTGCAAGTTGAGGACGACCCTGTATTTCTTCTTGTTCCATAGAAATATAATTTAAGTGCTGTCTAATATAAATACCATGTAACATTTCAACGGTTATAAAGTTTATGGTTTATAAAGGGGTCATATGAACCCACCCTCTCCCTTTCCTTCTTAATCCACAGTAATGTTTATTTTGATATGAAGTCTATGTCAAACAAACTCTGGAAATACAACCGTTACCGCTATATCATGACATACCATGAAAAGCCATGGCTACCACCCCCTTTCATCATATTGAGCCACATTGGTATTGTGCTAAATTGCCTTTGCAACCGCCGGCTGCCAAGTGAACTGGATCAAGAGGAGGAAGAGCATGTTGAACTCAGTAAGCAGATTCTATCTACATTTATATTTCTTATACAAGGACCAAATATATATGTCATAAAAAAAATCCATAATGGCATTCCAACTGCTAATTGTGGGATTATAGGTATTGTCAAATAAGCAATAGCAATAGCACTTAGACTTATATACCGCTTCACAGGGCTTTATAGCCCTCTCTAAGCAGTTTACAGGGTCAGCTTATTGCCTCCCCCAACAATCTGGGACTCATTTTTACTGACCTCGGAAGGATGGAAGGCTGAGTCAACCTTGAGCTGGTGAGACGAACTGCCAAACTGCTGGCAGCTGGGAGTTAGCAGAAATAGCTTGCACTACTGCATTCTAACCACTGCGCCATCATAAGAATCTAAACCAGTGGTTCTCAACCTGTGGGTCGGGACCCCATTTGGGGTCGAATGACCATTTCACGGAGGTCGCCAAACAAGGCTGTCCGCCATTTCCCCCCCCCCTTTTCTTTGGCCATGCCCCTGGCACCCAGTGATGTATAAGTGGTTGGGGGTCATCACAACATGGGGAACTGTATTATGGGGTCGCGGCATTAGAAAGGTTGAGAACCACTGATCTAAACTCTGTCTAAACAGGTGCTTTTAAATTCAGAACCCAAGGACTCCTGCTGTCCTTTTTATTATGCATTCTTCCTTGAATGATAATATTAAAATAGGCCTGCCGCAGAATTCTAAAAATACTGTTCATTTATGTATTTGTTGTAGTCCATGTTGGCACAGTGTAAAAGTACAAGATACAGCGTACAATAAATAAATGAGTAAGATGGAAAATTTGACCAAGTAGTGTATATGCCATATCAAACAAGAGGTGCAAAGCACAGAACATCCAGGGAGAAGAAACCAGGGAGAAGAAAAACAAGACCTGGGACAGCAGCCAGGTCTTTAAGGACTCTCAGAATGTAATCAAGATCACCTGTTTCTAACTGAGGGAATTTCGTTGCACAGTGCATTCCTCTCTACCACCTAGCATTCATGTGGGTTGTTGTGTTTTTTTTTTTTGGTGCAATTCGCTAGGTTGATAAAACATGCTGCGTTCCAGAGAGGCAGGGTCCTTGGTGTTCTCTGAGCTTGTTTTTTTTGTGGACATTTAATTACCAATTACCATTATCAGTGCATTGATGATGTTACCTAGTTTGGTAATGAAGTGTCTGCAAGAAACCACCAAGCTCAGAGGGCACCAAGGACCATACAGTTCGATCCTGGGCTTCAAATATTATGTTTGTATCTATTCCATAGAGGCCCTGTAATGATAAACCTAATTTTATCATCATCTCTCAGCATGAACTAGATTGTTTAGAAGGGAAGGCTATGGCTTCCAGAATATGTTGAACAACTTTTGTTCAAGCAAACTAGCCCCATTGTATTAGCTTTTTTCCCTTGAGTTTATTACTGCTTTTTTTAAGGAGGGCAGTCTTTATAAGCAGAAAAGAAAATAACTTTTTTCAATATCATCCATTATTTAACAAAATACGAGGGACAGACTATATGTGTGTGTGTGCAGATGTGTTGGGCGTATAACTACAATGGAAGAGAAAAGGATTTTATTTATTTTATTCTGGATGACTCACAATATAATGAACAATAAAACACAATACAGAACAAAACAAGATGGCATCCAGTCACTCCATACAACGTATGTCTTCACATATCATTGTCTCAAGTTTCATTTTACCATTCCCTATTAGCAGTTAATCAACACTGTTGAAAGGTTCACCCACCTGCAACTGATACGTTTCTGCCACATGTTTGATCACTAGGGTTATTTAAAACCAACACAAGTAAAATTGATTTGTTATTGCTTTACCCAGAACTGTACCTGAGTGATGAAGAATTAAAAAAGCTTCATGATTTTGAAGAACAGTGTGTCGAACAGTACTTACATGAAAAGAAAGAAAGCTTTCACTTCAGCAATAGTGAACAGATCCGTGTTACAAATGAAAGGTAGGGCATGTCTTATAATAATTCTTCTTTTGAAACCTAGCAACAATGGTATTGATGAGGGAGGGTCCAAAATTTATAAATGCCAGTCACAGCATCGCAATGGATCCCCCCTTTTGTTGATGTACGCAATGTCATATATAAAAGAACCAGGTCATGTATGCAAACCTTTCAAATCTTGCCATTTTGAACTGCCCCTCTTAATTTTTGGCAATAAAATCATGTTAAACTTCAGAACTGGTCGTAAATATTTAAATATTAATTAAATATTTCATTATTGTATTATGCAATATAGTGGAACAAAAATGGATAATATGTAAGGTCATTCTGGAAAAAAAATGAATAAATTCCTTAAGCTACTATGATATCCTGTTAAATTCTTTAGGCATTCTTCAGTTTAATGCAGAAAACAAAGATTTATTCAACTAAATTTTGAGTTATGCTGAATTATATTGAACAAATACTATTCTATTACTCAAATGATCACATAGACCAAATTTTGGACAGTGAAATTGTTTTAGCAGACTGCAAACCATTTAAATGTATCTCAGATATTCACATTTATGACAATCTATTCTATGAATCATAAATACCTTGCAGTAATCAAGAGTTATTGGGTAGAACATGTTAGTGGTCAAACAATTTGATCTCATACCTAATGAGTGTCTAATATTCCGGTTGGAAAATACAGTAAAATACATTCCTTTAGTGCAGTGAACCATGCATAGGAATATAATTTTTGGATGTTCTTCTCCTAGAGTTCAAGAAATGTTTTCACAGCTGAAGGAAATTCATGAGAAAGTAATTTATATCAAAGATGCTTTGCTTGCCTTGGACAGCCAACTGGGACACTTACAGGACCTCTCAGTTTTAACGGTGGATACTCTCAAAATCATTTCAGCTGTGGATACTTTGCAAGAAGGCGAAGCTTTTCTCTCTGAACAGAAGCACCAGACCTGTAGGAAGCTTCCACATAGTTGGAGCAACACTCTATGTTCAAAGGCTTTGAGTTGTATGGAAAGTGGCAGTATCAAGTACAAGTACTACAGTATGCCAACTTCTCTTCAGAGAAACCTAGCCAGAAGCCATTGGTCACTAGGAGGGAACTGTCCCATTTTGGGTGCCCTAAACTATAGTGAAATCCAATTAATCAAGAAAGATCAAGAACAGGAAGTTGAAAACGGCATTCTGACTTCGGAGTTATCTTCGGGGAATAAATCAGGCTCTAGATATGGACAGTTTCTTCTTGTGCCTCCGGATCAAAAAGTAGCTTCTGAAGATGCTGGTTTAAGTTTGGCCTTTTCAACTACTCTGAATGAGCTTAAGGATAAGGACTTAAAAGCTAAAGACGAAACGAAGCAGAGTGAAACTGTCCCTCAATGTCATGTATGCAGTGACAACGAGGCGGCCAAAACAATGCCAGTTATCAGCCAAGTGCAGGAACTGAATATTTCCCTGGCTAAGAAAGAGAATGAAACTACTGCTGAACATCATTTGTCCATCCATGCAGTTAATAGCATCAGTGAGATCGCTCAGTCTACTCATTATCACTGTGAGGGACCAGGAAAAGGTTATGTAAATTGGGGCTTCTTGGAAGACAATGAAAAGAGAGATGAGGGCGATCAGTCAAGACAGCAATCCTGTCTGCATTCACTCCATGACAAAGACAGCAGTTGCAGTCCTCCACACGTGCAGATCAAGGAATCCAAATCCTTCTCGTACAGTTCTGACATATCAGAATACAGTAGTGACAGCCCACCGTCTCACCTCACTTTCCAGCGTAGCATGTCTGTCTGGATCAATCCTCTCAAGAGAAATTGGCCTTTCTGCAAAGGGAGCAGCTTTTGTGCCCGTGGTGCTGAGAAAACAGCAAAAACCTGCAAAATAAAAGGCAATAACCACACAAATTTGAGTTTCCTCCTCTTCTTATGCTTTCATCTTCAAACAGAGAAGCTCTGTTGCATTTACAGGTAGCCCTTGACTTACCACCATTGATTTAGCAACCTTGAAGTTACAAGGGCACTGGAAAAAAAAGACTTACAACCAGTCATCACACTTATGACCGTCCATCATGCCCATGGTCACATGATCAAAATTTGGGCAATTGGCAAGGGCATGCATTTGCGTTGGGTACAGCATCCTGGGGTTGCCATTTGTGACCTTCCCAGCTGACCTCTGATGAGCAAAATCAGTGGAGGAAGCCAGATTAACAACGATGGCATGTTTTACTTAACAATTGCAGTGATTAGCCTAACAACAATGGCAAAATAGTCATAAAATTGGCTGCAACTCACTTAACAACCACCTTGCCTAATGTGGTCCCAATGTGGTTGTAAGTCAAGGAATACCTATATATATATTAAAAACCCCAGTATTTTCTGTGTTTGAATTTTTCTGCCTTCTTTTATCTCTCTCTCTCTCTCTCTCTCTCTCTCTCTGTCTCTCTCTCTGTGTGTGTGTATAGAAGGCAGGATACAAATAATTTAAATCAGTATTACTCAGCGATTGGGTTCAAACAATACCCTAAGCAATAATGTGTGCCACATGGTTTTAATTTGTCAGGTTATGAACAGAACCATCTTACCTCAACTATCAGCAAGATGGCAACTGCAGGCATCAATGACATTAATTGTGTCTTAGAATAGTATCCAATAACACTATAATGATGGGACAAATTTTATGAAACCATAGGGCAAATGAAATTATAATGGTATATAAGTATATGCAATACTATAATGACATATGAAATGCCATTTGACACTCTTCCTCCATACACCTATGTTATTAAGCTCCAAGATTTTGCCCTATCTTCTCCCTATTCCCATTCCCCTCCCCTCCTCTTCTCTCATCTCTCCATTCCCACTCCCACTCCTATTCCCATTCCTCTCTCCTTCCCATTCCCCTCCCCTCCTCCCCTCCCCTCTCCTCTCCTCTCATCTCCTTTCCTCTTGTCTCCTCTTTACTCATACTTTTGTCTACAAAAGAAAAAAAAACCTTGCCGACCCTTAATTAGGCCTTAGCATAATGTGAGGACCAATTGTGATAATTCAGCCTTCTGCAAACTATCCTCCATAGATTGGGTTTACATCTACATCATCCATGGTCAGGCCTTACAATGCATATGATAGAAGAGATAGTCTGTTATGTTTGGAAAACACAAGCATGAAAAGAGGAAAATAAATTGTAAACCAATTGGAGTTGTTTAAGATGGGCAGCATATCAATATTTGTAATTAAATAAGTAGTTACAAATATGGCAGAGAAGGAAATGTATGGAATATTAACATGTTGAAATTATACTAAATATTTTGTTATACACACAAAATAAAATAAAAATATGTGTTATTCTATGATAAAACAGAAAATTGAACTTGTTTAATTGTAGAATAGATATATGCTAGATAAATATGTATAATCAGTGTTTTTAAAAATAATTCTAGAAACTATCCTGTAAGAAGTCTGTAGCAAGCCACTTTTATTGCTTGACTTTATAGTGTTCTTTTATAGATGATTCTACAGTGTTTCAAGCTGTTGATGCTAAAAAGGGGAGTATCTAAGAGTAAACCCCATTGATCACAATACATCTTATCTCTAAACAGAATCTTCAGTGCAAAACTTGTAGACTTATTTGAAATATGAATTTGTCTCCTCCGCCCTTTTGTTCTTAGAATTTTCAAAATCTACTCAGCTATGTCAGTCAGTATGGGCCAAGGCAAAATTTAGAAACAAAGAAAGGAGGTCTTCAAGGAAAAAGAGAAAAACTCTTCAAGTTCCAGTAGGTATTAACAGAATTAGTGTTATATGTTGTTAGAGTTTGTGTGTGCACATAAACGTATGTATGTATACATATACATACATACACACACATATACACATTGTATGTATGTGTGTGTGTATATATATATATGTATGTGTGTATATATATATACATATGTATGTGTATATGTGTGTGTGTGTGTGTGTGTGTGTGTGTGTGTGTGTATATATGTAGGTCTTTGGTTTTTCGGGTTTTCTCCCGCGTAAAATTGGAAGTGTCTTGGCGACGTTTCGACGAAGTCCCATTCGTCATCTTCAGGCTGGTGTTTTCAGCTTCGTGCTTCGAGCTTCGTGCTGCTCGAAGCACGAAGCTGAAAACACCAGCCTGAAGATGATGAATGGGACTTCGTCAAAACGTCGCCAAGACACTTCCAATTTTACACGGGAGAAAACCCGAACAACCAAAGACCTACATACAAACACCCGCGAAAACCTCAGAAAACAAATATATATATATTAAAAAGAATATTAAAAATAGAAGCATGATTCCTGGGTGTGTACATGTTGAGAATAAAACTTGATCACCAGGAAAAGTTAAAACGTTAAAAGTTTTAAACATAAAACAATAAAAGTTTTAGATAAAAAACATTAAAAGTTTTAATAAAATAGAAACCTAGCTTTTCCAGTCTCATTAAGCTCCGTAACAGTTGTTCTCCCCTTTTTTCTGACAATCGCAAACTCATTGTGGGGGCTAGACTGTAAATTCTGTTGTCCGGTCGCCAAGGTAATCAAAATCCCAAAAGATGGTTGCTTGCGTACTTTAACAAGTTGGTTCTTTTCACTCTTCCCCCAAGTAGGGCGCGGTGTGGATCTTAGTACAGAGACCACGCTTTCATTCCCAACCGTTAATTGTGCTGCCTTCCGAGAACGTGTAGTCATACCTGCAGTAGGGGATTTACGGTAGCTCTCCCCTTGTATGTCTGTAGGGGGTGTGGTTAAACTATCACTCCGAGCCCTCCTCTCCCTCCACGGAGGTGAGTGCATCCCCCATCGACTGGTATGCAAGCTGGTCGTCGCAAGGATTCCTGAGGGGGCGGGGGAGACACCTAGTGTGTCGGGAATTAAATCCCTAAAATTGGAGGGTATTTCTTTTTGTGACCATCTTTTGGGATTTTGATTACCCGGCGACTGGACAACAGAATTTACAGTCTAGCTCCCACAATGAGTTTGCGATTGTCAGAAAAAAGGGGAGAACAACTGTTACGGAGACTGGAAATGCTGGGAAAAATGGTGCGTGGGGGAGAACCATATAGTGAGAGTGCGTGTAGAATACCTAGTGTGAGGCTCCGTAATAATGAACATCACGATGTTAAGGATGGACGCCAGAATGGTGGAGGGGGGAGGGCCCTGGACACATGGAGAACCCCAAGAAAGAGAGAAGGGGAAAACGACTTGGTGGTGGGGATGATATTTTGAGTCGGAATAAGATTAAGGATCCTCCTAGACCACGGATGTGGACAAATGGGGAGTCGGAGGCTTGTTTACATTCTGATGAGAGACACGTGATACAAGCGGATGAGTCATTCAATCATGCAGTAATTACAATGAATGCTACGATTGGTCAACAAGGGCCCATTACGCGGTCCAGAAGTCAAGCGCAGGCATTAACTTACTTATAAATGTTTACTCCCATTGATTTATGTATGCCCTGATGAAGTTGGCAGGAGCCAACGAAAGCTAGGTTTCTATTTTATTAAAACTTTTAATGTTTTTTATCTAAAACTTTTATTGTTTTATATTTAAAACTTTTAACGTTTTAACTTTTCCTGGTGATCAAGTTTTATTCTCAACATATATATGTATGTGTGTGTGTGTGTATATATATATATATATATACATACATATATACATACATACATACACACACACACACACAAAGTATATATGCCTGTGCATGCATGCATGCATGTATATATATATATATATATATATATATATATATATATGTGTGTGTGTGTGTGTGTGTGTGTGTGTGTGTGTGTGTGTGTATGTGTGCGTGTGCGTGTGTGTGTGTATATACAGTGGCTTTTTTGTCATAGAACTCACTGGAACAGAGTTCCGGCACCTTTTTTTGACAGATTTTCCAAGTTTTAAAAGTAACTTTTGAAAAATTGATGTTTGGTCCACGTAGACTTAAATTGCCCTATCAAGTGGCAGCAAGATCATTAAAATGGTGCATATGGACTGCTTGTGTGTCGAGTCTTATGCATGCATACTTCGTCCGGCTGCTCGGCTTGTGGCACTGCTCGGCTTGGGATTGGTCATGTGGTCGCGCGCTGAGTGCTTACTGTGGGTGACGACCGTTATGTTTAGTTACACAACTGACGTGTGTGGGTGTATGTGCAGTGATTGACTACGTGCGATTAACAAGATGTGAGTTCCGGCACCTTTTTGTTACAAAAAAAGCATATATATATGCTCTCTCTGTGTGTATGTATCTCTCTGTGTGTGGGTCTTTGTGAGGGGGGGGGATCTGTGTGATGTCATTAAACTTCTGGTGATATCTAATTGTTTGCAGACAGTGCATTACTAAAACAAAGAACAAATATTCCTCAAAAATAGAAGCTAGTGCTTCCAATAGAGGATGGTTATTTGTAAACTACAATGCATAGTTAAGATGTTTTCAAAGAAAAGCTGTTCATTTCCTCTAAAGATTATTTTAGAGCAGAAGGTTTTGGAGTAGTTAATCCACAGAGATAACTTTTTTTGTTCTGTTAATCATATTCCAAATTTTTAAATGTTTGATTAATGAGTCTTCTGGAATTAGTAGGATACAATCCACAGGAAAAATACATGTTTTAAGATTGATTGCAAACTTATAAGACTATTTGCTTAATCACTGGATGTCATTCCGTGAATAGATTTCCCCCAAAGTATTGTGACTTTTAATCCTACATTTGATGACATTTTTCCCATTGCAACTGATCGTTATATAAGCAAAATTGCTTCTTCCCTTCTGTCAACTACTTGTATTGCATAATGAGTACAATGCATGGAGCATACAAAGGCTTTTTTAAAAAATATCTTGATTTGATAAAAATTGGGGCTATGTATATTTTTGTACCTTGTTTCTGCTCTGTTTGATTCATGCAATTTCGCCCTTTTGTGCTCTAATCTCTGTTTATATGGGGATAACAGATATTGCTTTTAGGGGGCCTGAAATTATGACAGCAATCCAGGTGATATTCAAATGGTTATTTTTCTGGACCTTCTGCTGATTTTTATTTTCTCTTTTTTCTTGGCAGTTGATTACAGTAGATAGTTGCCCTCAGAGCATCCAAGTGAATTTGGAACCGCTTGACAGTAAACCTGCCGAAGACAAACTGGAACACAGGGCCAAATGGCTAACTGTGTCTCACTTCAAGCAACTAAGTATGTCACATTAAGCCCATGAAAATTACATACAGTAGTAAAAGAAAGCCATGCATACTGTTGAAAATAACCCCTTTAAGAGAGAAAGCTATAAAGATAGGATAAGAAACGTCTTGAAAAGAATTACAATATTATGAACTTGAAGAATAAATATATTCATTTTATTTCACAAGTTGTAGAACGTTGTGGGTCTACCATGATGGACAGAATGCACATGTTTTCAAATCATAAGTAACACATTACAGACAGTGGTGGGATTCAGCCAGTTTGCACCACTTCGGCACAACCGGTAGTTAATTTTTTGTTGCCCAGGCCCAGAATGGACTTGCGGAAGTGGCATCCACACAGAGAACCAGTTGTTCACATATTTGAGTCCCACCACTGATTACAGATATACAACTTACAGCAAATCTTGGACTGCTGTGAACATATGATTATTTTACAGAGTTAACCGGGTTTACTACTGAATGTTGGCTTGATCATCAGTATATTAATTTCCATTTGTGGTACAGTAAGAAGAAATTGCGTGGAACCAGCAAAACTTTAATGAGTTTCCCAAGAACAGGATTAGTTAACTTTATTCTGCCAGAAGTTTCCCTCTGAGGTTTGCAGGAGCCAAGCACTGATATAATTAGAAAGCTGGTATTTTTAGCCTGTTTTTATTGGTGGAATTTTTTTAAAATGTAAAATTCATGCCTTAAATATTGCACGGAGTTGACACATGCAAATTACCACTACTCTATCTCAGAATCACAGAAAGATTTAAAATATTTAGCACCCTTCATTCCCATGCCCCAAATTCTTTGATTTTCACCTACCTTATCCAGATCATATGAATAACAGGTAGTCTTCAACTTTATAACCACAACTGAGCCAAAAATTTCATTTTTTCTTTTTTTTTGTATTATATTTTACTGATTTTTAAAACATAAATCACTTAATAATTGGTGAACAGTGTGTTGTCTGGGTTTACATTTGTAAAACAATCACTAACAATTGATTTCTATAATCCATAATCCACATAATGGTTTTAGTTGATTTCCTCTTTTCCCCAAAATATTCTGTTTTGCAAACATTGAGTTAATACAATTCTTATTGTTTTGAAAGATGACAATTAAATATATTTTCCCTAATATTCCTAAAAATGATAATCACATCAATATAATATTTCTTTTCTATCCAATCATTCTGGCTGCCTTACTATAGATCTTGTTACAGTCCTTATTTAAATTTGTTTCTCCCACAAAATTCTAAGTATTCCTACTGGTTAAGATTTTCTCAAAAATTAATTACATTTAAACATTTAACTCTATTTTTTCCATATGAACCATCTCACACTTTTACATTTCTTAAGGAATAGATAAAACAGTGAAAAAAAAAGGAGAGCAAGAGTAAAGAAACATAAAAAATAACATACTACTTAAAATATATATCCCTCCTAAGCTACTATATATTTGTTTCCAAGATTTGTTATTCTTTTTGAGCATAATTAAAAATATGTTTAATCTTTAAATATTTTATTTTATACATCTAGTCAGCTAGTCCTTTAACTCTTATTCAAAACATTTTATCCATTATAATTTTCTTAAATTCAATCACATTTAAATATCTAAAGCATTTCCTTTATCTAAGCCATTTCAACTTTTTTATATTACTTATATCAGGAAATAGAATAAAAAAGGGGAAAAAAGCATACTATATTATTTAGGGGATTCATCCCTCTTAGAATTACATATATATTCCAAATCTTTTCTATTTCTTTAACCATAGTCAAACAAATGTTTTTTTTTCTACGTATTCTCTCTGGTAGGTCCCACCATCTATTGTCTTGATTTTCACTTTAGTCTTTTTCCTTTGCCCAGTATCTTTCTTAATCAATGTATTTTGCTGAGTCGAAAGGTTTTTCTATATGTTCGTAAATGTTATTGTAGAAATAAAAAGTAAATCAGATGAAATGTCTTTGTACGGGTCTTCTGCCTTTCTATGTTTGTTGAAAATCTTTTTCTTTTTCTTTCTCTCCGCTTGTCTTATTATTTCCTTTCTCTCCGATGTTCCTGACATTTCTACAGTCCATTTTATCCAATCTGTTTACTTGTCCTCAGATTTATTTTGTAGTTATTTTTTCCAATTCTTGTGAATTTTTTTCCACTAGGATTAAATCATGTTTCCTTGTTTTGTTAAGTTCCATCTTTAAGTCTCTATTCTCAATTTTGTATCCATGTATCTCTTTTATTTGCTCCTTCTCTGTTGTAGTTTTCTGGGAATTTTTTTGTTGTAGAGTTAACTTGGAAATAGATTGATTTATATTTTCAAAGTTATTTTGGATTTCTTTGTGGTTTAAAGTCAGTGTTGTTTAAATTAGTTGCAGTATACTATATATCTCCTCCTGTGGAGTATTTATGTTTTCTTGATATATTCTTTCTACATGTCTCTGATCCATGATGGCCAAGGATTTGAGTTTTTCTTTTCTTTCCTTTCCTTTCCTTTCCTTTCCTTTCCTTTTCTTTAGAAATAGCTTTAGAGTCCCAATTAAATAGATATTTGTAATCCAAATATTTCAAAAAATTTTTTTCTGACATTTATAAATCTCTGTCTACAGCTCAGATTATTGTCTTTTTTGTCACAGCTGTTCTTTGTTGTTAAAGTCTTCATCCACCACTAGGTGTCAGCATCTATTTGTTTTTCAATTTCCAAAATGAACAATTATCTTTAGAATGAGTCTTAACCATTCAACAATTTTAGATTTATCCAGATTTCAGTTTCAAATTTCAGGTTTTATATTTATTTCACTTCCATATATTTTGATCCTCCATAAAAAGATTAATTCACCGCTTCCGTTAGTATAAGGGTGGGGCGGAAATCCCCCTCCTTCCTTTTCGAAGGTATTTTGCTTCTTGGGGATCTTTTCCAGGAAATTAAATATAAAATAGAAAAGAGAAGATCAAATTCCTCACCCAGTTTCAAGCATGCTGTTCACAATTGTGCTGGTTAGTACTTTTGGACTTTGGTTGCAAGTAGCTTGAACTGGTTGATGAAGTACGACCAGCCTTTCTCCTGTTGGGTTAGAAGGCTTTCCCCAAGTCGAATGGAACAACTGCCGCCATTCCAGAATCGCTGGGGCACCCTTCTTTCTTCACCGCCTCTCTGGGGCAACTTAGACCCATTTAGGGTCCCCTGGCAGGGCAAAATTAGCCACGTGGGTGCAGAGAATCTGCAAGCCTATGACCAGTCACTACCGTGCAAAACTGGAAGTCCCTCAACTGAGCCTAAAATTTCTGTTGTTAAGCTAGACAGTTGTTAAGTGAGTTTTGCCCCATGTTACAATCTTTCTTGCCACAATTGTTTAGTGAATCGCTCCAGCTGTTAAGTTAGTAACAGGGCTGTTAAGTGAATCTGCCTTCCCCATTGCCTTAGCTTGTTAGAAGATCGCAAAAGGTGTTCACATGACCCCGGGACACAGCAACCGTCATAAATTTGAGTCAGTTGTCAAGTGTCTGAATTTTGACCAGATGACCATGGAGATGCTGCAATGGTTGTAAGTGTGAAAAACGGTCATAAGTCACTTTTTTCAGTGCCCTTGTAACTTCTGACAGTCACTAAATGAACTGTTAAGTTGGGGATTGCCTCTATTTGATTATATAAATCCTTTATCATCAAACCTGATTTTGCTAATTTCCTTTCCCATACCCTTCAGTCCCTTGGCTGACAACAATATCCTAGTGACAGTCAAATAAAGGGCGGGAAAAAAAAGGTTGTCTCTCATGATTAAAAAGAGTCCAGCATGAGGCAGTTCTCTGATGACATGGTATAATCTTTAGGAAAGTCCTATTTCTCAAAGGTAGAAGGTAAAAACCATCTTGCTTTAAATGGATTGATTAATGAGGACACTTTCACTTTTTGGGAACAAGATACTTGCAATAACTTTGAATATTTGTTTACTTGGCTAGGTTTAGATCATATCAGTTGTATGCATCAGGAAATGAAAAATCAAGAACTAGTGAGGCAGACAGTGCAAATCTGTGACTACTTGAGACAATCGCAAGAGGTAAGATGTGCCAGGGAGCTTTTTATGGTCTGTAATTTTTATTAAATGCTTGTGCTGTTATTTTAGGCTGAGCCTCTAGTGAGTACATTAAAGAACTAGATACTTTTTTAAGAGCAGAAGTTGCTGGTGAACAAATAGGTAATTAATCTCTACCCGATTCTGTAATAGCTTTGTTCCCTATGCCATCCGTCTGGTAAATTTGCAAGATTTGTTTTTCTCGTCATGCACATGTATACATAACCTGAACTAGATTGTTTTTTCTCTGTGTCATATAATATATGTGGATATATGCATAATTCTGTATTTATTTATTTTCATATTTCTGTAGTGTATATTAGAGGTGGTAACCCTTTGAGAGCTGTATGCAATGAAATTTCATTTTAATGTATGCCGATTAGTATACATTCAAAGTAACAATAAAGTTATTATTCTATTCTATTCTATTCTACTCTACTCTACTCTACTCTACTCTACTCTACTCTACTCTACTCTACTCTACTCTACTCTATTCTACTCTATTCTATTCTATTCTATTCTATTCTATTCTAATATTTTTAAAGATCAGTGATTAAAAAAACTCAACTTATCAAAACAAAGTAAAGGATATACGAGGAGGATAACTTTAAAAGTTGAGGCTTTATATGATTGTGAGTTGTTAAGGAAATAGCATAAAGAAGTAATATAGATTGTGCAATCCTTCAAGGGGAACCTTTGGAACATAGAAAGCTCACACAGAGCACATCTTCTCAATTTGTTAAAATAGCTACTTTTTTTCCGCAGGCTTATATCACTGTTTTGAAAATTACTTTCCATGGCTGTTCCCAGAAATACTTTCTGTAGTAGTTATGGAAAGTGGAAAAAGACATGTATATTATTATTATTATTATTATTATTAATCGCAGTCAGCCAGAAGTTCAGACTGGATTTGACATTTTTGTCTACCTATCGAGTCCTTACCAAGGACCTGGGATAGGCAGATGTAGATGTTTGAATTGATGGTATTACAGATATCATCGCAGGATGAAAGCAGTTCCTAGTAAGGCCGCCTTTTGCAAGGAACTGCTTCAAATAATAATAATAATAATAATCATTATTATTATTATTGTTGTTGTTGTTATTATTATTAAAAATGTTTCATGCACATTCCAGAATGTTCTGATCAACTCTTTTGAAGAACACAAACACTCCTGGTATAGTCTGCTGATGAAATAATTTTATATTAGCATTTTGAGACTTTCCTAAGTAGAATCCCTTTTACTTTCCTGATACCACTAAGTTTGCTAAGCTATCATACTAGATCTAGAGAAATATTTTATGTGAATTAAATATTATAATCAAGCTGAGCTGCTAAATGGAAGATTATGTATGTTCGCCACCTCAGGTGCCTTTTAAAGTAATAAAGATATGATAAAAATCAAACAAATAAACAAATAAAATTATGGAAAGCAAAAAAAATTTTGGCCCATTGTATAAATCTATAATGACCAAGTATTAATAACAAAGGTGTACTTAACAATATTTTGAGATGAAAATTAGAAGTGTAGCTTTAATTATGGTGTATATTCTTAAATGTTCTCTGCTGTTCAGCATTCTTAGTGAAGAACTATTAATGTTTGTGTGAGCATATTATATGAAGTGGTTAATTGTGTTTTAATATGATCAAACAATCCAGCTATTATAGCTTGTGAGTCACAAATACAGTTTATGAGGAATGGTTTCAGTAAACTGTAGTTCAAAGAAGCCATGATTTTGTGTACTATGTATACCTTTGGTATACCTAGGTATACCTATGTATACCTTCTGTATACCAGAAAAGAAGGTATATGGATATGGAAGTTACCAATCATGGACATAATTTTATTTAAAATGCCTATTCATAAAAATAATAGAAACAACAATCTGTTTTCAGGATTTAAATAACAGCATTGCTTGGACTAGGAAGAACAGAAAAAACAATCTGAGCAGAAGCTACTCGTAAGTGATAGATGACTTTGTTTTGATGGGATTTGGCCTTATTATTCCTACTATCTGACATGCTTTTGAGATCTTTAATCATTTAGCTGATAACCTCATTGAGATGTCCCATTCTAAAAAGTTATCACAAAGGACAAATTAAGTATATTTATATATGAATATAAATATGATTTCCATCTTTATGTGGTCCTGAAACTAGTGCCAAGAAATACTGTATGTCTGCATGAACGACTTACTATACATCAAGCAGATAAATGCTAGGTACAAATGATAGAATTTACAATTAAACAGAGTTTGTCTATCAGTAGTCATGAGAAATCAAGAAATGTAAGTTAGTGTGTGAATCCTGAATGAGCATAGACCTTATTGCAGTCAGTGTATTATCATTTGCAAAATTAGAATGAATAAAAACTTAGGTAAGTTTCCCAATGCAATTAACATTTTGTGTGTATACCTTTGTGTGTGCATGCATGTGTGTTAATTCAGACAAAGATAAAAACTCCAGTTTTTGTTTCCAATAGGTTGAGAAGTTTGAATGGAGATGGCAGTAAGTTTTTGGTTTTATTTGTAAATATGATAGTCAAATGCACATGTAGAACAAAGTTAGTCTAGAAAAACCTCTTGATACTAACTCACCTTTTTAAAGACTTTCTTATACGTAAACTGAGTCTAACCTATAATCTTCCAGATATGTTCATAGAGACTGTTAACATGTTTTGCTTAATCTTACCATTTACTGTAAATGTCATATAATATATGGAAAATAGATAGAAATTGAAAAAGAAAAATAAATAAATTAGGCATTAATTGTTACTTATATATTTGAAGGCCTCCACAATAATCCAAAGATGTTGCAGACCTGTAATGAGTGTTCAGATATTATATCAACAATTACTGCAAATTGTGATTAGTTTCAAACTATAATATCCATTTCTGGATTGCAAATCAAAAACTGTTTCAGAGTACTTGGACCATGTTATACCACTTTTATTTTATTTTGACTTCCACTTTTCACTACGTTTTAGTAAATGCTCCAAATTTTGGAATTGATACAGCAAAAGATATTCATTGGGGCACATCTAGATACTTTCAATGGATTTAACAGGGAAATATCACAATGTTCCTTTCCAAAATTCTCTCTTTATCTGTTCTAAAATTGAAATTGATATCATTACACCTATACTTCTTTCTTGCCCAATCTATCATCCTTGGAAAGCAGAATTAATAATACCACTAACTGCAATAGAGTTAAGTCAGTAACCACTTGACTTAAATTAAAATTTATATGTTATAAAAGTTATATTCTATCATCTTCAGTTATTTTATTCAGTTACCATCCTTTTTTCCTTTTGCCTTATATTGATTCATAATTTAATTTTGAACTGTATCTGGATAATTTGTCCCAGTATGTTATTTTAAACTACTGGCCTTTGACCATAAAAAACAGATCTATCTTTATAAAACTTACAATAAATGTTCAAATTCAGGGAAACAGAGTGTCTTTCAGTTAAATAAATTTTCATTTGAGTTGAAAGGCATCTTATTCTGGTATATATTTGGCTGTTATTTTAATTGTATTGGTACCTATGACACTGATTGTTGACTTTTTAAAGTATTATTTTAATTGTGTATAAATACAATTAAGATAATATTTTAAAAAATGGTTTAACCCTTTTGTAATCTGCCAAAAACTGCTAGGAATAGAGCCGAGATGTAGGTATTGTTAAATAAACAAATAATATTGTGATCCCTAGTATAATTATATGCTTTTTGACTGATAATTTAATAAAAAGAATTTTAATTAGCTCAAAGAAGGGCTTTACAGGAAGTTAAAAATGGATTCTCTTTCACTGCCAATCACTTTATGACAGTCTTGACTGCACAATACTCACAGCAGTGTACTTTCTTTCCATATTTAACATTAATGTTTTCAAAATATTTCAGATATCTCACACTCCTTAAAATCCCCTCAAGATTTGCACCATCATTACTCAGGTAGGTAGTGAGTATTTAAGTGAGTATGCTGAGTATATTAATTCTTTCCTTCTATCATTTTCTAATTATCTGACTTTGAAGTAGCTCATTATCAAGTGCCGTACATTAAAATAATTCCTAAGAGAGTATCTTGGGGACATTAAGATAATTTATTATGTTAGCACTGCTTTCTGTGTGCCAAGTAGTTGTTGGTAAAATAAATTGGTTACTGGAAAAGATAATAATAGATCTACAATCAAAAGCCATAGAAAGAAAATTTCTTTTGTAATATCATTTCTTTTATAAATATCATTTCTATTATGTTTAGGAAATATAATAAGATGGTGTAGAGATTGAGGATCAGCTAGTTCAGTTTCTGATCAAATAAATCTGCTTTTAGTATCAATCCCTAGTGAATTCATATCCTAAAATGATTTCACGCTGCATCAGAAGCAATGAACACAATTTGAACTTGCCAAGATGTTACATATTCAAAGCCGATTTCATTCTCTACTAGATGAAATTTGTGATACCTACCAGCAGATGTCCTTGCTGTCACACATTTAAGAACATATGCATCTCACAGTCTTTGCAAATACTGTCCCTGATGAGATTGCTAAATGAAGTATTTGTAATATGTAATAATTGTATGATAGTCAGAGGTAGTATACTGTTATTGCAGAAAGTATGAAAGCTGTTATATCAGAAACACATATCAGCATATACCAAACCTGCTGTGGTCAGTATAGTATATATTAAAAATTCAGCCATGATGGATTTTCATGAAACTTAAACGAAATCTATTCAAACTTTACACATTAATTTTTTTAATTAATTTTTACTGAATCATTTTTTTAGCAAAGTTAAAAACCAAACTAAAGACAACAATAAAAAATAGTAAATGGTGAAAAAAAAAATAGAAAAAGAAATAGAAAAAAGAAAAAAGAAAAGAAGAAATACATAAATGGCTTCCGATCTCCTTGATAACAGTTTTAAATATATTTGTATTTTGCCTTCTTTACCTAATGTTATATCATAATTTCCTTCTTTCCATAAGCTACTCTTTCTAATCTTTAAAGCCATAAATCATAAGTTCATTTTTCTCTTTTTTCAACAAAAAGTCCCTAAGGACTGTCCAGTCACTGGTAAATGTACTTGTTGATCTTTTACTAGTCAAGTGATCTTGCCATCCCTATTACTTCTGTCATTTTTACCAACCATTCCTTCTTTGTGATGTTTCAGAGTCTTTCCATTTTTGTGCATATAGTCATCTTGCAGTTGTAATCATGCATAAAAAGAACGTAACAGGGAAGACATTACAATTGTGATTGTTGGGGAGAATTTTTATAACAAAAATCTTTTGCCAAGGATAATGCTTTTGTTTCAAATAATACCTATTCTGATAATGGCAGAAAGATATATCAAAGTGTATATGACAAGGAAAAAAAACCCCAAGTGTTAAATATATTTTCTGGTAAATGATTCCAGAAAAATTGTCTAGAATGTATACGATAGTTCAGATTTATGTTGGAAATGTGAAGGGTCATTTTGTAACTACTAAAGTTTATAAAAATGCTTAGAGAAATTCCTGAAATGCCACTAATCCATTTTGATTTATATCCAGCAATAAATACATCCCATATTATTGTCTGCCTTGCTAAATGAGAAGAAATATAGAAAGGGATACCTTGAGTTCAGACAAAGTTTCAGTAATTTGCCAAAGATCAAGGGAAACCTAGCTTCAAATCTTAATAACTGTTGTCAGTATTAGATCAGTTGTGGGGGTTGAAATGATATCAGATATTGCCCATTTTATTTAAATCAGAAGAATAAATTCAGTGAGTGGCCCTTGGTGGTTGAATAAATGATTTTGATTGTTTTTTTAAAAAAGGTCTTCCAGTGCTATAATGTTTATTTAAGTTCTTTTCCAACTCTGAGTCTTGGTCCAGCATATTTATGTTGCCCATTCAAGCCAGTGGCCCAGTGTGAGAAAACTAAAAATGCTGAAATAACTCATAAGATAATTTTATAACTAATTAGTTTTACTTCCATGAATGAAAATAAAACATTGCTCTGATCACTTCAAAAGTTGTACTGTATTTTGTCTCCCACTCGAAGGCCTTATGTAGGAGTAGGAGTTCTTTTTCACTTTTCTTTTTTTAAAAGGATGGGAAAATCATTTCAAATCATATGAATAACTTGCTATTTTGCAGCTGTTGAAAGAAACAATTTAATGAGGCTGGCTCAAACAATCCCTTTCACACCAGTGCAGTTTTTTGGTGAGTACCATGCTGATGTATGAAAACATTTCACTCATTAGGAAAATTCATAATAATTTAGACTTCAAATGTACAATCATGCTATTGTCTGGTTATTTTTATTAAGTCAAATCATGACTCATTTCTCTCTCTCTCTCCCCCTTTCATCTCTGTCTCTATCTCTATCTCTACCTTTTATATTATTTTGTATAATATAAAGAAATAAATGGACAATATTGTTATTAAAAATCCTTGCATTTTTCTTCTATTGTTAATCTCATTGTGTTTTTCACAATATCTCCCATTTATTTATTTATTTATTCAATTTATTTAGCTGGAGAAGAAGTAACGATTTATAGACTGGAAGAAAGTTCACCTTTGAACCTTGATAAAAGCATGTCCTCTTGGTCACAGCACGGAATGGCTGCCATGATTCAAGTTTTATCTCAGGAGGAAATGGATGGAGGTCTGAGGAGAGCTATGAAAACTGTCTGTACCTGGTCTGAAAATAATGTGCTCAAGTTAGGTGAAGTTTTCATTGTAAAATCTTTCCTTCCTGAAGTTGTTCGGACTTGGCAGAAGATCTTCCATGAAAGCACTGTCCTCCATCTGTGTCTCAGAGTGAGTATAATCTGATCAGCACTATAGAACGAACCCTCACTGTGGTCCACCGTGTTTAAAATGGTGGTTCACCAAGAGGTCTGTCAAATCCCGCTTGTCACCTAAGTCCCAACTCTGTGAACAGCTATCTTGTGTGAACGCCATCACTGCCTTAGCCCTGCCTCACCACGTGCCCTAAAAGTATGTGTATTCATGAGAATGGCTAAAATGGATTAATTGTAGCACACAGATGGTAATACCAGTAAATACTAGTATTCTCAGGTAAATATTGCACTGTATTCTGACTAGTACCAACCTAGAAATTTCTTGATATTTAGAACAATTAATCAGTGGAACAGCTTGCCTTTTAGAAGTTGTGGGTGCTCCATCACTGGAGGTTTTTAAGAAGAGACTGGATGGCCATTTGTCTGGAATGATATATGGCCTCCTGTGAGCAGGAGTTGAACTAAAGACCTCCAAGGCCCCTTCCAACTCTGACATTGTATTATTCTGTAGTAGGGAACACAAAGCTGTTAATATCCTTGTAGAAGAAACTGGAAAGATCAGACAAAGTATACTTCTTATTTGTCAGGGAAATACAGGTACATATGAACATCTTGTAAATTAGTTTGTGATTTTGTTTTCTAAGAAGACTAAATTTTCATCTTGTCTTTTGAATGACACTTATGAGTGGTTTTAAGTTTTCCCCACCCAAGTCAAATAGTAGTTTTTGGTACAATCTCTGGAATTTCAGAATTCAGTTCTTACTTCATCTCTGGAAAAAGTCACTGGGCAGACTTAGCCAAATCACATTGTTTCATTACAATCTTAAAAAGTACTTAAAATGTGGATTGAAATAGCACTAATTTGTTAAAATGTTATTTTAAACATTACTGAAATATTATACTTAGGGTTTTTTTTGTTATTATTCTTAGGAAATACAACAGCAAAGGGCAGCTCAGAAATTGTTATATACCTTCAATCAAATGAAGCCTCATAGCATTCCATATACTCCAAGGTATGAAAAATGTGTTTCTAGAAATAGTGTAAAAGACTAAACCTATTCATTTTATATATTGTGGGCTGGTTTAATTAATAATATCTGTCATTAATACACAATCTGTCATTAATACACAATCCTGTGCTAGAATTCCAACAATTATTAGAGGAACAGAAAACTATTTATTCACATGTTTTACATATTATTATAGTCTATATTCCATCAAAATGGAAGCAGTGACAGATTTTATTTTCTTGGGCTCCAAGATCACTGTAGATAATGGCGGCAGCCATGAAATTAAGAGACGCTTGCTCCTTGGGAGGAAAGCTATGGCATAGCTATAAAACCATAGTCATGAGAGTTGGACCATAAGGAACACTGAATGCTTTCGAATTGTGGCGCTGGAGAAGACTCTTGGGTATCCCTTGGACTGCAAGGAGATCAAATCAATCAATTATAATGAAAACCAAACCTGATTGTTCTTTGGAAGAACAGAAAATGAAACTGAAGCTCAAATACTTTGGTCACCTAATGAGAAGTTAAGACTCATTGGAAAAGACCCAGATGTTGGGAAAAACTGAAGACAAAAGGAGAAGGGGACAACAGAGGATGAGATGGTTAGATCATATCATCAACACAATGAACATGAATTTGGACAAACTCCGGGAGAACAGTGAAGGAGAGAGTGTGCTACGATCCATTGGGTCACAAAGAGTCAGACATGACTTAGTGCTTGAACAGCAACAACAATATTCCATGATTCCTCCCCCTCCATCTCTTTAAATAGTGACACCAAAACCTGACATTACAAACAAACAATATACTGCTTTTCAGGATCCTGATAAATCCTAAAGGGATGATCCACCATATTAGATATTTATTCAGGGAAGACAGTTAATTTGGGGCTTATTTTAACTTTCTCTCCCTCTCCCTCCCCCTCTCTATCTTATCTTATCTTATCTTATCTTATCTTATCTTATCTTATCTTATCTTATCTTATTGAGAGCGGGCAACTAAATTTCATTTTTGATGTGTTCCATTGCGCCCATAGTATAAAAATGACAATAAAGGTTATCTTATCTTATCTTATCTTATCTTATCTTATCTTATCTTATCTTATCTTATCATCTTATCTATATCTATCTTGTTCCTTTTGTTCAATTCAGTGCTGACAAAATTGCTCAAGTCAGATAGCAATATAGCAGGATAAAATCCTTTTAAAGTGTATACATTAATATTTTTCCTACTTCAAGCTTCTCCATTCTTCTGTATTCGTTTAATGAGCAGCATCAAAACTTCATTCTAAATATTTAAAATGAAGATTTATTTGATTTACAAGATAATAAGTAATACAAGACATGCTTTTAATTCTGCGAACAGTGGTTTCATTTGCGTATCCAGCTTCAGAAATAACAGAAAACATTACTCTGAATTAGGAAGTATCAGAAAACTGCTGATTATTGCAAAAAAGGGGGGATATGTTAATAATTTTGTGAGAATCAATCATTTCTTACATGTATATCAGGAAATCACCAGTGAATCTTCTAGGCTGCTATTATTATACTTTTATTCTGTTGTTAAACTACTGGTGGTGATTTGTCTTCTGCAATTTGTTTGCCACAATTATGATAATAGATTTCCTCAAGAGGGTGCCCAATTTTTTCCTCAAGCTTGGAGGTTTTATGAAGCCCAGTCTGAAAATTAGGGCCTCATCACTCTTATTAATTATCTCAGGACACCTTTTTGGCTATAGTCCTTTACTTACTTATTTGGGAATAAATGCCATTTAATTCAATTAGGTTTATTTCTGCATAGACATGGATAGAATAACCTTAATTTGAACAGATACTTTGCACATACTTATGTTTTTGAATGTTGTTAAAGATTATGATGTTGATGAAAATTGTACATGAGATTAGTACCTTTTATTTATCAAAAGCAGGGTGAAGAACACCTCCTGAAAAGATACTATCCTTTCTTTTCAGATTCCTTGAAGTGTTTTTAATTTATTGCCATTCAGCCAATCAATGGCTGACAATAGAAAAATATATGACAGGAGAATTCCGCAAGTACAATAACAACAATGGAGATGAAATCACCCCTAGCAATTTGCTGGAAGAAGTTATGCTGGCTTTTTCTCACTGGAGTTATGAATATACCCGAGGAGAACTTCTTGTGTTAGATTTGCAAGGTGAGTAAAAAAGACTGAACCATGAAAATCAGGAAAAATCAAAGCTAGAAAAAATGGCTTAGGACACTTGAATGGCTAATGCACCTATTTGGGTGTTAGCATTTGTGAACCATAGTATAGCTTATCAGATACAAGAAAAATTCTATGCATGCAGTCCATGATATACATATGCATGTGCACGGACACACATACAGACAGACAGACCCGCCCCCCCCACAATCTATTGTTAATGGTTGATTGATTAACAGTGACTTCTAGGCCTGTGCATGTGCATCTACAGAAGATTGTGCAAGCACGCCATGGGCTCCGCCCTTTGTTTGTTATGTGAACAACATTGATACTGCATTTCTGCTTTCATCATTGTACCTTCTTTCCTACCATCCATGCAAATGCCATGGGGGCCTGTGTGAATCAGTATTCTGAAGGACCTGGCAGATGTTATCTCAGAACCATTGCACCACATCTTTCATAAATCCTGGAGCACCGGAAAAGTACCTGAAAATTGGAAAAGGGCTGATGTGGTCCCGATTTTCAAGAAAGGAAAAAAAACAGACCCAGGAAACTACAGACCAATCAATTTAATATCAATACCTGGGAAGATCCTAGAAAAGATAATAAAAAAAACAGATCTGCGAACAACTAGAAGCAAACAAAGTCATAACTAGTAGCCAGCATGGGTTTGTTAAAACAGATCATGCCAAACCAATCTTATTTCATTCTTTGATAAAGTGACTAAACTAGTAGACCAGCAAAATGCAGTGGACATAATATACTTAGATTTCAGTGCGGCATTTGACAAAGTAGACCACAACCTACTTCTTGGTAAGCTAGGAAAAGGTGGAATAGACAACATCACCATCAGATGGATCTGTAGCTGGCTGGCAAACCGTACTCAACAAGTATCCTCAATGGCACCATATCCACATGGAGAGCAGTGGGGTACCACAAGTTCTGTCTTAGGCCCAGTACTCTTCAATATCTTCATAAATGATTTAGATGAGGGAATTGAAGGGCAACTCTTCACATTTGCAGATGATACCAAACTGCCAGGAGTAGCCAACTCTCCAGAAGACAAACTCAGAATCCAAAAAGATATTGACAAATTTAAACAATGGGACCTCTCCAACAAAATGAGTGAATGTGGAAAAAATGAGTCTTACATTTAGGCAGGAAAAATCAAAGGTACAAATACAGATTGCGTGAGACCTAGCTTAAAAATAGTAACTGTGAGAGGGACCTTAGAGTCCTAGTGGACGATCACTTGACTATAAGCCAGTAGTGTGCAGTAGCAACCAAAAAAGCTAATATAATTCTGGGTTGTATAAATGGAGGCATAGAATCAAGATCATGCAAAATATTATTACCGCTTTATAAAACCCTAGTAAGACCAAGACACCTGGAATACTGCAGCCAATTTTGGTCACCATATCACAAAAAAGATGTTGAGAGTTTGGAAAAAATTCAGAGAAAAGCAACAAAGATGATCAAAGGCCTGGAGACTAAAACATACGAAGAATGGCTACGAGAATGGTTGGGTTGGCAAGCACACCGACAAAGCTTGACCTCTTGCTGATATGGGGAAAAATGATGACACAGAGATTGTTTGATACAGCAGTCATAGCCTTGCCACATCTGCATTCTTGAAGTAGTGAAATTTGGAGTACTTGTGTTAACCTGGCAAGTTCATGCTATAGTATATGTATTAATCTTTTGAGTACCGCTGGTTGCTAGTATAGAACATCTTTCAAAAAATACAGGTTAGATGCATCCATATTTTTGCTTTCATGCTACCTTTCTTTTTTTTTATTGAAAGTTTTTTAAATTTTACAAAACAAATCCCTTCCCCAAGCCCCCCCACCCTCCCATACCCTCCCCCACCTCCCCAAACCTCCCAAACCCTCCCCCAACCTTCCCAGTACAGGCTTAATTAAAATTTTTCAAAAAAAAGAAAAAAAACTTAAAACACATATAAATCCTAAACAAATCTAAATACATTAAATTAAATAGGTTATCTTCTCTAAAAAATAATAATTGCAATCATTAAACACGTTATAATATACTCTAAACATTTTCTAGTATCATACTTATATTATTATCCATCATTCTGTATAAACTCCCTCCAAAACACAAATTTAAACATCACTTTCTTTGAATATCTATACCTACAATATAAAATCTAATCTCTCCTTCTTTCTTTATCCTAAAACACAAAAATAAACATATAAACATTCATTATATCATTAAAACTAAATACTCTTTAAATACTTAAACTAAATAGTTAAACTTAAACTTCCTATCTAAGATTTTCATTCAATCTCCATAATCTTCTCTCCTATCAAAAAAAACTTAAAAGACAATATAAACATTCATTATACCATTAAAACTAAATACTCTTTTAAAAAGTTAAACTAAATACTTAAACTTAAACTTCTTATCTAAGATTTTCATTCAATCTCCATAATCTTCTCTCCTATCAAAAAAAAACTTAAAAGACATATAAATCCTAAACAAATCTAAGTACATTTAATTAAACAAGTTATCTTCTCTTAAAAATAATAATAATAATAAAAACAAACCCAATCATTAAAGATATTATAATATACTCTGAACCTTTTCATATCATACTTATATTATTATCCATCATTCTTTATAAACTCCCTCCAAAACACAAATTTAAACATTACTTAAAACATTAAAATTCCCTTATACATATTTAAATCTTTACCAATAACAAATTCCATCCACAATAAACACATTCCTTATCAATCTCTCTTATCCATAAATCTAAAAAAAAATGCTTTAAAATCTGGCCTTAAAGATAGCTCCAAAAAGTTTGTAAATCCTGCTTCTCCCGCAGACTCAGTACTCTTTTGAATACTTAAACTAAGTACTTAAACTTAAACTTCTTATCTAGAATTTTCATTCGGTCTCCATAATCTTCTTTCCAATAACCAATTCCATCCACAGTAAGCATATTCCTTATCAGTCTCTCTTATCCATAAACCTCGAAAGAAGTGCTTTGAGATCTGCCTTAAAGGTAGCTCCAAAAAGTTTGTAAATCCTGCTTCTCCCACAGACTCAGGAACCAATACTTGTGAGGCTTCCTTAACCTCCTTCTTCTGTTGCTCTTTTTCTTTACATTTATGTGTTACACAAGTTATCCTCTGCTCCTTCATCTCAACTTGTTGAGGCCCCTCGAACTGAGATTTCCCATCCTTCATTAATATAGGCTCTTCAGACTGCGATTCTACCCTTAAAGGTTGCTTCAAAAAGTTTATAAATCCTACTTCTCCCGCAGATTCAGAAACCAATGCTTGTGGGGCTGCCTTGACCTTCTTCTGTTGCTCCTTTTCTTTACAGTTATATGTTGCACAGGTTATCCTCTGCTCCTCCATCTCAACTTGTTGAGGCCCCTCAAACTGGGATTTCCCAATTTTCATAAGTATAGGCCCTTCAGACTGCAATTCTACCTTCTTTTCTTCCAAAGCTTTAAACGTAATAGATGGCGATGAACATACCCCCAGGACCAAAGTATAAAAGTCTTTTGCTTTAGAAACAGTATTAAGTTTATAACATATCCCCAGGTAACTCACCACCATTCCAGTCAGAACATCCCATCTGAACAAAATTCGTCTCTTTTTAAGTTCATCTGCTAAAAAAGCAAACTCCTTTCTTCTTCTTAAAATTTTAGATGGGATCTCCTTTAAAATTATAACATCTTGTGAAGCAATTTGAAACCTCTTCTTAAAAAAAGCTTGTATAATTTCATTGCGCAGGGATCTTTTCCCAAAGTAAATTACCACATCTCTTGGCAAATTCTTTTGCTCTGCCACCACAGAGTTAACTCTAAATGTATTTTCAATTTCACTAAGTATTTCCTCTTTTTCTTTATTCAAAATCACAGCAAAGTCCTTTGCAACCATCTCTCTCAGATCTCCTTGCACAGACTCCCTCAAGCCTCTGATTCTTAAAGCATATTCTATTTGTCTATATTGAAGCATAAGAATCTCATCTTGAAAATTTTCCATCTCTTTTTCCATGCTTTCAAATTTTCCCTCCATCAATTCAACTTTTTCTACTACCTCTTCTACGCGAGAGTTCAGCTTTTCAAGAACAGAGGCAACTCCTTTTAAAGCCAAAACTATCTCTTGCCTCAAAATCTTATTATTTTCCTCTAAAATCTCTTTCATTTATCCCCTAATTTGAGATATAACATTTCCCATCATATCTTGCAAATCCTTCACCCTTATTGAGTGTGCCAAGGAAGAGGGTGAAGCTGTTGATTTAGGTTGTTGCGCTGATGATAACACTGAAGAAGAAACCACCTTAGGAGCTGTAGGAATTACTGGACGCTTTGGAGCCATCTTAAAAAAATCTTTACTCCTTCTTGAGAATTACAAAAATTAAGCAAAAGAAAAAGAGAGATTAACTCCAAAAAAATCAAAAAATCCTTCAAAAGGAGATCATTATAATAAAAAGAGAGGAGTTAAAAAAAAAGAAAAGGGAAGAAGGAAAAAATGATTAAATAGAAAAAAATCCATTCCATTTTTTAAAAGTACAAAAAACAAAACAAAAAAGTTAAACAAAAATAATAATGCTTCTAAAATCCAAACCCAAGATCCAAAAATCATTATAAATAATTAAGTCCACATTCCGTTCCAATCATTTAAAAAAAAGGGAAAAAAAACACCAAAAAGCTTGCCGATTGCCATTCTACCTTCCCAAGGGAAAGAAAAAAAAAACACTAAAAAGCCTGCCGATCACCATTTTACTTTCCCTTTCAACAAAGGAAAAAAAAATAAAAAGAGGGAATATAAAAGTAAAAATAAATCTTTAAACTTAAAATCCAAATAAAATCAAAGAAAGCAAAAGCTAACTCCTCTACTCAGCTCTGTCCGCTTGTAAAAAAACTCATCAGATCACTTTAATCGCGGAGGTGGTTGCAGCGGCTTGTTTTGTCCCTAGGGACAAAGCAGCTGGGAAGCGGAGACAGTCTGAACTCCGTGGGAGCACTCTTTTCACCCCCCAAAAAAAGCCTTGGGGGTGCATAAGAGGCTCTACCACTATTCAGACAACCCTCTTCCCCCCCCTTTGCCTGGGAGGGGGATTTTGAACCGCTGAACAGCTGATGTCCGCTGTTCATAGCGATTCAAACACTTACCCAGGAGGACGACTACAAAGTAGCCGCCATCGCGTGCGCAGATCCACCGGAAGTCCATGCTACCTTTCTTTAATGGAATTGTAAAGTTGTGTGCTTCTAGCGGCTCCTATTATTCTGGCTGCTTTTAAGTCTTTCTTGTCTATATTATTTTTGATATATTACTGTATTAGAATTTGCATATGTATTCCTGCACTTATCTGGATCTAGAGATTAACAGGAAGCACTTAATTTCTGAGTGTACATTTGTGTAGTTATTCAAGAATAAGGTTGCCTATCTTGCAGACACCTCTAAGATTAGCTGTTAATAAATTCTATTTCTACATGAAGTTGGACTGTCAAAATATATAATTCACAGTGAGCAAGGAGAATAATAAATTTGGCAGGAGGGTGCTGCTAGTGTAGGGGTGAACGTTCCCAATGTGGAGCCAGAGAAACTATGGAAACTATGAGTTGTTATAGATTCTGGTCCATATGTTGGCATTGTTAACAGAATAGAGAATTTTAAAAATAAGAAACAATATTAAGTATCTAAATCTATCAGTTATATACAGTATATTGTAATAGAATCAGAGATTCCTGTTCCATGTTCTGTATACATAATAATGAGGATTCAGATTTACATCACTTAAAAAAAAAACACTGTTTTAAAGGAGGTTAACTTGTGCCAAAGCAAAGCATCAATCTCTAGTGCTTCATGAATGCTATGAGATCCCACAGAGATCAGCAAGGAAGCATCCTTGAGGACTAGTTTGCCTTCTGATAAATGGATATTTTGGGACTGGCCATTTTGTAACTAGAAAGCCTTCCATGGAACCTTTCACAATTCCAGATTGGCCTATAAAAGTTATCCAACTCTGACATAAATAAATGAAACATTAATATGCTCAATGTAAGCTATTGTTTCAGGACAGCAAAACAAGCTTGTGCAGTAAATTATATATAGTATCCAAATTTCAGTATTGATCCAGATATTCTAGAGCATATGAAGGTTTCAGAGCTGGACTATGTTTATGCTGTTGATCTGTTTTATCCAAAGTAGCGAGGTTTCCTTGCACAGCATAGGAAGTAGTTTTAGTTCTTTCTGACATTGCAACATGTATTCTATTTATATATAGTTCCAGCAAAATACATTTGGATCCACAAAATATTTTGTCTTTATGATGTTTGCTTTACATTTAAATGAAAAATGTCTTAAAAATAGTTGCGTGTGCAACATTTCTTTGTCGTAGTCTAATACAATTTATAATTTTAACATTGCTTTTTCATTTTTATTCTGTAAACAAAAAATTAGATAACTATATCATAATTGCATAGGTTATAATTTCACAAATGGTTTTTAGGAAGACAATTACCTTCTGATAACCATTATAAATTTGAATTCTTCAGGTGTTGGAGAAAACCTCACAGATCCATCTGTTATTAAACCTGAAGACAAACAGTATGTATCTCATGTAAATTTATCATATAAAATGTGACATATATTCTATGATTCAATTAATCTCCAATATTAACTGTAATGCACATATGCATATTTTTACACATTGCTGACAGTGTTTTCTTTTTGGTTAACAACACAGTTTTGTATTTGTACCTTTTTATGTGGCCGATTAAGAATAATGTAATGCATTCACAAAAACGTAACACAAGAAAACTTAATATGAGCTATAAATACAGATATTTATGAAAAACCTGGCAATAGAAGAGATAAATATTTGACTTATTGGAGTGATTATTTCTGGTTTCCAAGTTCATTTCAGATACAACAGATAGTGCTGAAGTTAATACGTTGTGCCTTGTGGATTAAATAGGCCATTTAAATCCTAGGAATGTACAAGAAATGGACTACAGTTAATGAAATGTTATCTAACCATAGTTTCTTAAAGTAATGCTCATGACACTAGTTGAAGGATTAGGTTTTACCCTCCAGCTACTTTGCAAAGTGGTATCTGTGTCAAACTAGATTGTGGCTATGAGTTTAGAACATTAATTTTTAATAACTGCTACATCCTCTAGGCTAATAGAAGCTCACACAATGGAGCACTTCTTATTCCATTCCTCCTGCACCCATCCTCCAATCTGTTTAGACAGGTCCCCCCAAAACATGGCATACAATTAAGCACATTTGTGATATGCAGGTGGAAAAGATATGTACAGATACTATGGCATTAATTATTCCTTTGTTATTTTCAAACTCTAGAGGGATGGCCTTTGGACCAGCAAATCTTGGAGAAGAAGCCTTCAAAAACTTCATTTCAAAGCATTGCTGCAATTCTTGTTGCAGGAAACTCAAACTTCCTGGTATGGAGTAGCAAGGCTTTGCATGTTTTCAAACAAATCTGAGCTTAGAGCCAATCCCTGAATCTAGGACTGAGCGCTTTGCATTGACATTGGTAACAAAGTACTCCAAGAAGGAATCGTACAAATTTACATTTTCCATTAATATTTTGAGGGTCCACACAATAGAAAAAAGAAATACTAAGCCTTATTTATTGGTTTTGTATTTCACATCTGAGTGTGGCAAACTCTTTAAATATCAGGTGCATTTTTTTTAAAGCCAAAAATCTCACTTGGCTTTTCATGTTCCATTCCAAAGATGAAAGGGACAAGAAAATGAATATATATATATATATATATATATATATATATATATATATATATATATATTATACATATATATTACATTGCATTCCATAGTATCACATTAAAATTGGCCAATTTGTGGAAGGCCCCAATGTCAAATTAATCACACAATCATGTCCTTTTTCTAAATAGGATATTAGATTAGTTTTTTAGTAGAATGACTAAAGCAGTATATTTAAAGGTTAAATAAGCAGCCTTTCATTTCTTTTTTACAATCTAATGCATTATAGGAAGGAACTAATAATAAAAGTATTTATTTTTGTCCTGTATAATTAGTATATTATATGAAGATGCCCTGCTTAGTTGAAGATATGTCTCTTCAGTTACTAATATTAATGCATATTACCAAAATCCATCTGGATGATAGAGATGCTCTTTTGAAGATCTATCTACTTAGATTTTGGACCCTGCAGCAAGCTTCAGAATGATAACATTGATCTTAAAAGATAAGTTTCTTTTTTTTTTTTATTGAAAATTTTTAAATTTTTACAAAAACAAATCCCCTTCCCGTACCCCCCCCAACCCTACCTCACCCCCCTCCTCCCCAACCTCCCAAGCCCTCCCCTGAACTTCCCAGAGCTAAGTACAGGCTTAATTAAGAAAAAAACTTAAAACACTTTTAAAACCTAAACAAATTTAAATATAATCATCATTCTATATAAACTCCCTCCAAAAACGCAAATTTAAACATTACTTTCTTTGAATATCTATGCCTATAATATAAAATCTAATTTCTCCCTCTTTCTTTATCCTAATACAAAAAAATAAACATATAAACCTTTGTTATACCATTAAAACTAAATACTCTTAGAAAACTTAAAATAAATACATATTTCCTTCAATCTTCATAATCTTCTCACCTATCCAAAAAAAAAAACTTAAAAATCCTAAACAAATCTAAGCAAATTATTTTCTCTTAAAAATATTAATAATAATATTTAAAAACTTGAAACACTTTTAAATCCTAAACAAGTCTAAATACAATCATCATTCTATATAGACTTCCTCCAAAAACACAGATTTAAACATTACTTTCTTTCCTAAACAAATCTAGACATTTAATTAAACAAATTATTTTCTCTTAGAAATATTAATAATAATATTTAAAAACCAAATTTAAGCATTACTTGAAACTTAAACAAGTTATACTCCCTTCGAAACACAAATTTATTAGAATCCCCTCACTGAAATAAACAAATTATAATCCCTTCAAAACACAAGTTTAAACAATATTATCATTAAAGGTTTAAAACTTAAAGCTGAAATATATCATGTTTAGACATTACATAAGACATTTTCCAAAAACGATATAAGTTTAACTTCTCCGACAATCTCAATAGTAAACTTCGTGTCTAAAGTTCTCATTCAATGTCCATAATTTTCTGTCCAATAACCAGTTACATCCACTATAAACACAAACTTCTTATCTAAAATTTTCATTCAATATCCATAATCTTCTGTCTGATAGCCAGTTGCATCTACTATAAGCACAATCCATATCAGTCTCTCTTGCCCGCAAGCATCGAAAAGAATGCGTGGAATTCTGCCCTTGAAGATCGCTCCAAAGAGTTTGTAAGTCCTGGTTGACCCCCAAGCTCAGGAATCAGTACCTGTGAAACTTCCTCAACCTCCTTCTTCTGTTGGTCTTTCTCTTTACATTTATATGTTACTTTTTCTTTACATTTATATGTTGTACCAGTCTCAAGGACCGATACCTGTAAAACTTCCTCAGTGAATTCCTCCTTGTGTTGATCTTCACAATTATAAGTTGTACAAGTTATCCTCTGCCCGTTCCTCTCTTGTCGGTGCCCCTCAAGCTGAAATTTCCCAATTTCCATTTCTGAAGATTGCTCCAAAGACTTTGTAGGTCTAACTTCCGAAGCCAATACAGGTAAGGATTCCTTAAATTCCTCCTTGTGTTGATCTTTACAATTGTAAGTTATACAAGTTATCCTCTGCCCGTTCCTCTCTTGTTGATGCCCCTCAAACTGAGATTTCCCAATTTCCATTTCAGGCAGCAATTCCACCCTTGAAGATTGCTCCAAAGACTTTGTAGGTCCAACATCTCCCAGAGATTCAGAGACCACTGAATATGAAACTTCCTTAACCTTCTTCTGGTGCTGCTTTTCTTTGGAATTATGTGCTACACAAGTTGTCTTCTGCTCCTCAATCTGGACTTGTTGAGACCTAATAGATGGCGATGCACATACCCCCAGGACCGAAGTATAAAAATCTTTTGCTTGAGAAACAGTATTAAGTCTATGACATGTCCCCAGGTAGTTCACCACCATTCCAGTCGGAACATCCCATCTGAATAGAATTTTTCTCTTTTTAAGTTCATTTGCTAGAAAAGCAAACTCCTTTCTTCTTCTTAAAATTTTAGATGGGATCTCCTTAAAAATTATAACATCTTGTGAAGCAATTTGAAATCTCTTCTTATAATAGGCTTGCACAATTTCATTGCGTAAAGATCTTTTACCAAAGTAAATTACCACATCTCTTGGCAGATTCTTCTGTGCTGCCACCACAGAGTTAACCCTAAATAATTTTTCAATTTCACTAAGTATTCCCTCTTTTTCTTTATTCAAAATCAATGCAAAGTCCTTTGCAACCATCTCTTTCAAATCTCCTTGCAAAGACTCTTCCAGGCCTCTGATTCTTAAGGCATATTCCATTTGTCCATATTGAAGCATAAGAATCTCATTTTCCATTTCTTTTTCCATACTTTCAATTTTCCCCTCCATTATGTCCACTTTTTCAGTTACCTCTTCCACATGGGAGTTCACCTTTTCAAGAACAGAAGCAACTCCTTCTAAAGCCAAAACAAAATCTTGTCTCAAGATCTTATTATTTTCCTCTAAAATCTTTTTCATTTCTGCCCTAATTTGAATTATAACATCTCCTATCATGTTTTGCAAATCCTTCATAGTTATTAGCTGACCCCCAGAAGAGGGTGAAACTGTTGATTTAGAAGCTGTAGAAATCCCTGGACACTTTGAAGCCATCTTAAAGAAAAACCTTTAGCCCTTCTTAAAAAATTATAAAAATTCCTTCAAAAATCATAACTCCCTCCAAAGAAGGTCATTATAATAAAAAGAAAAAAGGGGGGAAAAAAAGGAAGAGAAAAAGAATTAAAAAAAAAGCTTTACTCCTTCTTAAAAATTGCAAGAAATTAAACAGAAAAAAGTCCTTCAAAAAAGGGTCATTACCATAAAAAGAAGGGAGAAAAAAAAAATTAATTAAATAGAAAAAGTCCGTTCCAAAAAAAATACTTAGAGATACCAAAAACAACCATTCCAATCATAAGAAAATAAAAAGGGAAAGAGAAAGGGAAGAAAGAGAAACACCAAAAAGCCTGCCGGTCAGCATTCTAACTTCAGAAAAAAAAACACCGAGAGATTTGCCGATCGCCATTTTACTTTCCCTTTCAACAAAGAAAAAAAAATAAAAAGAGAGAATAAAAATAGAAGCAAGTCTTAAAACTTAAAATCCAAATAAATCAAAGAAAGGAAAAACTAAATCCTCTACTCAGCTCTGTCCGTTTATAAAAAAACTCACCAGTTCTCTTTAAGCACGGAGGTGTTTGCAGCGGCTCGTTTTGTCCCTGAGGACAAAAACAGCTGGGAAGCGGAGACAAGTCTGAACTCCATGGGAGCACTCCTTTCACCCCCCCAAAAAAAACTTGGGGGGTGCAAAAGAGGCTCTACCACTATTCAGACACTCTCTACCCCCCCCTTTGCCCGGGAGGGGGATTTTGAACCGCTGAACAGCTGGTGTCTGCTGTTCATAGCGGTTCTTACACTTACCCAGGAGAGACGGCTACAAAGTAGCCGCCATCGCGCGCGCAAAATCCCAAAAGATAAGTTTCTTATGACCAGGATTGCTGCTGTTAAGGTGATAGTGTTCTGGAAATCTCTGTGGTGTAGCATCTGATTTACTCCTAGATTTTGTCTCTGGGCAAATGCTGGAATATCCTTCCCTGTTCATATTAGAGGACTTCACTTCTTCATGTCCTATAGGTGGGATCAGAGATTCATGACTTCCAGGGTGTGAATCAGGGGCTTGTTCCAGATAATCTCTGCCTCATGCACATGACAACATAGGTTAGATCTTGTTTTCCCCCAAAAGACAACTTTGGGTGCTGTGACAACACCTTACACTTTAATCCAGTGGAGAGATTCAGCCGGTTCTCACCACTTTGGCAGAACTGGTAGCTAATTTTTTGTTGCCCAGGCCCAGAATGGACTTCTGGAAGCAGCATCTACACAGAGAACTGGTTGTTCACATATTTGAATCCCACCACTATTTTAGTCCCTTGCTGTGGTCTCATACCTCTTAGTTTAGATGGGATTGATTGCCACCCAGCACTTTTCTGAAGAAGATCACAGTAACTGATGGATCTGGAGGGAATTTGAAAGGTGCTTGAGAAGTTTTCCGATACCTGGTGGGCAGTTCTTTTGATTTAGATAATTAACTTCTGGTAACAGGAAGTGGTGTGGAAGCTTGATGCTCTCAAGTGGATTCCCCCCCCCCCCATTGGTTAATCTTAAGGAGCTCTGAGGAGCACTGGAGATGAAGCAGCAGACATTATCATTATTAGTAGTAATACTAGTAGTGGATTTTTTAATGTTGCATATTGCTTGTATGTTTGCTATTGTTAGAATCCTTGGAGGTAACAGCAGCATGCAAATGTAATAAAGATGTATTATCTAAGATAAAGATTTGTATTCTGTTTTCTTTTCATAGATTTGAAAAGAAATGATTATGCATCTGGGAGGGTCAATCCAGCTTTTGAAATTGAAAATGAAGTACCAATGAAAGCAGGAGATGAGACTGCAAATAATAGGAACAATGAACCATCAGAATTCTATACTCGGCTGTGAAGGAGGAGCTGCTAATTTTATCATTAGAACTTTTTTTTTTCCTGAAGGGCCAAATCCTAGGAGCTCCACTACCTCCATTGTCTGTACTTTTTTAGAATAAAGAAATAGAAGCTATTAATGTGAAAGTGTGTGCAAATGAATTCCTTCTAAAACAAGGACTCTCCTTTGTTTTTAATGGTTATATTCGCCGAGGTCACTGGAGTAATTGAGACAGTGCCAGTGCTTCAATTTATTAATGTTTAAAAGTGTCACTTAAAATAAGAAAAGTTCCAAAGTATGAGAAATTGGAAGAGTTCCTAGAAACAATTTTCAAAGAAATCTCCCAAATGGCAACCAGAAATATTCAATCCTGGTCAAATGTGGTCAACATGTTGACAAAATGGCCAGATAAAAGTTGTGGCTCAAATTTTTCCAAGAAAAGGAGTTCCAAAGTGCAGGAATTGTGGTAGAAAAAGTCTCCTGCGTATATATTTTATGAATATGTTATTCATCTTTTTACTTTAATGGAGGATGCTGTAATTATGGCTAGCAATTTTAATAAGGTTTTGGGTGTTTTGATTGACCATGGCTTTACTTCAAGTAAGTTCTGATCACACACACAGAAAGTATTTCTTAAATTTTCATTTGGTGGATGTCTGTGAACATTTGAACCCATTGCAATGAGAATGTACTTTTTTCCCCAGCTCCCTATCAGACCCATTTCTTACATTTTTTTTGTATCTAGATTGTCATTCTTATGTATGTGTGTGTGTTTGTGTGTAAATAAAACCAGTTTTTGTAAAAATGCACTGTAAGTTACTTGGGACATGATAAAACTTTAAATTAGAAGGATTAAAGAATGCTATCCATACGATTACTTAATTTGGAAATATAAGGTATGGGATCTTATTACAAGTCAGATTTTTGATTCAGTTAATGTAATGTTTTCTATACTGAGCTGGAATCACATTCTCAGGGCTTCTGATGTAGATTATCCCTATAGCCACAAGGCAGACTGAACAGAGATTTTTTTTTTCTCACAAAATCATGTGAGCTCCCACTAAGCTACAGCCCTTCCCAACAATAACACCAAAAAGAATGGAATGTTATACTGAAATAGTGTGAAGCTCTGAATGAGGTAGCTAAATCTTCTACATGAATGTATCTAATAGATGTTTTCCCCAGTCTTTATAATGAAGGTTAGAGTAACTTAAAAAAAAAAGTAGAAATGCACATAGACATCAGTGTAGTATGCAAATGTAACACTTTTGTCAATATTACTTGTCAACATTTATCAAACATGCCTTGTTATACTTGAAGAGCTAGTAAAATTTAGTCTTGGAATGGTTCTCTTTTAATTTCATTTGAGTCCTCCAGCTTTTAGGAACCTATGCAAGGAAAGAAAATCAAAGAATAAATCTGTTTTTTACTCAATATTTAAACATTGTGCAAGATCGATATCTCTCTCTCTATTTCTCTCTCTCTCTCTCTCTCTCTCTCTCTCTCTCTCTCTCTCTCTCTCTCTCTCTGTGTGTGTGTGTGTGTGTTTTAGGAGAGATGAGAAATGGATCTATTTAACATGAACTGTACTGGCCATCATTTCCTTCTTACAAGCATATGGAAATAAATACATTATGTGGAAGTGACTATCTTTGTAATCTGTGTGCTCAAAAGCCAAGAAACCCCCCCCCCAAATTTGTAATTCAATGCTTTAGGGAAGAGGAGAAATATCTTGGTAGGAAGAGGGATCATTTGTATCCCCTGATATTTTCTAGAATTTTAGCATTATTGAAATCAGTAAGGCTTGCTTTTATTATCATAATTCTGGAACCAGATATCTTCCAGAGAACTTTTGATCCTGTTTTTAATATCCATATCTCTCTCTCTCTCTCTCTCTCATCTCTCAGTCGTCCATCTATCCATCCATCCATCCACCCATCCATCCATCCATCCATCCATTCATCCATCCATCATGCTTTGTTTTCATTTCTTGTTACAAATACATGCCAGGAAGATCCCCTTAGCATCATTGAAAAACTGCCTCCTGTGAAATTGCACATTTTGTGGGCTCTTTATTACTTTAGGTTCAACTCAACAGCAGGCAGACAAACAACCATGAAGTAACTTTTTACATAAGTAGCCTTTTAATCTTAATATACACTGTGCCAGTAAGGGCCACATGGAGAATTTTAATTCATTGCTTGTGCTGCTGAGTGATCATAAATGCTACACATTGTAGCCATGTCAACAGCAAACACTGACATAGTGGAGATGTTGCAATTGATGTGCTCTAGTTCAACCTTCCTTTATCTTAGACTAATTTGAGCAGGAATAACATTTTGATTTCCAGGTGTTGATATTGACCCTGTTATAGACCCACCACAGTGATTCTGGATTCAGTTTCTTATATTTCATATGGGAGCCAGGGTGTCCTAGTCCATATTATTAATACTGTGACTTCTTTGGAGTCCTGATATTAAATGACTGTTTTCTGTCAGAAGATCAGAAACTGTCCCATGATGATCTTCTGGACCTTGGTCTAGGTGTGATGCTAGGTGGAGTAGGGCAAAACAGCATTCCTTGAAGACTTCTTAATGTTATTGGTTGTATCTGAAGAGCCGCTTGCTAGCAATATTCTAAGTTAGGTGATTAACAGAGGCTGCAGAAACTGGTGAACTGGTCAGAGAACGGAGACCCCAGCTGAATCTCCCACTTGAAGTGGCAGAACAAGTACAGAAGTACAATGTTCCATTAGCTCAAGAGAAGGCAACGTTAAAAGCTGTTGGCTTGCCATATCAAGTATGTTGAAAACTGAGGACTGACCTCCTCTAACAGAATTCAGTTAAATGAAATAAAACTTTCTGGCTACTCACTCAAATTGTTAAGCAGACATTTGTTAAGTGAATTTGCCCCGTTTTAGAATAGAATAGAATAGAATAGAATAGAACTGGAAGGGACTTTGGAGGTCTTCTAGACCAGCCCCTGCTCAAGCAGGAAAACCTATACCATCTCAGACAAGCGACTGTCCAGTGTCTTCTTAAAAACCTCCAGTGATGGAGCTCCCATGATTTCTGGAGGCAAGCTGTTCCTCACTGTCAGGAAGTTTCTCCTTAATTCCAAATTGCTTTTCTGTTTGATCAGCTTCCAACCATTGTTTCTTGTCCTGGTGCTCTGAAGAATAATTTGACCACCTCTTCTTTGTGGCAGCTCCTCAAATACTGGAATACTTCTATCATGTCACCCATATTTTTTTGTTTCTCTAGACTAGCCAAACCCAAGTCCTGCAGCCCTTCTTCATATGTTTTAGTCTCCAGGCCTTGGATCATCTTAGCTGATCTTCTCTGTACTTTTTTCCAAAGTCTCAACATCTTTTTTGTAGTATGATGACCAAAATTGGTTGCAGTATTCCAGGTCTGGTCTCATTTTACAATCTTTCTTGCCACAGTTATTAAATGAATTGCTGCAGTTGTTAAGTTAGTCACACAGTTGTTAAGTGAATCTGGTTTTCCCATTGACTTTGCTTGTCAAGGTTGAAAAAGCTGATCAGATGACACTGGGACACCACAACCATCATAAATATGAACCAGTTGCCAAACATCTGAATTTTAATCATGTGACCATGGGGATGCTGCAATAGTCATAAGTGTGAAAAATGATCATAAGTCACTTTTTTCAGTGCTGTTGTAACTTTGAAGAGTCATTAAATGAAATGTTTTAAGTCGAGGACTATCTGCGCACAGTGTATATCAGCAGCAGCATGCCACAGTTTTGAGGAGGTTAACTGGCCCACATAGAACCTCCTCTTTTTTGCAAAGTTCCTTGGTGGCAATAACAAGTAACTGTGGCTTCTTCCTTTTTCTTCCAATAAATAGGTTGCAACTAATGTTCATCATCTTGATTGGATGCCCTGAATCCCAATCATGGATATCACCCCTTTTGCTGATAGTGAAGGCATTGGTGGAATTGGCTACTTCCCAATTGGCTGCTATCCCAAAGTATCCTGCCTTCTTTTGTCTACTGTTTAGTTGTAATTGATAGCCTGTTTTCAAAACTGCTGAATGATAACAGTGTATCCTGCTCTTCTGGTCATGCCTGCTACTACTGCTGTACCTCCCAAATAGTGCTGGTCACTTTATCTTTCTGCTTCTGGAGAGAGAGATTGCTTTTCCTTTACTCATGCTAATTCAGGCAAGGGGATGTGTGTTCCTGCCAAGAAACATGATCGCTCCCTGAAAAGAACCTATACTGTTTCTTGATTATTTCCTTTGGTTGTTCACCATACTTGTGGAGGTGACATGAGTGGTCTTGGAACAATGGGGCATCAGGAAAAATTCCATCTGCTGCTTGAGATACTTTGCAAAATGAATTAAGGAGGGAGTGTCTAGAGTTAGATTGGTGGCCTTAAGAAATAACTTGAAGACCATCAAAAATCAATGATGGTGTTCACCACCTACATATTTAGTGGCTTATTGGCAACTTTCTGACTGAAGACACACCATAAATGTCCATGGCTGCTTGGCCACCCATTCAAGCTCAAGTATATTGTGGGATTCTATCTAAAAATACTTTTTGGATTCACTCACGCAATACTCACCCACCACAGGGAACGATGAGTAGCAGATAATAGAGAAATGTGTAATGATGATGAATAGAGAGTGAAAGAATTAATACTGGACAGACACACAGGCAGGTTACAGGCACATAAGATTTTAAATATACATGGATCTGAGGAATGCATCAAGAACAAACCAATGAGAAGCAAAAAAAATTAGAATAGAATAGAATAGAATAGAATAGAATAGAAGGGTCTGGAGCTATCAGATTCAATTTGTTGCTCTGAAAACAGGACCTACTTTGATTCACAAACCTATTTCAAAGAGAAAATTTAGTTGAAGTTTCTTCAGCTAAAACTTCCCTTTGAAGTTTCATACAGTTCCCCCTAGGCCTATTTTGAAGTCTCAAAGGGAAGGTTTGGTCTGAAGAAAGTTCAGCTAAATTTTCTCTTCCCCTTTTTTCTAGGGGATATCAACATTGTTAATCCGAAATAACCAAAATATATTTCTTTAAATATTTTTTAAAAATTATGTCCTAGTCTTCAATTATATTTACCTCAAGACAGTTTACAATTGACTAATATAAAAATAAATCCATAAATACAATAGCATTAATCTGCAAAATATAAAAGAAGTACCAAGTAAAGGGGTCATTTAAAGGACTAAAAAAAAAATCCCCCTAAAGTAAAATAAATAAAGATTTTCCTAGTAATAAGATAATTGGCAGACAAAGCTCCCTGGAGCCCAGGATCCCCTTGGAAAGGCTGGATGTCATAGTGGTGTGTGGTGTTTGGATTCAAGACAGAGGAAAGTGGTTCAGTTTCACCCTCTTTCTATCCCTCGATTGTTCCTTAAAGAAGCTATATCTTCTCCCGAGCTTTTCCAGTAGCTGCCTGGGCTCAGGAAGATACACATTTCAATGTAGGAAGGCACTAGCTGGCAATCCTTTCCAGGTAAGCCACACCTGCTATTGATAGCCACTCGCATGGAGGCACTTAAATGAATAGACTTTGCCCCAGGAGAACCCAGAGGCATTCATAGGAATATCAATGATACAGATGGATGTGCATGCCAGCTTCCCATTAGTAATAGTAATAGTAGTAAAGTTAGAAGGGACCTTGGAGGTCATCTAGTCCAACCCCCTGCTCAGGCAGGAAACCCTACACCATTTCGGACAAATGGCTGTCCAGTCTCTTCAAAAAACTTCCATTGTTGGAGCATTTACTGCTTCTGTAGGCAGGCTGTTCCACTG